CGCTGTTAAGTGGTTAGGTTTTTAGTTGGTATTAGCAGATGTTTAACATAGTAGGTAATGACAAAGCACTTTTACCATTATATTTATAATAAATGATACTAATTGTTGAAATGTTCTAGATATTCTCTTGGACAAGTTATTAAAATTTATGGGCTAAAATTCCGTGAGCAATAAATATCACACTTTCGAAATAACATGTATTTTGATATAAAACAATAAAAAAAAAACGGTTTATTTAAACAAGTTTTGCATTCATTATATCACTGGATGCAACCTTGGCATATTCGTTTTATTATTTTAATAATAACGAAAACTAGATCATGTAATATGTGATTTTTTAAATTGTGCAGTATTAATAAATTTTATTTGCTCATTATTTCCGACGAAAAGTTTAATTATTACTTAGATTTAAGTACATCTCGTAAAAAAATGTAGTGAGGAAGTACTTTAAGGTTGAGAGTAAAAAAACATGACATTTTCTATAAAATACGCGAAAACTGGATTCCTGTGGCTACGAGAAAGTACTTGATCATCATTTTAACTCAATATGATAATTATATTACTAATAATTTATAAAATATTCATTGATTTTATGATAGTAGTCATGATTAAGGTTAATTTCTACTTTATGCAACCCATTTGACAATAGTGTTGTTATTGTGTCGCCATCTACGACCAATCAACATAACTTAATCTTAACATAACCTAAACTTGTCAAAACCTAAACTTGCAGTTCAAATTCCATCAAAATTTCATATTTTTCATATTTTGCTTGCAGTATAATATGATTCGAATAGATAATAAATTAACGATAAAAATAAAAATCACGCCATTCACAGCATCACAGCATAAATTAATTAATACGCAAATTACGGCCGTAGCGTTTGCAAATTTGTAATCCATGATCACTAGTTCCGCGGCAAACATGTTCATGAATTAATTACAAAACTGCAGCAAATACAATATCACTACAACCACATTTTTATAAGAAAAGAGTAAACAATATTTGAACTTGTACGATGGTGACGTAAAAGCCGAGCCTCCGTTTTTAATTAAACATTATTCGCTCCACTCGAATATTAATTTTATCGAATATTTTACAATTCCAGCACGAGTTATATAATAATTTATCGGTTATTTTCCATGCGCCACACGAAACGAATATTATTGACTACATTAATATTTATATCTATTCATTCCATCATATATTGTTTAAATAAAATTGTGTGTGCGCTTAAATATTACGATGTGCACTTACTTATATGAAATAAAACTGCCGTACGCTTTTTTACGCGATGATTTAAATAATTTACGAGATCGTTTTGTTTGCGGCACGCTGTTGCCATGTCGACATTCGTTAGTTTGTTATCCGACGCTTAGGATAGGTCAACAACTTTGTGTATTAATATGGTACTTGCACAACAATTTTATGTTGTATGTAATTCTTGTTATCAAACTGGAACTGCGTATAAACAAAAATTGATTCCTGAGAAACGACGCTATTTTAAATCAATCGAATGTGAATTTATTTTCGTTGTTTGTTTATTGAGATGAATGCTCTTGTCAACAGTGGATTGCGGAGAATAAGAGAAATATTCCTATGTTATATGAAAATGTGTGATTATCACGCTTGAACTTTCAACTGTGTGGATCATGCTAATAAACCTCGATGTGTATTATCAAGTGACCTAAATATTATCAAAAATTGCAAATTGTTTGGTCAAAAACATTTTGTTAACATGTTACTTTAATTTATTTTTGAATCCAATCGCGTTTTTTTAGATTTTAGCTTATTTTTAAACATAAAGTTAATAATATATATAAAGGCAATATTTAATGGACAATAGAGAAGAGTTTATCAAATTATTTGACAATGTTTACGTAGATTTACTCAAATACATACGTAATGAAACACGTAATACATTTTTGTTTTACTTTTACTTTTAAAATTTTAAATGCGCTTAGAAATAACTATTATCTTATCAAGTTTTTTAAATGTCTTACATAACTTCAAATTTTCAATGCAAAATTCAAAAATATTTGCTTTTTATGGCATATAACCAAAGAAAAGGGGTTTTGAAAAATAAAAATTAATTCCTAGATAAGGTTATGGCATTTTACATAATTGGCAACACTGCAAACTTTACCGTTTGACAGGTGCTGTCGTAAAATGGCAACAATGCAGTGGGTAACATTTCGATTCACTTCAAAAAAGTTTTATTTAATTTTTGACATTTTGCTTGATATCATGATACACGAAGTCATGATATATTAAAGTTAAAAGTAATAATAGAAGTTCAGTTTATAAATGAGTTTAACAATATCTTTTGTTTCCTTGCAATAAACAAAAGTATATGACTTCTATTGTCTCTAATAATATCTCTAATTATATTTAGCAGACAAATATAATTTACGAACTGATTCATTCACTTGAAGAAAGACTCAGGTTAATTCTCCCTAAGCTTTTAATAACTCCAGATTATTATTATTATTATCTGAACACTTGTGAACTCGTCCTCGCACAAAGAAAGCTTGAGAGCCTCTCTCGGTGCATATTTCAGTAAAAACCTTGACTAAACAAACATTTTCATGAGAATTATCAATGAATCTCAATTTATCACTAATCACACATCACATGTTGCATTGTTTGTGCTATTTTTTCTTCAAATCGATCAAGTGGCAACGCTTGCAATCTCGACAAATCTAAATTTTAAAGTAATCTCGAGATGTCAGCTGATTTGTAATAGAACTTGTTTTTTACAACAAACAATTTCGAATTTGCATTGCTAATTGCAGCCATGCAACCACGATTGCAACAGTGTTGAGTTATGATAATTGAATAAAAATGCAATTTTTTTATTACCAAAGGAATCTGTTAGTTAGCAACAAGAAAAAAAGAATTCTAAGAAATTTTAGATCAAAGTCTTCCTTCTTTGAACACATGAATCATTTACATAATTAAAGTGTGATTTCCGTATTGTTTGTTTATCAATTATCATCATATTGGCAATGTAGCAATCGGTAATAGTATTGCACTAGAAAATTGAATGTTGTACTTAGAACGAAATAAAGTGCTGATAAAGCAAGCAAACAACCTTAAATGGAAATTAAGGAACTTATTAGAGATTTCACAGAAAAATCGTCATTACTTGATATTAATTATTAATATTTGTTGAGGCTTAACTTTCATACTTTGTACTCTCTTTGTCGATTCGATGACAGTACGTCACTTGTTTGCTTGTTTAGCTACTGGCGTAATTATTTACATAAACTTTTATTGTCCTACATTGTCGTAATAATTTGTTGTTGAAATATTCAATAATATCACATCTGGTTTTAACATAAATATTTAGAATTTAAATGGAACACTAACTTGACAGAGAAAAATGCAACACTGTCAACTGACGAAAGATTGATCGCTATTTTCAAGGTTATGAGTTAAATTCTTGAAGAAAAACGTTTATTAGGTTGCATACATTGAGTAGATGTCAAAATATAACCTACAGTGTTACAATTTTCAACTGTCACTTCTTTAATACTCAATATTAATACTTTAAGCTTAAGTTTTTTCATAAACTTTAAATATTTGTGTTGTAAAGATGTCAAAATATAATTTTACAACTTTATATCACCACAATTGATATCAGTTTGTAATTTATCTTATCATTTGCATCTCAACATTTAGTGACAATACATAAATGTGAATTACCTTGTTTGAAGTTTCATAGTAGTGCTTAATCTTTGAACTTATGTTTATAATGTACTAAAATGTTGCTGTCATTGATATTTCAACAATTATATCAGCCATTTTCAAGTGGAACGTGGAATTGATTTTTTTAATTGCATTAATATCACTCAATTCAAGTATTATTTGATCGTAAACGTAGATTTACTACGATATTTCGTAATACTTCAATTAAGTGGGTATTATTTAATGTTTAAAAAATCAAAAATTCCATAAAAACTGATTTATCTACCTCCTATAAATTTAATATCGCCTACTTCACAATGATGGAGCCTGTTTAAGTGTCTGGTATGTCCGTTATAATACTTATCACTAAATTGAACAATAAAATCGCTATTGCAAATAAAATATTCCGCACCATCTAAAACAACAAATAAATTTTGTTTTATTGCTAAGTGAAAATTATTAAGCTGTAATAAATATTCTATTAGACTTAACCTCACTTTTAAACTATTTGGTGTAAATTTTGAGGTTATGTCAATCATTTCAATCTAAATCACTCAAAAATTTTAGGATTTGCTTAATTTAATATTAATTTAGTTGATATTTAATTAGTTCATGAATTAAACTTGCTTGTGATGGCAATGTGTTCGAATAATTCAACTCTAAACTATGAAATTTAACAGATTCAACATCTGTCGCACGCCAACCATTTTTGAACGCCTCGTGGCGGCATTTTGTCATGATACTCGTACTTTTGACAACCAAGTGTTCTTTTCTTTGCTGCCTCTAGTTTTCGACCAGCCCACCTTTTTTCGCGAGCATTTCGGACAATCGCCTGACTGTGTCAATCAATATTTATGGGTCAAAGGAAGCAGCAGTGATAATAAACATTATGCGCGAGAGAAATTAAAATACAATGCATGCTATCTGTCAAACGCACCGCGTACTAAAGAAAACAAGTAGTTAATCAAATTAAATTCGATGCATGCGCAAGCGCGTCAAAATTCTCCTGGAATTTTTATTTTTCGAAAAAAAAAAGTTATTATTGTTGTTAATACCAGTAGTTAAATACTTTTCGCATTTCGCTTATCACCGCTCGTGTGTGGTGCGCAAAAATTTATCACTTTATAGCCTCGTGCGGTCAACAGTTCACTCTGTCGATGGTGCCGGCGGTGGCGAAGGCGACGGGAGGCGGTTTCCAGCGCGTAGTGATAGAAATTATCAGGCGATGCGCGCGCCACTCGCGCTCAGCTCGAATTCGAATCCGCATGAAAACAATTAAAAATATACGCAAGAATTTCGAAAAGTCGCTTTATAGCTTATGTACTAGCAGAGTGCGATGTGTGCATGTGTGTTGTCTTCGAGTAGGGGGAAGCAGATATAGTAACCTTTGCTTTTCGTCCCGTGTGTAGTGTATAGTGCGTTCCAACGGCCAACCAGCAACCAGTCAGTCGCTAGCACGTACGACGCACGCGTCGAGAGCTTTTATCGCAAAACACGCTCAAAATTGAAACAAAAAATAATCGAGTTTTTATCGCGAAAGTTCATTAAGCGAAACAACATTATACTAAGTGGATTAATTAAACTAATTGGTATTTTAAGGTAAGTTACAAACACAAAAAATTTTAATTTAAAAAAATGTGATAAAATTTTCGGCGGGTGATAATAAAAATAAAATTAAATTATTTTTACATTAAAGTAATCTAAAAGTAATCTATTACTTAAGAGGTAAAAAAGATTCATTCTTGGCGCCAAAAATTTTACTACAACTCGCAGCACCCAAAAATTGAATTCTTGGAAAAAGGGACCGGCAAGGGGCGCCCGGTATGTAATTTACGCACCACGAGGAATTTCGAAATGTGCGATGATGCCCGACCGGCCATAACCAAAGCGCGCTTCCTCACGCGTCCCCGTATCACATGGGAAATGAACACAATCGGTATCTGTAACACGAAAACGAAATCAAAAACACGATACAACTTCACACGCTTTGAGAGTCGGGACACTCGCCGAGCGCGCACTTTGCGTCGCAGCGAAATTCCAACGCTTCCAACGCCGACCGGTTCGGTCATAAATATTTATTATTTTCGTGTAAAAACAGAATAAAAACCGGCAGCTCGCCCGCGCGCCGACGCAGTTAGGATTAGATAAGACGCTTGAAAACCGAAAAAAGTCTCATTTTTTTTGTAGGTAATAAGAGCGCCGAAGCGCACGAGGCACGACGGACGACAATTGTGACAGGTCGTAAAATGTAACGCGCGCAAACGCGAATTGTTATCGCGGTTCAACTAAAACACAATAACAATTATTACGTATGATTACGCTGCTATTTGTACGTCAAAAACAAGCGGTTTTGGTGTTTTGGTGTTTTTCAACATATCTAAGCACGTTGCATAAAATTCCCGCCACATGTGCATTTATTAAACCGGAAGTCTATGCACTTGATATTTTTTTCTCAATCAGCAAGTTTCATTTTGTGCACGCAGATGGTGTCCGATTAATGCAAACCTGTTTAAAAGTCACTTGTAATTTCATTTGCAATTTTCAAAAAAAAACCGGTACGGATATTACCTGTGGAAATAAAAGTTTGTCAAAATTGTGTAAGCAGCTGTGTGTGTGTGTTGCAATACATCCGCGGCACGAGCGTCCCGGCGAGCATCTGTTGCATAACGCGCCCCGAATGTGGTCGAATTTTTGGTAAAATGGTACGTGCAAAGTTGCATGCGTAGGGTTAGTGAACCGCGCACGTGGTCGAAGCCTATAAATAACCTCCCTTTCGCCTGGCGCGCCGGCATTCCGCCATGCATTTTTAGGTCGGCGGCCGTTGTCTCCGGTGGTGTGCGTGTCTGCAAGTCATGTTGACAAACAGTTGAGCGAATGAGCGAAATAGTCAAAGACTCAGGAAATTGGGGGACATTTTTATTTATAGATGGTTAAATTGGAAACGGAACTTTTAAGTTTTTTTCAAACTTAAAAAGACTTAAAAATCAAAAGTTTTGCAAAAAAAAAACTCGAAATTTTTTGATTTTTTTAATACAAACTTTAGCATTGTATCAACTCTTATTTATTTACACGTTGTGGCCATGACCGTGTTGCGTTCCGCGTGCGACGAGTGAACGTTTACCATTCGCCGGTGTATTTCTAATCGCCATTGTGAACAGCGAACAGCAATTACATTCACGATGTGGTTTGCCAAAAGTTCGCAAACCTCGCAAGCGCAGCGAAACAGCCAAACAACGAAACGACGAAACAAGTTCAGTGCGCCGATCATAATTCACACACAACTTTCACAAAACACGCATATTTTCGACATTTGCAAAATCTATCTATCGCATTCACACGGCCGGTACAATCGACTAAATATTAATAATTATCGGATTAGACTGGTCACGCAGTGGTCACTGCACGGGGAATTACGTGAAACGTTCACTTTGAATATACAAACACATTTTTAACAAAGTTGTAACTTTGAGAAGGAATATTTCCATCAAGGTGCGATTGCACTATCTAAACTTATAAATGTTTGATATCAAAATATTTAGTTGCGCTAAACAAATACATATATCACTCAAATAGGTTAAAAACTCTAACGTTTTTAACTGATAAGTTAAAGCGCACACAAAATGAAATTTAACGATTTTCGTTTTCTGTTCGTTAACCGACAATTGCCGGAAATGCTAATTTCGTTTGGCACGCATTTTGCGAATTAACCGACTGACAACAATGGCGTATACAAAGTTTAATGTTTCAAGCTCTCAGGAAGTGAAAAAAAAGATTCTATACCGGAAATACTAAATGTTTTTTTCGTCCAAAAGAACGATTGTGACTTAAACTTCCACCATGCATCCGTTATAATGACGTACATGTGTTTTATAATGACGAGCGGCCTTGAAATGCTGTTTAATGTCAGGCTAATTAAAACATCTTCTGTAACGAGTACATGTTCTTCACTTTGTCGGTGCCAAGGCGTTGAGAATCACACGATTGTCTACGCCACGCAATCTAATTGATTATTTCGTATATAATTGCGGCGATAATTAGAAAAAATTAACAATATTAATAGAACGAATGCCACCACGTTCAGGTGCGATGATATAACTTGTAACGGAGCACGTGCTTTGACAAGTTAAGACGTAATCGGTAATTCCGCAGAAAATCGAAAACACGTGCGCGGTTTACAAATTGTTTACAAAACGGTATGCATGATTAATGATGGTAATATTTGTGCAATTTCAGAATTTAAAATGTCGCCACCTAATGGTGTGCCTCCGGAAACGGCCGAGAATGGCTACAGTTTGGTGCCCGCCCAGGAGCAGGAGATGAATGGTACCGATGTTGGGAATGGCGAATCAAAGGCGGCCGACGAGATCGCCGCCGTCGTGGACGAGGTGGCCGAAGACGCCGAGGTGGTGGTACCGCCGGATGGCGGCTGGGGCTGGGTGGTCGTCGCCGCTTCCTTCGCGTGTAACATGGTAGTGGATGGTATTATATTCTCATTCGGCATGTTCATTCCGAAAATTGCCTCCACGTTCAACTCGTCCAGCGCCGAGATCACTCTGGTCGGCTCCTAATGTCTGGATTTTATCTGATGACCGGCCCATTCGCGAGCGCCTTGGCTAACCGGTACGGCTTCCGTTTGGTAGCAATCCTTGGTAGCATATTGGGTGTAGCTGCATTCGTGTTATCCTACTTTTCTACCAGTGTCTCATACTTATATCTTTCATACGGTATCCTAGGAGGTTAGTATTCAGATTATTATTTCGATCGTGCATATTGTCGATCATCTATCTCTCACAATTCACGCCATTTTTGTTGTTGCCACGATCGATTCATTGAATGCTCGCAATTCGTTTCTCGAATGTACTCATTTTCGCTGATATGTGGAGAGTTGCTAGGTGTCGTCCATTCGCATCAAAGGCCAAGAATAATTAATCAGATCATCTTTCGAATCATTTCAGTTTGATTCTACGTCTCTATCAAATAGGAAATTAACAATATGCATTTTTGCAACTTGCAGGTATCGGTTTTGGATTCATCTACGTTCCGTCTGTGATCACGGTTGGATTCTACTTTGAAAAGTATCGCGCCCTTGCGACTGGTATCGGTGTATGCGGGTCAGGAATTGGTACCTTCTTATTTGCTCCAATTTGCACCGCTCTGATTGAAGCCATGGGATGGCGTAAGGCCCTTTTGGTGCAAGGTGCTATAGTGGGAACCTGTGCCTTCTACGGATCTCTCTTCCGCCCGGTGAAACCCACGAAAGTGAAAGACCTTAAAAACGCTGAACGTAAAGAATTGATCATGGACAGTGCAAAATTACCTCCGCAGACACGTATTAAGATGGAGAATGCACTGAAGCACATTGCCAACAGTCACCATTCTCTTCACCACAGCCAAACCACTATTAATAAGATCTTAGGTGCTAACAACAACGCGGATTATCCTACTGTAGCGGATGTGTATCACACAATCACCGTACCCCAAACCGGAAATACCGCACCACCAGTAGTGATGGAGAAACGTTTAAGTGTGCCATTCTTGAAAGACTCTGACAAACCTTTGCTTCAGAGCAAGGGTTCTACGCCTGTTATTGTTCCCAGCCGCCGACCTTCTTATCACCGAACCAGGACCAACTCTGAAGTTGGAGGACATTCTAGGTCTCGCCGCGGGACACTCACAGACGTCAATCGACCCATGTACAGAGATGATATTTTCTTTGGTGCTTCCCTTACGCGTCTTCCTCAGTACCAATCACAAACTTCGTTGAAGTACCATCTATCTGTAACACGTCTTCCTACTAAGACTGATATTGAAGAAGAGGTTGAAGAAAACCGTCAGTGCACACTTTGCCCTGAAGCTGTCCGTCGTACCCTTGCAACCATGTTGGATGTGAGTCTGTTGAAATCACCATCCTTTATTCTTCTTGCCCTCAGCGGGTTCTTCACCATGATGGGTTTCTACGTACCATTCATGTACATTGCTGATCGCGCTAGTACCATCTACGGTTGGAATGAAGACGTAGCAACATATCTTCTCTCAGCGATTGGTATCACCAATACAGTTGGTAGGATTCTTTGCGGGTCGTTGAGTTTCTTCCCCAAAATATCCACTCTCATGGTGAACAATATCGCTATATCTATTGGAGGCATTGCGACAATCATGAGCGGATTCTCCTCGTCGCAGGAATACCAGTTCTTCTACTCCTGCATTTTTGGTCTTGCAATTTGTGAGTGTACTCATTTCTATTTTCGCCACGTCTAGTTCTAATCTAAATTTATTTGCAGCCTGCTTTGCGTCGCTGAGGTCAATTCTGGTCGTCGAACTTCTCGGTTTAGAGAAGCTAACGAATGCGTTTGGACTGCTGCTGTTGTTCCAGGGAATGGCAGCCGCCGTCGGAGCGCCCATTTCGGGGGCGTTCAAAGATGCTACTGGTAGTTATGACGCTTCATTCTACCTCTCCGGCAGCTTGATTCTCTTCTCGGCTATGCTCACGTATCCACTCAACTGGATCAACCGCTGGGAGAAGAGGCGCGCCGACCCCAATGCTAATAAATCAGTGCCGATCTAAGCAGAATTGCATGCGTTTGTAATGTTGTTAAACGAACTCATTATGTTCCTAAGTGATTTCTAAGAGTCAGTCGGACGAAACCAGTAAGTACTTTACTGTCACGCGCGACGTACAAGTGGAGGGAGCGTAGCAGGTGCAACCTCTACAAAACGGAGGCCAATCTTTCAAGACTGATGTTGTATATATTATATTTGTAATTATAGTTAGGGCCGTGACTTGTGAGTGTTTACTTATCGCACAAATTCATCTAAAATTGTTGTTTGATATTATTTATTTGATAATGATCTATTGATGTAATGCTAAGAAGTTTAAATTATTGTTTGTAAGATATGTACATAGGGGTTGCTTCTAACCGGTACGTGAGACCAAATTTAGTTTTTTGAATGACATTCCAAGCGGGGATAATAAAATTTTACTAAACACGAGCAATAATGAGTTGACGGCGTTCTAGTTAGTCTACGAATGATGAGATTTTTAACGATATTATTCATTTTACTCTGTTATCAAATAATCAAATAAACTGAAGGTATGCATATTGCGCTTGTCACCAGCCCGCCTCATATTTACATTTAAAGGTTGACAGCTTGTCAAATATACGAATTAGGAATGCCAGGTTCGCTTACAGAACCAAGAGTTGATTACGTTGCGATTCCACCTGACGGAGGTTGGGGGTGGTTTGTGGTGCTGGTTGCCTTCTGTTGGAATGTGATCGTCGATGGCACTTGCTTCACCTTCGCTCTTTTTATGAGTGAAATGTTGCAGGACTTCAAAGTAACTCACTCTTTGTTGATGGTGTCCAGCTCAACCCAAATGGGCCTGTATTACTTCATTGGTACCATACAATATTTAAAACTTTTTTAAACACTATTTATCTTATTTGTTTTTGTAGGACCTTTGGTGGCTGCTATGATAAACCGTTTTGGATTCCGAACAGTGGCCATGACTGGAGGATTGCTTGCATTTGGAGGTGTTTTATCTTCAGCATATGTTGACAACATCTACTTGTTCATATTCACTTTTGGCTGTACACTTGGTGTTGCCTTTAGTATGATCTACATGTGCAACATTCTCGTAGTGGGTTTCTACTTTGATAAATACCGAGCGGTAGCGACTTGTATAGCTGTCAGTGGTAGCCCAATGGGAGTCAGCGTGTTCCCTTTCATCCTCAGCATCCTTATCCCTGATATGCACTGGCGTGATAAGTACAAGTACATTTCGGGAACACATCTTTTAATGACCCTGTTTGGACTGGTGTACAAATCAATTCCACTCTCGGAAGTGATAACGGATACCCGCAAAGGAGTCACAGAAAACTCATCAATATGGGATGAGTGGGAACGCGAACACCCTGTGAGAGGTGTTGGTGATTATCCAACAAATGCAGAAGCTCTAGAGAATATTAACTATACCATTGTCACACCTTATGACATCCTGGACCAAGACTCTGACCAAAGCGGAAGTATCAGAACCAAGATGCTAAGTATCAGCACGCTCAATCGGTATTCATCGGCAGATATACCAAAATATATTGTGAGAAAAATCTGCTGCTGTCGTTGTAAATGTAAATACGTACCATGTGCGTGTTTGTGGCATGATACCAGACCAATGTATAGAGATGACATTCTGTATCATGGTTCAACAAGAAAGTTACGACAGTATAATCGTTCTGAGATAGATGTACGTAACCTAAGTAACATGAATGATCAATTATTTAAATATCTCTTCATTTGTAGCTTACAAAAAGAAGAACTGCTTATCATATGAACGTGACAAGAACATCTAACTTTGCGGATACTCCAGAAAATGCAGACTGTTGCAATTGTTGCCCAGATTCAGTCATTCGAGTGTTGTTGACCATGTTAGATTTTAGTCTGGTGAAATCCTTCGCGTTCTTTTTGCTCGCATTTAGTGGATTTCTTACTTATCTTGGTTTATACATTCCGTACATGCACGGAATTGAGTTTTCCGTGCAGAATCATGTGGACAAAGCACATGCTAGCTATGTTCTCACAGCAATAGGTATTTCAAATTGTGTGGGACGAATGGTTTCTGGATTTGTAACAACCATGATTCCTAAAATAAGACCTATAATTCTTTCGGAGATTACCTTAGTGTTTGCTGGCACTGCATGCATTGCTCATCCTTACTTTAGCAGCTTTCTAGCTCATATAATTTGTGCTTCAATTTTTGGATTTAATATTGCTACGATATCATCGATGAGGACGTTAGTTGTCGTTGATTTATTAGGTCTGGAAAAGTTAACGAATGCGTTTGGTTTGATTGTTTTGTTGGAGGGTTTGTCATCGTTGGTTGCTATGCCTTTGAACGCTTTTCTTTATGAATCCTATAATGATTTAAAAGTCCCCTTTGTCTTTTCGGGAATAATGATTATTTTGAGTGGAATTATTTTGATTCCAGTTGAATCTTTGTATAAATTAGAAAAGAAACGTAAAATGAAGAAAGAAGAACACAGGCGGTGGGTGAGGTCCCAGCAGATTAAAAGACTATCAACAAAATCCACTCACCAACCACAACAATCAACTAGTAAAAGATAATGTAAAACTTAATCTATTACATGAATAAACCTGTTCTTCCACCTATCGGTGAAACTGTAAGTTATTATAAGGGTAACGGGAGGTTTCCGCTAGAGAAAATTCTTGCCGCCCGCTCGCAGCGGCGGCTATCGATCCACACCCCCTAAGTCTGCGAGTCGGGGGCAGTAGGTAGTAGTGAGTCGGGCATCGATTGAGCGCGTGGTGGTTTCAGTGGTGCAGCAGGATGGACATCAACGGCGATTACCAATATTCGGGATCCGGTGGGCCCCAACAACCCCCCAGTCGGCCCATGGTGGATCCCGAAGACTTGGGAGACGTCGACCCTGAAAAGTAAGCCAGAATTCCTCTATTCCTCTATCATTATTCATGACTGGATGATTTGATGTAAATGACAGGTATGGAGCACCGAAGGAAGCAACGCACAAAATCCGCGGCAAGTCTGACCTGCTGGAGATGCTCTTCGGTGGTGCTGTTGACCAAGAGCTGCTCGTTGTCAAAAGTTTCTACTTTTGCTTTTATTCCGCGTTCGGTTCGTTGTTTCCATTGATGGGGGTGTACTTTAAGCAGATGGGCATGAATGCCGGTCAGTGCGGTTTCCTGGTTGGTTGTCGGCCGTTTGTGGAGTTTCTATCCGCGCCATTTTGGGGTTCATTAGCCGATCGGTATCAAAAGGGAAAGCTGCTGCTGTTGGCTTCCTTGGCAGCGTGGATCATTTTTACTGTTCCATTGGGGTCTATTCAACCGCCGGCCACCTCCTGCATTGAAGTCAAGAACGACAGCTACGTCTTGACCACTCCGGATGTCACCGCCAAGTTCTTGACAAAGAGATCTATTCAGGAACCAAACAAATATGATCCACAGTTTATTGCGTATGTAGAATAGTAGTAATAACTCAATATTTGTGATGGAAATTAAATTCCTTGAATACTTTTACAGCCACACACGCATTCCCCGAGCGGCACGTCCGAGATTAAGCGCCGGACAGTCGCCTATCAATGTCAACTACGCCGCCAACTATAAAGAGCATGAACATGAAAGCTGGGTCAAGCCTATTATATCCTCCATAGTTTATCGGACCCAAGATATTCAAAAAGCTTTCTTCCTTTTGCTGCTGCTCGTAATTATTGGAGAGTTTTTCAGCGCGCCTGCTATCACTCTGGCTGACTCGGCAGTGATAACATTGTTGGGTGAAGATGCTGACCGGTACGGACATCAACGAATGTTTGGTTCACTTGGTTGGGGATTGGCTATGTTCTTTGTTGGTATTGCTCTGGATCACTCCACAGCTTTCCCCAATCATCCATGTGGACCCGATAAGAAAGAAAAGAACTACACGATTTGTTTCGCCACATTTTCGGTCCTAATGGGAGCTGCGTTGATTACCGCAACACAAATCAACTTTAAGTACGACACTGATCAACCCCCAAGACCCATCAATGAGGAAGCTCCCCAAGAAGCAGCTTTGAGTAGAGAGGATCAAATGCAGGAGCAGCTCGCGCAACAACTCAACCTGCCTTCGTTGGCGGATACCAGGGCTACTGGTGCAGCCCAACCGCCGCAGGAGGCCAAGTCCAAGATATTTGCTCAAACTAATCGCGAGCTGCCTGAGTGGGTAACTGTGATGGCGCAGTTCAAGGATTTGAAATGCGCTTCCTTCCTGTTTGTTGCCTGGTGGATGGGTTTCGGAATTGGAATGATTTTCACCTTCCTCTTCTGGCATCTTCAAGACTATGGTGGATCCCCCACTCTATTTGGAGTTGCATCCGTGATTAACCACGTGTCGGAAATTTTCGCTTACTTTTTCAGTTTCCGTCTTATTCGTCAGATGGGACACGTAAAAGTTCTCTGTGTTGGTTTGATTGGTAACACGCTGCGTTTCCTCTACATCTCGTGGCTGTCAAACCCCTGGTGGGTGCTTCCCTTTGAGTTCATGCAGGTAAATCTCGCCAGTTGTAATTTTAAAGCCTTTAAAACAATTGGAGTGTGACTATTCTAGGGCATTACCCACGCCGCCGTCTGGGCTGCCTGCTGCTCCTACATCGCGCACAACACTCCGCAACAATTACGCTCGTCAGCGCAAGGTGTTCTCCAAGGGATCCATCATGGTTTGGGACGAGGATGCGGCGCGGTCATTGGAGGGCTTTTTGTTAACGCGTTTGGTTCAACCGCGACGTTCCGTGGATATGGGTTAATGTGTCTAGTCGTGCTCGGCGCATTCGTTTTTATCAACTTTTATCGCGTGGATCAAGGCTTTGTCTCCGAAATACCCACTACTGAGGATCCACGTCAGATGGCCGAGGAGACTGCTCATCTTGCTCCACATGGCGTACCAAGTAATCCAATCCCACGCGCGTTGTCAAGCAGCAAGTTGCATGAAATGGCTCAGGATAGCTATGGTGCTACTTATCAAACTGGCGCAGGTGGTACGCTTGATATTCCCGGAGGTGCCGGCTCTAATCCATTCACAGCTCCGCAACAAACCTCCAATGGCAATCAGTTCTCGGGATTTCAAATGAGAAGTAAGTTTTTACTCACAAATCCACCACCAAATAAAACTAACTCAATGTTTTTTTTTTTTGGTTACAGACTAAATAATTGCAAGCGGGTAAGTTTTGGTTTTGATTAGAAGCGCGTAACCTTACTCTAGAATCGAAACATACAGCAAACGAAACACAGAAACACATCCAGCTATCATCAGAAAGAAAAATCTAAATCTTAACAGGTTCCTGATAAATATACAAGTATTTACATCGCACGTAAAACTCCAACAAATACATATCGCGCAAGGACTTTCATTAAATATAGACGATAGAGAATTTTATTACAAACCGAAACAAAAATGAAGATATTTTTTAGAATCATTGTTACATCTGGTTTATGGTCATTTACACAAAAATGTCGGATATTTACCAGGAACACTTCAACATAATATCGAAATATCACAAGTTACAAATCGTATTTTACTATCAGAAAATTTGAAAACATTTATCGATGTTTAATCTATGCAAGTCAAGCGAAAAATATCATTCCAGGCTTCCAAGAAACAAAAAAAGTATTGAACATATTGAACATATTGAACAATCTTTAAAGTTACAAACGCGTTAAGCGCTTAATATCATAATGATAAATGGGAATAAACTATCAGAAGGAGTAACCTTGTAATTCTTGTACAAAAATATACTTGTTATACAAACGAGACTTCCTACAAGTCCGCACTCGATTGAATGTTGAATTTTGAATTTTTCAAAAGATACCAACAGTAACATCTACTATATAAATATATACATAAATAAATTAAAACTATCTTGTTAAGTTTACTTTCTCGTAACGTGGTACTGTTATCTTGTAGACGTGTAGATAGGCAATTTTAGTTATGTTGCTTGGATCGCCCTAGCAACATATTCGAGTAACATTCTAACACTTTTCGGTTGCTTTCCAAAACAACAACAACAAACAACTCTTCGTTCGCGATACGTCCAACTTGCTAAACGAGTCTTTAGTGATTGAAAGAAAACGAATATCACGAGAATTGAAACAAAACACACCACTAAATAATCGATACATATCTGGTTGAAGAATCGAGAGATTTAAATGACATATTTATTATTATTGTAAGAAATGAATGATATCAACATATACTGTTATATTATAAATTTAAATAATTCTACATCATTGTACGTTCGTATTTTAAGTGCGGATAGGCTTAACGTACTTTAGTTGACGACTTGACGTCTTAATTCGTAAGATACAAACGTAATTGGAGTACCAGTACAGTAATCGTGTAAGTGAAAGACGTCGGGAGGAGAAATGATGATTTGCGAACACAATGTGTAATTAACACTCTGTATGAGCACTCATAATATTAACAATGACATGTAAAACTATGTATATGTTTAAATATAGAAGCACTATGATGTTAAAACGTTCTTGGGTGATTTTTCAAGGTTATAACAGGCGGATTTGTTTGGTTCATGTGTTTATTTTTCTAGTGGGATATCCTCATTAAAAATAATGATTACGCTGTCGTTGATTTTGATTTCGGTTTGGATATTCATCTATATTGATCCATTGAGTTGCGGATAATTGGTCCTTAAACTTGTTATTGTTACAATTGATTGATTTTTGTGGTGTTCTTCGTCGTTTATGAACACAATGTTTTCGTTTGGTTATTTATGCGTCGGAAGATTCCGGCAGTCGTATGGTGATCTTTTTATAGCAACAACTTGGTGCATCACAACAATTCCTTTCTGTGATGCGGGGAACCACCGTCTTCTTTGGGGAATAAGTATCCATCAATATTTTGGGACTTAAAAGGACCTGCAATAGCTCCAAACCGGTTTGACAAGCAAATGACCTTTGATGTGGTGCTGTTTCTTTAATATTCTGTTGTTGTTGATTAGCAACAGCAAGCGTAGTTGTAGTTGAAGTAGCTGATGGATTATCCCTCCAACTATTGACGGAACTCTTTGTAGATACTGCTGTAGAAACTTTGGAGCCAATATGACATCGGATACTTTTACTGGTTGTAAAATATGAGCGATTATTCCTTTCGGGTCTTAGAATAATAATGTACAATTTTGGAATGAAGAGGAATGTCCATGTGACTGTGGCACTTAGAGTAACACACATACACATTGTGATTACTTTAGAATCGCTACCGAAATAAATTGGGACGAATGCTATCCAAATCACGCAGGTTGTATACATTGCAAAACCGATGAACTTGGCTTCGTTGAAGTTTTCAGGGACATTACGGGTCTTCAACGCGTATAGTGTACACAATAAAATTAGAAAAAAGTCAAAAGCAAGAGGTGTGACCACTCCTTCAGGGGTTGTATTACATTCTAGAACTGTTTTATTCGAGTGGTAACTATGGGCTATATCTGGGCGCTGATAGAAAAGCATCCAGATTGATATCAGACACTCAATTGCAATAAGCATTGTGGTTATGACCACCTGAGACGCGCTGGACATGAAGAGACGTTTTCTAGTTGGGAAGCATTTCTTAGAAACAGCTAATATTCTTGCTATCCGATTGGTTTTTGTTAGCAAAGCTGCGTATATCATCGCAAAACTTAATCCGGGGAGAAAACGAGTTAGGGCACAACTGATTAGAGAAGGTTTAGCCAATATGGCGAAAATTGATCCATGTGATAACATCATACCGACCAGTATGATGTAGGAGAGTTCTTTTGTGGAAGATTTTACAACGGGTGTGTTATTGTACAAAACAAAGATGGCTAACGAGAACCAAGTGGTTACAAAACCCAAGGATGCAAAGACCATCGCTACAATTGCTTGGGTATCAAACCATTGGGTATAGACAATGTCCAAACGCAGACAAACTGTAAAAATACATAAATAACTATTAGAAAATCATTTTATTCAAATTTCAGTAATAAATACCTGTTTGATTTGCATCTGGGGAAAACCCCAATGGGCACTTTTCACATCTCAGAGAATCCGATGCTTGGTCAAGGATCTCACCAGCTGGGCATTTGACACACACCCAGCAACATCTTTTATCCTTCCCACCAAGTTGTATATTCTACAATAAGAACAAGAAAACTCTTGTAAACTGAAGTCTTGATCGAAATACGTGTCGGTTACCTTGTAATGCCCCATGGGACATTTTTGCGAGCACACCGAATGAACAGCTGCGCGCGGTCCAAACTGCACCGGCTTCACCCAACCCAAGCTCCTATTATTCCAGTCACCGACGTGCACGTAATCATAAGTGTCGTCGCCGAGCCGCTGATAGTTCATGATATCGTAGCGTCCGGGAGGATCGCCATTCTCGTCGAACTCCACCGGATCCCCGTGGTAGTCAAAAGACACGTTCAGCAAATAGTTCTAATCATGAATAAATTTTCATAAATTATCTTATTATCTTACACTAGATAGTATCATGTACCTTAAAAAGAGATCCATTAAAGGGTAACAGTTTATCGCACATGCCGATAAAATCCTGACCGCAGAGATCCTGCTGCATGTTATGCAAACCATAAGCGAAGCTGTTGATCGCCTTGATGACGAAACTCAACTTCGGGTCCTGTCGGTATCCGTCACTGAGATCCTCACGCCCTAAGTGAGAAGCACACGTTTGTATTACCTCTCTGTACGCAGGCGGGTTTTGATTGGATGCAACCCGAGCGCAAAACCTAATTACGATGAGTAATGAACGTTATGAATGATAATTCCCCGCGCGCGCACCATGCGTACCGACATTGAAACCCTGGCATTAATAGTTTAAAACGCTCGGGAGTGTCGAGATTAACGAATTCCACATTCCAGCAGATGTCCACATATTACAGTATAGCGAATTGCAATATATACCGAGTGAATAATTAAATTAAAGTCCGAGGTGCTCAAAGACTCATGATTTACACACACGGAATTTTGTAATGATAAAGCTTTGAGTTTTGAATCCTCAAATCCTTGTTATTATCAGATTAACACGGATTAGAATGTCATAAAGTATGCAACCCAAATTTCATCTCACCACAACATAATATAACCTTACCTGTACAAATTCTCTTTTTTTCATTTTTTACTTCCGGAATCTGATTTCCTTTGACGGTAGATGAAGACATAGTTGAATTCATGTTTTCGTTAGAATCAAATTCATCCTGCGTGCTTTCTGTGGGGGTTAAATCAATTCTGTTTGATGTGGCGTCGTCCGGCAAGGTGCAACCGAAACGAAACTGCCAGAACTCATTGAACCACGGGTTTCTAGCATTGTTTGAAGGAGTCAATCCCCAATAATAGTTATCAAAGTCATTGACGTACGGAGAGTGTATTCTAATTGAGATGCTGCCCCATGCTTGTTCTTCTAATCCTTGAGTTACGTCAGCTCTATCAGCCCAACCATCACTGCCGAAAAATAAATAATGTACTGATAGTGTATCGTTGATGTTAATCAGTCAGGAAACTAGTTCTCCGCGGGAGTGTAAATTGAATTCTGTTTAACTTTAATGAAGCCTTTTAGTAACAATTTTGAGTATCTGACCGGCGAAAACCACAACCGATAGACACGGCGTTCGGAAGTTGCTGATTGAAACGATTGAACCAATTAGTAATTATGAGTAACTTCATTATGCATCGTTCTCGCCTTCGCCTAACGCTATTTGCAAAGTTTTCCGAACTTTGCAGCCTGCCAGCATTTGCCTGCCGGACGTCGTAGGTCAAAAACAAACATAACTCATCGCTTTTCTACCGTATCTCTTCGCTGTGATCTCAAAAGTCCACAACTAATAATTTACGACAATCTGCAAAGTTAATTAGCGCGACGGAAGGAATAAAACGGATGCGGGCCACTTGCACACTCCTTCATCTTATCTTCATCTTTATCTTTATCCGTATTTTTTGATGCTCGACATGCGACAATGTTGCGCTCCACTTCCAACTTCCAACTTTCCAGCATCCACCGGAAACTTGAAAATGTGCTATTAAAATTATAAGTTAACTGCGCGGAAAATGCTGAAGCACGAACAAAGCTCAAAGGAAAACGTCCGTGCGTCCATTATGGATGGAAATAGTTAACCTTCCGGCGGGAGTGTAATGATTTAATTTCGTCATTTCGGTTCGCTTACCTCCCGATGAATAGAAAGTGGTTGCTCATGTTGAGGCGCTTCGTTGCAGCAAGCAATCCCCGCACAGTAAAACCCTCGCAGAAACAGACCACTACGTAAGCATTCGGGTCCTGTCGAAGGTTGATGATCACCTTGTCGAAGGTATCTTCCGGCGAATTACTTAACACGGAATCTTCTCGTGCTATGCAGACATCTGCTTCTTCAGCAAGCTCACGAAATGCCTGGATTCCTGACTGGCCGTAGTTTTCTTCAAAAATCAAATAAATCATTTATTATTTATTAAAATATTATATTTTTTCTATGAAATTTCTTTTTGTTTTGTTTTCGCTACAAAACAAATATAAATCAACTCAAACAACGTTTTGCGTCTCCAACGCCGTGTTTACACTTCAGTTCTTTCAGTTTCTTTATATTCTCCCCATTTTTGCCAGTGTTCGTTTAGATTTCATAAAATATGCAAGAAAGCATGAAAAGGACTCACGACTCACCGTCCGTATTGACTATGGATACATACGTCCACTCGTGAAAACGCACAACGTCGAGCATCACCTGCGCCTGGAAGTAATCCGACGGCACCACGCGTAAAAAATAGTTGAAGCGACTCTTATCGGACAGATCCTTTGACGTCGTAGAGTATCCGATCTGAGGTAGGTGAAACAATTGCAAAAGATTCTGCACTTGCAATGCCACAGAACTACTGCCAGGACTAACAACACCAATCAAAGGTCCTTTTGCGTTTTTAATTCTTGGTGATCCAGTAATGTTCAAACAACTGTCATGGTGTATGGATGCAGGAGCAATGGTTTCACGTATTAATTCAATACTCTGTTGCAACGCCACAGGAGCATACCAGCAATCATCACGGATTTCTATTCCCAATGTGATGTTGGGCAAGATTGTCTGATCATCGTTGATTTTATCAATTGTATGAAGAGCTACTTCAATACGTTGGATTCCGTATTGTTCACGGATCTCACCGCATTTGATCCCGTAGCTCTGTTTCCGGCCTTGTTTGCTCTGCGGCATGTGGTGGATGGGAAAAAGAGCACCGATCATAAAATTGCCATTGATTGCGGTGTGCTGTTGTTCTTCCTGTGGGGTTGTGGCGCTTTCCAACAATGGGAAAAAGCACACAACCAGACAGAACAGACTTACACCATTCATGGTATTAGTTAGAAAACATTTTTGCTAAAAATAGAAAATAAAACACAAATTAGTTGTGTGTACACTTGGTTTTGGTTTACTAAATGTTATTTTATACCAGTTAGGAATGACTTTTGTTTCTGTGTTAATTAAGTTACTGTTTCCAGCAAGCATCATCTATCATTATGAGGCAATTAATTACTACCCAACAGAAAATTAATCTTCCCTTTTAACGCAATTTAGTTGCTCTTTTAAAGCAAAATTTTTATGAATGACTTGTATGGTGTTTTATTAAAAGTGAATAGATGGATGATAAAAAGTGCATCATTTACGTAAAAGGCTCTGAGTAGTAAAGACTTCATGAATTCATCTCAATTGAGTTGTCGCGTCGCCTCACATAAGACGCTCAGTTTTTTCGTGTGGAGGCGCCGGGCAAACGCAGCCCGCTTCTGAATAAATATTTTATTTAATCTCGTTCCGTCAGCATAAACGATACAAAGTAGGAGTGTGTCGACGAACTCCGTTGAAATTGATTTATCGCACTTCGTCAAAGGCATTTGCGTATGCGAGAAGCTCTCAAAAGTAAAAAGAAAATATAAGAATTCTTTCCACACAGCATAAGACAATAATTCTATATGTCTTATTTTGTTTGTGTGTCATACAAGTATAAATAACAGAATGTTAATGATGAGAGCGTGAAAGTAGTATGTGTGTTTGCGTTTGAAACAAAGACGCACAATTTGCGCTCAAACTGAAGCGTCAAGGATGATGTCAAGCTGACGGTGTGTACCGTTGGGACCGTGGGGAACGAGCATAAAGAATTTTCTTCGCAACGCAGCAATTAAATAGCTGTCTATCAAGCGTGGCTGAAATGCACGAGTGCGATGAAAAACGGTTTTCACACTCGTCGTAACGTCGAAGCTCAAACATTTTCCGCATACTACATGAGGTGTTATTTAGCCAAAAACTTGAAACGTTGAACTTAAATAGAAATTCCTGTCAAAATTAACAACATTTAAGAATTTAAATTTAAAGTCAAAAAGATAAAAGTCAAAATATATTCAGAAGAAGAAATAAAAACATTTTCTATATTATTCCAGGCATTAGGGCACAGAGATGAAATGTGAACATAAATGAAATCTCACATATGTTGCAGGTAAGTTGATGTTGAGCTTTTCGTGACATTAAAGCAGAAACAAAAACCTCACGCGGCAAACGACTTTTTATTAAACCTTTCATCTTTATTCAATTTCTTCGAGCGAAAGCTTTCTCAATGGATTGACACGCGTTTATTATTTTTTGTGTGCTTTTAAAACACGCAGCAAACAAAAAGTTAACATAACTGCGTGTAATAGTATGCGTAGGAATGCGTGTGCAGCTGACAGCGTGAAATATGAAAACAATTCCGGGATTGCGAAACGTAACACCAAAAAAAAACTGACGTCGTTTTTTATCGGCCACTTAATAATTGATAAAACAATCTCATTCATCTCTGAGGTTTCGCAACACAAGTCAAAAGTCAAAGTGCTTTTTTGTCTTTCTTTTCCTTGATGTTTTGTTTCTTTATCGCCGTTTTTTCGCGGTTGAACACTTAACGTTTTTTTCTTCGTTTTTAATACAAGCGCAAAAATTACAAAGTGCTCGTTAAAATGCTGGAATTAAAATTTAATAAAAAAATATACACTCGGCGGTTCTTCACCTTTCGAGCAGAAAGGATCGCGAAAAGAAAACGTGGTTTATTCAATTGTTCGTTTGTTTCGTTGCTGGCAAGCAGCAAGACACGGGAAAATTAAATTCAAAGTAATTTCAGATATAAATTGTTTCAAGTCGTGGCGCTGTGCAATGAAGGAGGCAGGCCGGAAGACGCTTTTCCTATCAAAGGCGGCTAGTTAGCAAATGCGACGGCGACAATGCTGCAAAAGTTGCAATCGCCACAAATTGATATTTTCGCAATTTAGCGTATTAATTAATAATTCAATTAGAAATTTCATCAAACATTTATGAAAATGTGCGCTGTAATTTAAAATGATAAATTAAACTTTACATTTAAAACAAGTGTTTAATTATAATTTTAGCGTTAGTTGTGAATATAGGTATTCGCAGTTTTAGTGCACTTATTAAGTGCATATTCAAATTTGCAAACTTATTTGCATCATAACTAGAATTAATTTTGTCATTACATCATTTCATCATATTATAATAAGCAGTAACAAGTTTTTAGTGCGCTAAAAATAAAATTGTGATAGCATTATTTATGAAAATATCAAAAACGTTATTTCGATTAATATAGACAAGCACCCGTCAATGAAAATCAATATAAACTTGAAAATAGCCGAAATAAACATTCAATATTAGTTTATAATTAAAATGCAACGCAAAATAATCTATTTTGATTAATTCCGAATTAAAATATCGTTTTGATGAAAAATAACAGTAAAAATTTTGTTTTTTATGCAAGTTAATAGTCAGTAAATGTTTGCAATGCATCGTGATCGCCCCTCGCAAAAGTTTTGCATGATGATGATACGCTCACAGCCATCCGCCACCCTTGGCACTTCATAAAACTTTCAGTGAGCTTTTGTTCGTGAGACGAACTGTTCAGTGTAGATTCTGAAGCATCTACGTGTGGCGCTGCCATTGGAAACCGACTGATAAATTCAACCAAAGCAAACGAATGCTTTGTGCATGACCACTGCAATTCAAACTTACTACGTGAATATAACTTATACGTTTATGACTTGTATAATAAATTTAACTTTTGCGTAATGTATCTTATTCTGATGGTTTTTGTATAAGATTCAAAGGAAGTGCTTTTGGTGGTTGTAAAATTGTACGATCCTTTGTCTTAACAATGTGAAAGTGGGCGAAAAGCTGGGTCACTTTGCAACTCGGCAAGTTCGAGCGGACAGGGCGCGTCAAAAGCTCCCGAATCGGAAATGACCGCACAATAAGCAATAGAACGAGCGTCCCGCCCGCTTTCAGCGTATTTGGTCGGTGGGAGAATGTGGCAAAAACGCCACCATACGATGGAAAGTCATTTCACTTATCGCACGCCGGCGTGTAATCGACCCATATCGCTTCGTATCTAATCAAAACCGCAAACAATGCCGAAAGTGGAAAGATCGAGCTTTCGATTGATTTCAGCCCAACAATTGAATTTCATTTTGTACTCAAAAACACACCGAAATAAAACAGAATAAAATATTTAGTCTAATGTTACTGATTTTTATTCTAGTAATAAAAAATAAATTGATTAGTCAGTTTTATGGGTTATGTCAGAGTTACAAAAATAAACATGACCACATGAGAAGATAGCAGAAAAATGTTGTCGCCATTAAAACAGACATAATTCGAAAAGCACGCGTCGTTTTCCGCTGAAAACATGAAAGCCGACGGATAATTAGCGCATTAACATTGCATATTTATACGTGTAGGTACTCATCGTCGACTTTCAACGCGTTTGCTTTCCGCTATGAAATCCAATCTGGCTCATAATACTTTTACGTAAAGCTTTAAGCATCACCTCGATTAACAATCTGCATAACATAATAATAAAACTGTTTTTTTTTTCTAGTTATTTTGTTGTATGCTTCGGAAAAACGCTGATTAACAAAGGCAATTCTTGAAGTTCTAAAAGGAGTGATGCACAAATCACGTGTTTCCTGTTTGTAAATATTTAATGAATGCGTCGCGCGAATACGGAAAGTTTTCAATTTATGACGTTTCCACCCACGGCGGAGTTACGTACATGTTTTTGAAAAGCAACTTCATTAAAATTTGTATGGAAATTTTATCGTCATTCATTTATCCTAAGAACTCGGAGTTTTTTTATTATTAGATTACATAGTGAGTCATCATTGTAGCATTTTTTGCAACATCATTAGCAATTAATTAAACGGGTGGCAACAATTTGCGTATGCGGTTGGATAAAAAGTGGATTAATGTTAACGCTGATAATTTCGTAATAAGCTCGTTTATCGATGCAACGCTTGTTTGGTGTTGATTGGTTTTTCATCAACTTCATCAACTTTCATCAGATAGCAACTGATAACCGCATTTATCTCCTGTAGAATAAAGATACAATATTCCGACTGAGTTGTTAAAAAGATTTTTATGTTTGATTCACCAAATAAATGTTTTGTTGTGTCTTTATGTCAAATTTTGCGACACAATCAAAATTATTTTATGTTTTGTAATATTCTGCATTGTATCTTAAAAAATAATTGAATATATAACTTGTTATCATAAAGTTTTAACAAAGTCGGTTAATAAAAATAGATTAAACTTCTTGGAGCGAGTTTACAACCTTCAATAAATCACACCAAATAAAAGTGTTCTTGTTTCCAGAGACCGAAACATTAGGAAAACGAAGAAATTTATCTAACTTAAACACCTACACACTCCAGGCACTATACTGGTGGGCGCATTTTTTGTTTCATTATTTCACGCTCATCTTTCTTGCGACTGCTTTAAGAAATACAAACGAAACTCGGCCGGCAAAGGTGGCAGCGAGTAATCTTTCAAGATGCGCTCGAACTGGGCGCCTCCACCATCGAATCTGCTTCCGGTTTCCCGTCTTGCAACTCTGCTACGACGTGCGGAAGTAATTCTTGTTACGAACAAGGCTTATAACGTGATTTAACCTGTACATACACAAAATTACCGGATTTGTCAGTTTTAAAACTAAAAGCAAAAAAAGGTGAAAAACTCTACGCGAGAAAAAGCAAAACAATTTGACGTATACTGCGATAACAAAAGCTTTTGAAAAGATGGATGCAAAACAATGCAAACCAGATTTTCGGTCAACGCACAACAGACAAAAACGTAGAATTAATTGCGCATGTTTTTAAAAATAAACTTAAATTTAAAAATTATTTTTTTCATGTTGCTGCTGGCTATGTATACTATTAAGTTATTGCAATTGATGAACGGTTACACTGTTAGTGCATTGATCGATGTCGATAATTGTGTGGTCAGATAATCGGCTTTCAAAGTCATCCCAGTGTTCAATTTGTGCTGCCTCAATTTAATTATGACATGTTGGGATACTAAAATTGCCGAGGACATGTGCATGTGATGTTTTCCGTTAATATTCGGTTCGGTAATTTGTTTTCATGACGATAATGAGTATTTATTAGTTTTTCAGGTGTCGTAAATTTTAAAAATCTCAACTTATCAAATTTTACGTGTTTTTTTCATGTTTTTACTATTTTTCTTATTAGTTATTCGATTTTTAATATTTTTCGCAGGAAAAATGAGTGTTTAACTTAAAATTAATATCCGCAGATATTTAATAAATTTGTTTCTATATAGATAAGTTTATATTTAATATTTCACAACATGATTTAATTGAAAATTGTTAAGTTATTAGTTTTCTTCTTTAATAGTTTACAAAAATCAAGTGTACTTTACTTGATAAACTCCAAGTGTACTATAGTTAAAGAAAAGGTCTTTTTATCTTAGTGCTCACTTTGTTCCAAGAAAAGGTGGAGCAGTTCCAGCGTGTCGATGGTATTGACACACGAGAACAAAACGTCGTCGAAGTAATTACGAGTTAAGCCTAGAAATGTCCGGCCCGCTTTCGCGGTTTGAACGTATTAAGCATCGAATCGAAGCTGGCTGCCGAGACACGACACGCTGCTTTCTTCGTCGTTGTTCATTCAATCTGTCCTTACCGCTGCGCCGAAGGATTTTACTCGCAACGCTTGATTCGCTTCGTCGCAACAAGATGCGAGATTTTCTTGCGCGCGGATCATATTTGCGAAACGTCAAAGCGACAAACCAAGAACAAAGAGTCTAGGGAATGCGCGTTTGTGACTTCACAAACGCGCGAAACCGGAAGACGAACTTGGAGTTTGATCGTTTTCTTGTTTTCGGACGCGCAGCTTACCTAAATTTGCATGCGAAACGAACGCTTTGCATCGTGGATGACTAAATAATCATCTTAACGATTCGATAAGAACGCTTAGCTGACATTAGGCACCAGATTAAATTCTTTTAGTTCTATGTTTCTAACTGCGTACTAAATTTACTCTCGTTTTTTGTTCAAACATAAAAAAGGCGTGAGTATTGAGTGGCATATATTAAAAATATTTTTACGACTGTTTAACACGCAAATTTTGCATTTCTTGATTCAATAAAAACAGGGATTGTTTTTAAAATATTCCACTATTGAACTTTATTTAAATGAAAAACATTGAACGAAACTTTTCTGCTTGTTGCAAGAAAAAAAAGTAAATTCAACTTTAAACATAAACAAAAGTTTAACTATAAATTACATTGTGTGAGGGTGAGAAAAAGTTCAATTTGTATAATAAAATTGCATTGTTCTTACTGCGAGAATAAAAACAAATCGCAGTGGTAGTTAATCATTAATTTAACGGCTTGAACGTTCACTGAATAATTGCAAGCGAGCGATGGCAATAATTACCTAACGAACAGCAACAAAATAACGACCATCGACCGGCCATCCCCAAGCGTCTCATTGTTCATGCTACTTCTTTGTTCGTCGCTGCCGAGGAGAATAAAATAACTAAAGTGAGCGAGTAAGTTTATTACATTGGTTTTATTCGCTTCTGCAAAAACTAAACGAAACCTATGCTGAATTTGATGAGTTTAATGATCAAAGGATGAAATATTTATGCGTCTTTAACGACATGCAAGTAACGTGACTCAAAGATTGAGTAAGTTATAAATAATTATTTAAACTTTGCTAATTATGCACAAAGAAAGTTTAATTTTTTCTAACGTTTGCAATGTTTGCTGACATAATTTTTACATCCGCCTTTAAAAAGCAGTGAATCTCGTCTGCGTTTGTTTTTAATTAACCTAATTAAGTCAAGAGAGTTTTATAAATGTGCTGGGCGTTTTCGAGTGGCGTGGATCGCGTGTCTTCACACTTTTTTTCCAGTTTTTAGTTTTCTATGCCTGTTTTGTTTGTGTTTGTGATGTGATATGATTATCGCCTAGTTTGTAACTTACGCAAATGCGAAATACTCGTGCGAGACGATCATCTTTTAGGGATGCACGCGCACGGCGGTAAAGTTTTACGCGGCGCGTCGCAACATGACGGGCTGAGGGGCGGCAGTGTGTTCACGTCCGCGAGGGGTCGGACGCGTACTGAACGTTACGCCGCCGCCGAAGACAACGACAGCCGCGAAGCGATAAAATGCGAATTGCGGGAAACCCGCGCGTCGGCGTTGCTCGACGCTCCTCGGCAAAACATTGCCTTATCATCACTGAACGACTAATAATAGTTTTACGAAATTCCATTCATATGCTTGGAAATATGATTTAGTTATGTTTTAATTTATGTAGTTTAAACTGTACTCGTAAATAAGCTTCAAATTATAGGAATTTGGTTGGTTGGTTGTGGGCATTAAACGCAATTTTAATTGCGGCATGCTTTTTTTACTACTATTTTATTTTTAGTGCATACATTTGTTTGTTTCTTGGGATTTTCCCAACAACTCTGTTGATCTTTAGATATCCATAGGGTTTATTTGAATTTAGTAGATTTTATACTTTAAAAATTTAATATCCTTATATTTTTGATCCTGTACTCCTTTTCCTTGGTACTTTCCTTCTCCTGAAGTGCTCCCTTTGCTCAACTTCTTTGCGGTCTGCTTTCGAGTCATCCAAGTTTTTAAGAGAGGGGGAAGGGGTATCTGCAATCAGTATCGTGTTAAAACCTCCCGTGGATAATACCCGTGAATAATTGCAGGAAGAATTTTGAATAGATTTCAATATTATTTTATTTTACTGGTTTATTAAAAATAAATAATTGAGCATTACTGAAATATAAATCGAGCGTAAATGATTAGCACTCAAACTATTTCAATAAAACTGCTTCTACTCCATGAAACAAACCAAGAACATTAAAAAACCTGGACGTCTTTTTATTGAAATAGTTGACGATAAAAGGGTAAAGTCTTCTTCCGTTTCACTGGAGTTTAGTATTTCATCCTAACAGGTTTTCCAATTTTCCAAGGTGACGGCTGCGTTCAACTCTATAATTTGATTGCCAGCTTGTAATCTTATAAATAAATTTATTAATGGTTTATTAAATTAAACATTTAAAAATATTGCGCAATAAATGTAAACGTGCAAAATTGAAGCCACCCTAACTTTAACTATTAATTTTTACGACAAAACATGTATTGAAATGTGATTATCCTGATTTAATAATAGCAATAATGGAATACGTAAACTTCAGAAGCATTAACGTATATTGTGAGGTAATTAAACACCGCGTGCGTTGATTGTTTGACTGTATAGCTTTAATTTTGGCGAATATCCAGCAAGCGACAGTCGCATAATCAAATTATACTCGCATTCGGGATGATAAATGGCCGCAACAACCACACAGTTTCATGTGAATCGTGTGCGCTTCCACACAAATGATATAAATTGAATTCGATTTACATGTTTGCCAGCTTGATGCGTAATAAATGTGGAATTTGTGGTTCAGAGATTTTATGATTTTGAAGAAAATAAAACCACGTTTATAGTTGCAGCTAGAAAGAAAAGTGAAGTAAACTGGCTATTTACTTCGGGATCTGTACTCTTCCGTCGAGTTGGTCACAAGTATAAATGGACACTTGTTATGGGTCAAAGTCATAGAGGGATCAACTCGTGCTAAGTGCGGGACGTGTGGTCATCAATCCGCGCCGCTACCCCCACCACTCGACGGAGGTATAGCAGCCTGCAGTGATCACAGATCTTAATCCAATAGATTACAACTATTATGTACGGCCGACCTACCCCCCACCACCATTTGCGGGTCTGTGCAGGTATTAAAGAAGTGCTCGCAGCGTTCCATGTGCTCTACTAACGTCACTATTTTGTGTTTTTTTTCGTTTACTACCATGTGCTCAGTCGTGCCTAAGTCATCTAGTAGTGCAGTCGTAGCTTTCAAGGGTTTCTCTGTTTTGCCATCGCAAGACCGTTTTGGTTAAACGAGAGTTATCTTCTTCTTTTATAACTCTAGAACGCAGAAACCGATTTCTACGGTTTTGCATTCGTTGGAAAGGTCTCAGGCTCAGCAAGGTTTATAGTAAAGAAAATTGAGGAGAAGTTCTAACAGGAAATAAGTAGGAATGATTGCGCCAAATCAATTGATGCACGATGCATTCAACCAAGAATTAAAACGAGAGCTGCAATACAATGTTGATACATTGGAGGAATTCGTTCGAAATAATGTGCCGTCGCTAAAAGAACAGCAAAAACCAGTATACAAAACATAAATGCAAGCGGTGGACAAAAATTCTGGTGGTCTATTCTTCCTGGACGCACCTGGGGGAACAGGGAAAACGTTTGTCATTTCATTGATTTTGACCACTTTTCGATCAAGATGTGACATAGCTTTGGCGTTAGCATCATCTGGAATTGCGGCGACTCTTCCAGATGTAGATTCTGCGCTTAAGTTGCTATTCAATTTAAACACAATTGATACTCCAACATGCAATATTGCCCGATCCAGTGCAATGGGAAAATTGTTGATGCAATGCAAGTTACCAGGATTTCCACCACATAACTTACAACTCAATGTTGGTGCAGTTATTATGATATTGCGTAATTTGAATTCACCGCGATTTTGCAAAGGTATTTGACTTACAATAAAAAGACTTTAGACTTAAGCTGAATTTGATTGAATTACTAACGGAAAGTGCCCAGGTGAAAATGTATGTATTTCTCTGATTTTCCGTTTAACTTCAAACGATTGCAATTTCCAGTTCTCCTTGCGTTCGCAATGACAATTAACAAGTCGCAAGGCCAATCGTTTAGAAACTCATTGTTTTTCACATGGGAAGTTATACGTTGTGTGTTCCGAGTTGGGAAATCATCCGCTTTGTTTGTGTTAACGTCAGACCAAAAATCAAAAAATGTGGTTTACCAAAGAACACTTCAATTAAACGGATTATTTGCGGACACGTATAACGCTTCGATTCAGGATTTTCTTTGGATTCACTTTCATTTACTTACAGAATTTACTTATAGAAGTTCAACTAAATAACGTTTCATTTTTGTAATCAAAATGCATTCATAACTGTTGTCAAATAAAATAAAATTTGCCGTTTTCAAATATAAAAATTTTATTTTTCCTCATTTTTAGATCACCAAACGAAATGTTACTTAAAACGAAGCCCCGATGGCGAAACGGAGTTCGCCGGATTAGCTAGTTTCAAATAAATCAGCTTTTTCATGCTTTACTACTACCCTGTGTATAGTTTCCTTAAATGTTTGCAACCAAACCAACAAACCATCATAACCTGTATGAATTGGAATAAGTAAATAGAAATGGTGTATCATAAACAACTAGAAACTTAGTATTAAAATACGTTAAACAATGTGACAATAGTTGTATTACTTAAAACTATGCATTTCAACGTGTTTATCACACTATTCTTAACATTGTTTACCTTTGTGCTATGCATACATGCAACAGACAATGAAACCTTCTTCCCTCTGGGCCCAAAAGTAAAGTGTTCCTACCTATCATGGGAGTTTGTCAAGTGCAAAGATCCAGAAGACCTAAAGGGCAACAAAACCGCCAAGGAGAACGGTTTTGGCTGCGTCAAGTTTGGTGGAATGCGCTTTGAAGATGTGGAACGTACTAAAGTTTGGTGCACAGTGCTAGAAAACATAGAGTGCTTTGGAAACCGCACTTTTGAACGCGCCAATGTGCCGTGCATCAAGTACTCTGAACAATATTTCACCACCACACTGTTGTACAGTATCCTCTTGGGATTTTTGGGAATGGATAGATTTTGTCTTGGACAAACAGGGACTGCAGTGGGAAAGTTGCTCACACTTGGAGGGGTTGGAATCTGGTGGATTGTGGACATTGTCCTGTTGGTTACAAATAACTTGGTGCCTGAGGATGGCAGCAATTGGAATCCTTATGTTTAAGTATAAACTATTTAATTTTCTATGAATAAAAGTTGTGATAATCCATCCTACAAGGTTATATTGAGGATAAGTGGGTGAATATTTGCATTGTTTGCATATAAAGTTCCTGAAAATTGAGAAATTCTACTGAGAACTGTTTTAAATTACTTCAGTCTAAGTCAGGGAACTTCTATAAACAATTCCATCCAATCTATGTACAGCACATATTATTTATAAGGAATTTTCAGCTTTTCACATCAAACTCTTGCAATTAATTAATAAGTTTTTATTAATTTATATAAAGGCAACACGATCTTAGGTTGCAGACACCTTAACATACATTTGATAAGCAATAAACTCATTGTTTACTGAGTGTTGGAATTGGGTCCACGACGACGACCGAATTGTGCCACAACATTGACGAATCGCCTGTTGTATTGGATGCGTCTCTTCGCGCGGCCGGTCTTCTTCTTCTTCTTTTCTTGCTTCTCTACCTTAGGTGTCTGTCCCTTTACCTTACCTAAAATAATAATAGAAAAAAAAAAACAGTGAGAAACCATCATCAACAAAAATATATTGAATGAATGTCTGCTGTTCCTATATCATTTACAAACTGAAACCTTGTAAACAATTCAAACTTCAGCACTTAATATTGCAAGATATTGGAAGGTTTCAGTCAAAGATTACAACTGTAAACCAGCTGGAACTTGCTATGATTTAAAACAATAATTGAAGATTTACTTACCAGCACGAGCAAGAGAACCATGCACTTTACCACCCAACAATCCAACAGTCAATTCAATGTCTGTGTCTTCAAACAGGGAGACAAAGCTGTCATCCTGAACAGGGCTGCCGTTGGCGTACAGGGAAATATCGCCAGCAGTCAGGTTTTCCAAACCAGCAATTTGTGCCTGAAATAAACGATTTCAATACAAAACATACAGCAAGCTAACCTCAAAATTTCTTCTATTAATTTTGTGCTTCAAGTACCTTAATTTCACCGATAGTCTCGGTGCCTTGGCATTCCAACACGTGTGTTGATAATCCTCTGAAGCACAACTGCATTGTGACTCGTTTTTAATGCCTGTAATGATAAACAAACATGTTATTGCTCAATGTTGGCACATGTCGTTGGTATTATCGAAGAAAGATCACCGAATTTGCAATATGGTGCACTAAACGAACAGTATTATGTTCTGACATGCTTTATTATGTGTAATATCCAAAGATGATCAGATTTTTGACTATAATTTGGATGGTTTTCATTAATTTTTCTTCACTCACCTCGTTTACAAGCAAAGCACCGACGAAAAAGAGCTGTCGTGCGGAAGCGCGAAAGAAAATGGCCGAACGGCTGTCAAGTAACAAAAATTTGACAGCTTGACATCCGCATCGGCGCACAATCGCACAAATACAAATTTTTAAAACAGGGTTACACTTTATTTAGTTATTTACTGCAATTTAGTAACAATACATTGTGAGAACATTTTCATCCACCTATCTTCAAATCTTCGTAGAGTACGTATAATTTATTCATTTCTAATCATAACAATTATTAATTCAAACTTGAAGAGCTAACATGTAAATCAGTCTGTGTTTCTTGCTCTTCAACAACAATCACAACCGATTCTTCATTACTAATCGGTTCAACCTCCATTTCACTAGCCTCTTCGAAACAAACTTCTTCGTCAAAACTCTTTTCGCTGAACAACAAATCGAAGCTTCCATCGACTTGTTCCGCTTTTTCCTCCATCGTTGGAATCATAGACTTTAAAATAACTTCTCTTGGGACCAAACCCATTCGCCCTTGCATGTATATGTCACTTCTACTTTCAAGCATCTGCATTGGCTTCAAATTTTGGTTCCATTCACGCACCTGCATCAAAAATTCACAAATTTTAAACAAAATCGATGATTTTGAGTGTGCAGCATCTTCCTCGCCTTCCGGTGGTTGATCATAAATAGAAAATACTTCATCGTTGACCGCTGGCGCTTGCAACATCTTTGCAACTTCCCTTAACATAGTGTGTAACTCATCATTGCGTGCCTTTTCATGGCGAATCTTTGCAAAAATGTCTTCGCGCTGACAGCGCAACTCGTGAATATTTTGCTCCAGAATCAATTTCCTTGTTGTATCTTCAGCAATCTGATCTTTAAAAACCTTTATTCTCTCTCTATAAACAGCTATGGTTGGTTCCTTCAATTTTGCTTGTTTAATAGTCGTAGTCATGGCATAGTAATCATTCACTAAATTAATAAGTGCATGTTTTAACCCACTGGATTGATTCGACATCGTGTTAGCTTCAAGCATACTCATATGCGACATCAGTTGCAATCGCCAGTCATGGCTCTCGAGTTTATCATGAACATCATACAATTTCCGTAAAGTTTTGAATTTGGCTTCAATCATATTATTCAACGCAATGTTTTCCTTAAGAACTCGTAAAGTGGTCGCTGCAACACGTATGTCTGTCACAGCTTGGAATTTTTCGATCAACCACTTCAGTTTTGCGTCCATTTCTTTCTTCAGTTTGTCCTCGCCAATGATAAACTTCCGCTCAACTTCGTAAATCTCTCGCTTATGGCGTACCTTTTGCTCTTCTTCTTCGTTCTCTAATATTTCGTACTTTTGCATTATTTCATCTCGCAGTAAACGGAATTCTTCCAACGCGTGCAGTTTTCCAACAGTTAGTTTCAAGTCCGACAAAAGATTCTCTTCGATTCGTTCATGATTCTCTTGTATTTTCTCTTTTTCATTTTCAAAGTCTTGCGCTTCCTTGATGCGTTCCTCTTCTACACGATCGCATTCGTTTTGGATGCCGTTGATTTCATCAGTGAGATCTTGAATCGTACGATTTAAATAGCTAATGATATCTTTTTCGTCTTGAATTAAAGTAATTTCTTCATTGAGAAGTTCTTCGTTGCGGCCTCCGACTTCAATCTGTTTGGTGCGTAGATCGGACAGAATGTGATTAAGGTCTGTTATTTGCGTGTCATAAAAATTTTTTCCATCGTCTTGCTTTCTTTCCTTTTTAGCTTTTTTTGGAGGCATTTTTTAACAAAAATGGAATAAAACTGTAATGTGACACTGACAACTACTTCTGTCAGTGCCTCATTAAACTTCTGGGCGTAAGAATAATAAATAACGACAATATTTTGTTTTTATAACGTACACCATATAATTACAAGTATATACCTTAAGTATTAATTACTAAGTAAGCATCAATACAATTACATAAATTATTTCAATGAACGAAGTTAGAATCTCTGCTGAAAGTTCTGCTGTTGTTGCGAGGCATTGTTGTACATCATCTGTTGCTGATGGAAGTCCTGCTGTTGTTGGGAAATAGGCACCACCTTTGAAAAGACCTAAAAACAAACAGTTATTCCTTCATATTAAATTAAAATATTACGAATACCTGCTGATTCACTTGTCCCTGATGACCAGGCGGTCCTAGTCTTGGCCGCTTTGCAGGATTCTGATCAGAAGACTGCTGTTGAGATTGTTGTTGTTGTTGCTGCTGCTGCTGTTGTTGTTGCTGTTGCTGCTGTTGTTGTTGTTGCTGTTGTTGCTGCTGCTGCTGTTGTTGTTGACGTTTACTTTCCGCCTTATCGTCTTGATCATCGTCGGTCAAAAATTCGCGCTTAGGATAAGGAATCGGACAGCCGGCAAAGACATCTTGAGTGTGAAGAGGTTCCTCAGAGAAATAGGGATCCTGCATCGCTACTTCGGATGTTATACGCTTATTTGGATCCATCAATAGCAACTTTTGCAATAAATGGAAAGCTTTGCTGTCTGGTTTGATCTTGTGTCGTTCCATGTATTTTATAAGCGAGCAATTTTGATAACTGCAAAAAAAAAAAACAAATAAATATTAGTGTGAAAAACACATCATAAGTAAAGCTTAAAATACTTCGATTTTTTGAAGTCTTTGAGGAGTGTAGGATGTTCGGGCATCTTTTTGATATCTTCCCAGTCTTTGTCTTGAGGAAAACCCATCACGTTGAAAATTCTGTCTAACTGATCATGGTGATATGGATTGCTAGTTTTTATGTCTTCTTGACGACAGTGGAATATTGGCTCTGACGTTAAAAGCTCAGCAAAGATGCACCCAATAGCCCAAATATCTAAATATGTGCATACTTTTTTATTACAATCCATTCTCAAAGTTTGTAAACATATATTAAATGAAATCAGTTGAGAACTTACCTATGGCTTTTGTGTAATGTCTTGCACCAAGCAGCAATTCTGGAGCTCTGTACCAAAAGGTCACCACAACTGGATCCAAATCAGCAAGTGGTTTCAATGGAGCATTAAATAGTCGAGCAAAACCCATATCAGCAATCTTTACCCTGCCCCTTTCAGGGCCTTCCCCCATAACAAGAATATTTGCAGGCTTCAGATCTCTGTGCAGCACCCAATTTGAGTGTAAATAATGAATACCATCTAAAATCTGATACAGCAAAGACTTGACCATACCCTTGGGCACCATCACAGGCTTCTTATTAGCCTTGGCAGCCCTGTGAAATTTGATAATGTGCCATAGATCATGCTCAGCAAAATCAAACAATAGCCACACTTTTCTGTCATTGTGAGAGAAAAACTCTGATTAAATTGATTACATTTGGATGCTTCAACTCTCTTAGTAACTAAAAAGAAGAAGAAATTGTTATTGTTATATGTTCATGATGAAAGACATGATTTTACATACAGCAATCTCTCTGCATGCAGACATTGATAGTCCAGTGCCTTCAATTTGTTTGAGGGCATAATCCCGGACATCCGCACCACCGTCTTTTCGTCTTCCCTTGTAGACATGTCCGTAGGTTCCACGGCCCACCTTGCAGCCCTCATAATCAAAGAGGTCTTCCACCTTCACTCTCTCTGTCTGAGTTTTCATCTTGAATTCATAATCCATCATTAAACCAGTGGTCATATTATAGTTCTAGTAGAGAAAGGTTGATTAAAACGCGTCCACGACACTGGGGCACTGTTTAGAACTATTAAGTAGTCGTGTCTAGATATGAATTTTAGAATTACTTGGATCCCGTTGCACGTTATTTACGATTTACACGAATGTAAATATTGCCAATAAAGACTTTCAGGTGGACGAGCGCCCACAGATGGTGCTATTGGTTTTGTTAGAGGCAGCTGCCAGGAAATGCGCACTAGGAACTTCATGTTGCGTAGGATGCCGCTAGGTGACCCTAGTAGAATACTGGTAAATAATTTAAATTAAATTATTTTACAGTTTGCACACATACTAGCTAAGTTTTGCTAGTATTTTTACCATAATTCTAGAGTCTAATGATTTGTGTTTTAATATTGAGCACCAACGAATAATGCAATCACTGCGCACACTCCTGACCCGGAAGATGTACTTTGGGCGCACGCGTCCAATATAAATACGTAAGTGCATATCGTAGTTATCGTAGCTGAACTATGCACGCAGCGCGCGCGACGCACGCGACTTAATTGGGATCGTGTCGGTTGTATTCCGCACGCGTCTCTTGCAACCCGTCGCCATGTTGCTCGTGAGTTTCATTCGGTCAATCGTCCTACCGCAAGTCTTGTTTTCTTTTATTTGATGTTTACCATCGGCTAATACTTAGTAAATTTCAACTTTTTATTACTATTTTTTGTTTGGCTAGTGTAGGAATTTAACTTTTAGTGCCCGAACTTCTGTTTACGTAATATTATTTTTTACACTAGAATTGTTGTTGTCTATACGCGCTTAACAAATGTTTGTGTTTACTACATCTCTGGAAACATCTCATCAGTATTGAAAACGATCAATTGATACTTTCGCTTCAGCATCGACCGCCATTAATTTGCAGATAAGTTTATAACTGAACTACAATTCTTAACTTATTTTTACAAATAAATATTTATAACGTCCTTGCCATTCATAGGGTGTGCGTGGTCCATTAGTTTTGTCCTTGCTAAAGAAAATTTTCTGCTAATGAAGGCATTATATTCTTTCGTGGTAGATGTTGCGATTTAAACAGTACAAACATTCAAATTATTATGAGTATGTAAACAATTTTTTTTATACTGTTCAATTTTTGTTTTTATTCTCCGCGTGTTGTCGCATTGTTTGCAGCAATGTACATACGTTCCATGTTGATATCACAAGCTATGTGCCAAAGGCCACCATTCGAATTTACAAAAATATTTAAATTTTCATACTCTTGCTGTGGAAATCGGGCAAACGTTATTGTGGAAATGTTATTATAATTTCAATGCATTTTTTACATTTTGATAACGCGAGAGTTATTCTCAAGGATAGGCTTCTGCCAGCCCCGAAAATCACGCGGGAACTTTGTGAAAACCGCCCCTAAAACTCAGTGATTTTTAACATTTTTGTAAACTTGCCGTGAAAATTGCTCAATATCTCGGGAACCGGTTGCGCTATTTCTACGTTCTTTACATATTTAAATAACGCAAGAGTATATTTAAACGATAGGCCTCAGCAAGTCGCAAAATTCATATGGGAAGTGTGGGAAAACCGCCACCAAAACACAGTGATTTTTAACATTTTTGTAAACTTGCCGTGGAAATTGCTCAATATCTCGGGAAGCAGTTGCGCTATTTCTACGTTCTTTACATATTTCAATAACGCAAGAGTTTATCTAAAGGATAGGCCTCAGCAAGCCCCAAAAATTGCATAGGAAGTGTGTGAAAACCGCCCCCAAAACTCAGTGATATTTAACAATTTTGTAAACTTGCCTTTTGGAAATTGCTCAATATCTCGGGAACCGGTTGCGCTATTTCTACGTTGTTTACATATTTAAATATCGCGAGAGTTTATCTTAACGACAGGTCTCAGTAAGCCCCAGTAATCAAGCCGGACTTTAGCACTTTAGCACTTTCAGCCGCGTTTTTTGACTTCTTATCCCATTATTTTAAATTTCAATCTTATAGTGAATTTTTCTACAATTTTCTGGTTGCCATTTCTTTTAGTTTAGAAGAGATCAGCATTCAAAAATCGTTGAAAAAAAGTATCAAGTATCTCAATCTCAGATCTCTAGACTTCTTGACTATGTGTTATTTTTGTGTAAAACTTGATCATGGAAGGAAATATCACTTAGCCTGGAAAATACGCCATATATCTTGTACCAATGGAGAAAATCACAACATCTTGTGCTCATATGATACTTAATAGTTCTTTAATAACTTTTCCCGATCCTTTCAACAACCTTCTACAAGTGTTCTAAAAGTGGCTTACAAATGTACATTATTTTCTCGTTTCAAAAAGCTGGCTTACTTTAAACGACGGCTTACAAGTTAATTGACAATATGTACTGCATACAAAAGTGGAAACACGTGGAAACATTAATTATTGATTATAATAGTCTAAATTGTGGGACTAGTATCTGTCGCATTCATATATGGCACTAGGATGCACTAAAACTCATAAAATCGAGTTATTCGGCTTATTTTTATATTTATTGACAAACGTGGGCACGAAAATAAATTTGTATACAATACTGTTATCTGCGATTCAGTGTAAACAACGTTTTTAACGCAAGTGTCCCAGCGAAGTCAAGGTCGCGTTCGATTGACGGCTTTGCACATCTATTGCTTTTACGTGCGCAGATTATGCAGCAGGTACATAGGCTTATTGTGAACTGTCGCATCGTTGCTTGCGCTATCACTGGATTGCATGCAGTTTCGTACCGGTCGTTGGCATATCCAAACGAATTTCTCGCAACTCGTATCGTTTGTTCGGACTTCTGCTTTCTATATTTGCATTATACTTACTCATCAATCGACTATTTACTCGTAGATTTAATATACATCTGCAATGTTTTGTTAATGATTAATTGTGCATTTAATGTCTGTAAAGAGTTATTTTGCTCGCGTTTTATGCTTATATTCGAAGCGCTTCATTGGTAAGTTTATAATTTAGTTATTCGGTTAAATATTTTAAGTATGACTTTTCACTTACGTGATACAATAGCCCGCGAATCAAAGTTTGCCCGTTTCATGTATTTTTTACAACTTGCGGTAGAAAATATACCAAATCGCGGGAACCCTTTGTCATATTTTAGTTATATGGTTTCAATAGGTGTATGTGACAATACTCATGGTATTTATTTAATTTTGTATTTTAATATGTTTGCATATATTTAGTACTGTCGTTCATGGCCATATAATTTATGTTCTTGACTTTAACTTTGGCGTCTTTTAACAATCAAAATATTAGTTTTTTTGGCTAGGGTAGGACAGGAAATATTCGCATCAGATGTAGCCCTCACCTTGCATGCAGCATATTATAGTGTAGTTAGACCGCAGGTATTGTGCCTTCTGCAATTTGTGCCCAAGGTCGCGTGTCATCGACGCGCCGGCTTTGCGCATCTATTGCACGTCGCCCACAAGTTTGCGTGCCGCTGCGCGTGCCATCGCGCAAGATGGCTTTGCGCAACTATTGCTTTCACCTGCGGGGTTCATGCAGCAGGCACATACGAGTAGTCTTATCGTGAACTGTCGCGTCGTTGCTTGCTCGGCTTTAACCTGTGCTATCGCAGCCAGTTTCGTGTCGATCTCAACAAGTTTCAACTGGCGGCAATAGCATCCTGTTCAAAATTATTTGCGCGTTTAATAAATGTTTTTTTTTTGCTCGCGTTAGATATTTATATTCCAAATTACAAGAATGTTACGGTTTTATGATCGGTTATTGACGTTGTCGGTTGCTGGATAAATCGGCAACATAATGCTGCAATGTTGCTTCCCGTCATTAAGAGGTCCCTTCGTGTTTGAGTAAGTTACATTTACCTGGCCATTGCGATACTCAGCACATAATTTTTATTTTCTTTTAATTACAGTGTTTGCCGTACTCGTGCAATCCGATGAGCGCTGAATTGGTAAGTATACAATTAAATTATATTATTGCGTCAAATCTTTACGACCTCTCACCTGCGTTGCGTGTTGCAATAGCCCGCGAAATAAGCGTGCGATGTCAATTTTATTTGCGGGTAATATAGAAAACGCAGGAAACGATAATGTTTTTCATGTATTTTTTAAAACACGCGGTGGAAAACAGGCCATATTGCGGAAAGCCTTCGAAATCTTTTTGATTTTCCTATGCTTTATGATAGGCAAAGAGTGCATTTTTAAGATGCACTCTTGAAGCCCCGCAAAATTCAATCGTAACAGCTTCAAAGTGGCCGCCAAAGTTTGCCCTTTTCTAGCATTTTTCAAAACACGCGGTGGAAAACAGGCCATATCTCGGGAACCCTTTGTGATATTTTGGTGTTTGCTATGTTTTATATTGGAGAAAGAGTGCATTTTGAAGATGCACTCTTGAAGCCCCGCAAAATTCGGTTGTAACTGCCTCAAAATGGTTGCCAAAGTTTGCCTTTTTCTAGAATTTTTCAAAACACGCGGTGGAAAACAGGCCATATCTCGGGAACCCTTCGTGATATTTTTGTGTTTGCTATGTTTTATACTAGAGAAAGACTACATTTTTAAGATGCATCCTTGAACCGCCGCGAAATTCGGGTATAGCTGCTTCAAAATGGCAGACAAAATTTGCCCTTTTCTAGAATTTTTCAAAACACGCGGTGGAAAACAGGCCATATCTCGGGAACCCTTCGTGATATTTTTGTGTTTGCAATGTTTTATACTAGGGAAAGAGTGCATTTTGAAGATGCACCTTTGAACCCCCGCGAATTTCGGTCATAACTGCCTCGAATTGGCTGCCAAACTTTGCACTTTTCTAGCATTTTTCAAAACACGCGGTGGAAAACAGGCCATATCTCGGGAAGCCTTCATTTTTAAGGTGCACTCCTGTACCTCTGCGAAATTCGGTTGGAACTGCCGCTAAATGGACGCCAAAGCTTGCCCTTTTCTTGCATTTTTCAAAACACGCGGTGGAAAACAGACCATATCTCGGGAACCCTTTGTGATATTTTCGTGTTTGCTATGTTTTATACTAGAAAAGAGTGCATTTTTAAGACGCACCCTTGAACCCCTGCTTAATTCGGTCAAAACTGCTTCAAAATGGCCGCCAACGTTGTTATTATCGTGCATTTTCCAAAACCACCGGTGGAAAACAGGTCGTTGCGCTAGGAATTGTAGTTTTATTGTTATAAAGCGCGAACGCGGTGTTACAATTAGTTCGAAATAATTTTCCTAGATGGTGAATTTAATTCTGTATCTCCGTGTATAGAAATTTATTGCGGGAAAATTCCGTAACGCGAGTTATATTGAAAGTTGTGTGTGTGCGCAGTAGTATTCGTTGCGTTAGGAATTCTAGTTTTCCGCCAGTTTCAACCGCGTACTGCACTTATTTACTTCCTTTCCCGTTATGTATTGACTTTTTTGTATATTTTTGTTGCATATTTGATAAATGTGTTTTGAAGTTGATATAAATTTTCAAAGGTTAGATGGCGGTACGATATACGGTTTTGTATTAAATATTGCTAGTTGGTGGTAGTGAGTGCACACCGTGTCCGTGTGGATCACGCGATTTCGCGCAAGAGATAAGTTTGTTTACCTGCACGTATCGAATCTTTATTTCGTTGAATCAAAAACACACCGTTGCTTTTTATTATATTAGTCACGTAAATAAGCAAATATTCTTTTATTCTTTCATGAATATAACTAACAATTTTATATTAATTCTAATACATTTTTATTATCCGCAGATGACTACGGACTAATGTGTTACCTGGTAAACGAGGAACGATCTATGTTCAAATTAAATATCACTTAAATATTTAATGTAAAATCTGGCAATCTGTCAGCCTAAGAAATCTGAATTACTCAAATCGAATTTTAATTTTTTTATTACCTTTACTAATCTAAATTTTGGAACTACTGTATCATTTATAGATGGCAATAGCATGGACTGAAAATTGTAAAATAAAGCATTGTGTTTGTTGGAACACAATATACACTTTCTTATCGCATTGGCGTGTGTCGTCGTTGCCAGCACCTCACGCCGCATGTTGCTGCATCTTGATTGCAAATGCAATTCGTCCACAAGGTCGCGTGCCTTCGACGCGCCGTCTTTGTGCACCTCTTGCTTTCTTATCATATACTGTCCCGTCGGTGTTTATGCAGTTTTGGCATGCACTATCGGTGGATTGCAGCCAGTATCGTGCCGGTCGCTGGTTAGGCCAGTCGTGTTTTGAGAGACTTACCTATATCGTTTATTCGGACTTCAATATTCCAAATTTGTGTTATACTCGGAGATCAATCGACTATTTATTTGTACTTTGCTACTATAGTAATATGTTTAAATTGGAAATGCCGGTTTTTGATCGCGTTTGTTATATATATTACAACAGTGGATTAGATAACATTCTTCCCTCGGCGTTGTGTTCGGTGTCGGTTATTAAATTAATCGGATATACTCGTATATCGGCCCCATGTTGATTCTCACCATTAAGAAAGATCCATCAGACTCGTGTATGTATCTTTTAAGAAACCGCATAGATTGTTTATTTTGTGTTGATTGTTAATTATAACATAATTAAATTGTATGAAACATTGTTGTTTTAATTTATGTTTTCTTTTAGTTACAGCACTCGTTGTACTCGGCTGTCCGATAAGCTGTACCCTGGTCAGTTCATATTTCAATTATATTTTTCGGTCAAATTTACATTAGCTGTTTATAAACAAGTTTTCTATTTATCACGTGCTACCTTCCTGCATGGCCGATGAGTGGGGGCGGGTCAACAGGGTTCAATTATCCGGGGCCCGCGCTGGCTCTCGACGGCCCTGCGGTAAAGTGCAGACTTTCTTTATTTTTCATTTCGGAAATTGTTGTCCCTGTTTAATTCACCTACGCCGGGTTAGAACGATATCTTATTTTGTTATTGTTTTGAACATGCTTATCTATCTCTTTTCGCGCGGTGAAGCAACCATCTTAAACGTATGTAGTATTTTGTGGTATTTAATGTGATTTAATTTTAGTTCGTGGTGAATTCTGCGGCCAATATTTGCCTGAGGATACCGAGGATAATCTTGGCCACCAGCAGTAATGTCCGTCTTGCCCATGTACCAGCTACCTTCATGCACCGCGAAAAAAAGGTAAAGTGAACATTTCATTATTTGTGTTTACTGCAATTATTGTTTATATTCAATTCCCTTTAATTTTATACCCGGCAGTTAGCATCACACGTCAATTTATTACAATATTAATTTGTATACTTGTCGACTTCTATTATGATTAAGTTATATTTTACTTTAGAATTTGGATCGTAAAACACCCATTGATGCATACTGTGGGGGAATATTCACTCGAGAATCGCCTGCCACGATATCAATCAAGGGACACCTTCCAACCTGGTGGAGAGCTGCTGCGTTTCGACGGGATGCGATACCTCTATAATTTGCGGCCTCACATTATTTTTCAAACTAGTACAAATAATGCGCACAGGGAATGACAGAAAAAAAACTTCCCGATTATTAAACCACGAACGCATTCATTTAGTTAACTTATAATTAGCATTGTATATATTTAGGGAGCTTTGACAATTAATTTGATGAATGCTTGTGGAATATCATGCAGTGTAAACTCTTTATAACGATACTTATTATAGTTAGTTGATTTAACACAAAGCAACCTTCTTTTACATATTTCTACGTCATTATAAAAAAAAGATTATCAAGAGTTTACATTGTATTGCACATTTAATCGCCTCACGACTTTTATTGTATTGTATTATTGCTTGTCGTGCTAATTGTCGTGCGTTTAATTTGTTGGTAGTAATGTGGATGAGGGTATTTGGTAGTTGCCGCACTGTTGCTGATTAGCTTTAACTCGCGAAGGGGGCGTCTCTAGAGGTATCAAATTAAATTCACCGTGGGGTTGGTATTAGTTTGTTGCAGGAGTGACGCCTGCAACATTGGTAAATTCATAAATTGGGTTGGTTAACTGAGATTTTCACATAAAGGGTGAAATTGTTGCAGTTTTTTTGGTATAGTTCGCTAGAGAGACGGCTTAGAAATTTCCGCGCGGGTTCTAGAGATGTCAAATTACATTTTCCGTGGGGTTGTATTAGTTTGTTGCAGGAGTTGCGTCTGCAACATGTGTAAAAGCGAAAATCTGGGGGTGCGGTGGGATTTTCACTTGAAAGGTGAAATTGTTGGGGTTTTTGCGGTGTAGGTCGCGAAGGGGACGACTTAAAATTTTCAGCGCGGTCTCAAGAGAAGTCGAATTATATTCTCGGTGCGTTTGTCATTGTTTTTTTACAAAAGCTTCGGCTGCAGTGCGCGCATTGGTAGATTGTCTATGTTCGTGTCATCCTGTCTTCTACAATTCCTTTCTTTTGTGTCTTGTGTTGTCCATGTAGAACTTGAGATTTTGTTTAATTGTGTGTATGACTTGTGTTGTTTTCCCTATGAACTAATGTGTTAGCTACCTGTGTTTATGTGGAATTTGTTCTCATATGTACATGTTTATGCACATATTAAGTGCATATAAGGGTATAGAGTAGATGCATTGTACTGTAATTGTTTGGGTTATAATGTTTGCTTGCACCTTGTGTCGTGTGTTTTAATATATCTCTTGTTGTGTGTAAATTAATAAATATCTGTTGTGTAGTATTTAGAAATAGTCTTAGTTTGTGTATAAATAGTGTTGTCTGCGTCTTGTAAATGTAAACATGTTATTTGCTATCTGTATTGCGTAGTTGTATTGCCTTGCAGTTGCCTTGTGTTTAGATGTGCCATAGTTGTAACTTATTGATATATCTATTGTGTTATTCTTGCAGGTATAGTAATCAGTATTGCCACAGCAATACTTGTAACATGATTGCTATAGCAATACTAGTAACACGGTGTTGCCTATGCAACACCGGTGGTATAGTGTTGCTATGGCAGTACAAGTAACATCTATTGCTGTTGCAATACAGTATGGTATAGGTATCAATAAAGAAGTCTTTTAATATATTGTTTAAATTATTTATTATCCTTATTTCCCTCACCACAAGGACTCTCCCCACTAAGAAAATTGTTGATGTGCCTAAGAAACTCGGGGATGAAGCGTAGAGACATCGCAGCTGTAGGTTGGGGCCGGCAATTATTCTTTCTTCAGTTAACGCACTCGAAGTAGTTAACTGTCTTATTGAACGCGTTCTCGAAGTGGTCCGTCGATACGTTCGACGTCAGGATCGACACGCCAAAACACGAATGCAAAAATTACGAAATTTTCGTCGAAATTTTGCAAGTTTCAACTTGTAAAATAGAAATCTGAAACATAAAATAAGATATTGTTAGTTTATATTATCAAGTAATTAATTGATGTGATAAATATTAAGCGCTGAAAACATCTATTTGCCCCAAAGGACAAAAATACCAAATAAATACACTATTTACGAAGTTACGCGCGTAACAGAATTTAATTCTGTACTTCTGAAAACAAAAATGACAACAAATTAACGCGAGGGAGCAAACAATATTTAAATATCGTTTTTTCGACTCTACTCGCGTGCAAGGTGAATCCTGCAACGCATACAACCCCACGGATAATTTAATTCTACATCCCTGGACAATGCGCTCCCCGTTCGCGAACAATCAATCACAAAAAACAACAATTTCGGGCAAGGGCAACAAAACTAATTAAATAATGCAGACGTTTTTACTGTCCCAACAACACGATGGAGAATTTAAATTTAAGAAACAAAATATGCTATAAAACTGCTCTGCGTATTGTAAAATACTGCCTTCTAATATTCTAATAAATGTGGCTAGAAAACTTGTTTATACACAAACAAATACTGATAAACGATAGTGGAACTCCTCGTGCGAAATCGCATTAAAAAATCTCAAAACAATCGAACATCACTACGCGATAATATCTGTCCTCCTCTAGGACAATATAAACTAATCTATCTATCACGCTTCCACGCACAGGAGGCAACTTCTTCACTATTCAAATGCTTTAAACTAAAGTCAAATTAGGTAAAATAGGTATTGTCAAATTGCATATTGAAACTATATGACAACTTGCGGCAATACTAAATGTATACAAATGTATTATAATATAAAATTAAAGAAATACCATAAGTATTGTCACATACGCCTATTGAAAGTATATGACCACGTGCCACAGTACGAATTATATGTAAATAAATGATGCTAATTATAAAAAGTAGACGATAAATATATAACATCTATTTTCTAAGTAAAATACGCAATCCATTGACAATATTGTATTAATGTGAATTTAATGTGATTGAATTACAATATATAAAATAAATAAAATATGTAACAATTCATGTTTCAACCAAAAATAGCTGTCACAACGACTGATCTATATTCAGATAGAAGTACATGTGCCCAAATAAAAATGGATAAATTAAAAAAAAAACGAAAAAAACGAATGGCGGCCATTTTGAGGTAGTTACGCCCGAATTTCGCGGTGAATTAGAAGTGCATATTAAAAATGCACTCTTGCCCTATCATAAAATATAGAAAAAATTGAAATACGACGAAGGGCTCCCCAGATATGGCCTATTTTCCACCGCGTGTATTGAAAAATGCAAGAAAAGGTTACAACCGAATTTCGCGGGGGTTCAGGGGTGCACCTTAAAAATGCACCCTTTCCTAGCATAAAATAAAGAAAAAACAAGATATGATAAAGGACACGCAGGTGAAAGGTCATAAAACATTTGACAAAATACTATAATGTAATTATAAACTTACCAATTCAGCGCTCATCAGATTGCACGAGTACGGCAAACACTGTAATTAAAAGAAAACATAAGTTAAAACAAAACCATTTCATTCAATATAATAGAATTAGATTCACACATTAGAGAAAACAAATATTCTGTGAGTATTGCAATGGTCAGATAAACATTACCTACTCAAGCACGAGGAATCTTCTAATGACGAGGAACAACATGGCAGCAATATGTGTCCAATTAATCTAGCGACCGACAACGTACACAATAATTGACAATAAAACCGTAGACTTCTTGTAATTTCGAATATAAGCATAAAACGCGACCAAAAAACTATTTATTAGCATTAAACCCACAATTAATCATTAACAAAACACTGCAGATGTATGTTACAACAAAATAGTCGATTGATTTTTGAGTATAATGCAAATTTAGAAAACAGAATTGAGAACAAGCGATTCGCGTCGCGAGAAAGACTTCTGGATACGCCAGCGACCGGCACGAAACCGGCTGCAATTGATTGATAGCGCAAGCAACAATGCGACAGTTCACAATAAGGCTATGAACCAGCTACATGAACCGCGCAGCTAAAAGCAATACATGTGCAAAGTCGGCGCGTCGCTCGCACGCGACCTTAGGCGCAAATTGCAATAGACACGATATCTGCGTTCAAAACTAAACTAAGCCGTGACAACGTGCGTAAATATTTTTAATCTAAAGAAAATTTTTAATGAGAGTCAGCTATACATTCATCTACGTAAGGTGCTCTATTATTCACACGAGTCACTTTTACCGCTAGCTTCGTACGGTGCCCTGAATTTTCCACCGCGGTGCCCTGAACACGAGTTTATAAAATACGCAGAGAGAATCAGGAAGGGATCCCAAGACACGGCCTGCCTTCCACCATGTGTTTAAAAAAACGCAAGAAAAGAACAAATTTTGGCGGTCATTTCGAGGCAGTTACGACCGAATTTCGCGGGAGTTCAAGGGTGCATCTTCAAAATGCACTCTTTTCCCAGTATAAAACATAGCAAACACGAAAATATCACGAAGGGTTCCCGAGATATGGCCTGTTTTCCACCGCGTGTTTTGAAAAATGCTAGAAAATGGCAAACTTTGGCGGCCATTTTGAAGCAGTTATGACCGAATTTCGCGGGGGTTCAAAAATGCATCTTAAAAATACACTCTTTTACTAGTATAAAACATAGCAAACACGAAAATATCACGAAAAGTTCCCGAGATATGGCCTGTTTTCCACCGCGTGTTTTGAAAAATGCTAGAAAATGGCAAACTTTGGCGGCCATTTTGAAGCAGTTATGACCGAATTTCGCGGGGTTCAAAAATGCATCTTAAAAATACACTCTTTTACTAGTATAAAACATAGCAAACACGAAAATATCACGAAGGGTTCCCGAGATATGGCCTGTTTTCCACCGCGTGTTTTGAAAAATGCTAGAAAAGGGCAAACTTTGGCGGCCATTTTGAGGCAGTTACGACCGAATTTCGCGGGGGTTCAGGGTGCATCTTAAAGATGCACTCTTTTTCTATCATAAAACATAGCGAACACGAAAATATCACGAAGAGTTCCCGAGATATGGCCTGTTTTCCACCGCGTGTTTTGAAAAATGCTAGAAAAGGGCAAACTTTGGCGGCCATTTTGAGGCAGTTACGACCGAATTTTACGAGGGTTCAAGGATGCATCTTAAAAATGCACTCTTTTCCTAGTATAAAACATAGCAAACACGAAAATATCACGAAGGGTTCCCGAGATACGGCCTGTTTTCCACCGCGTGTTTTGAAAAATGCTAGAAAAGGGCAAACTTTGGCGGCCATTTTGAGGCAGTTACGACCGAATTTTACGAGGGTTCAAGGATGCATCTTCAAAATGCACTCTTTTCCTAGTATAAAACATAGCAAACACGAAAATATCACGAAGGGTTCCCGAGATACGGCCTGTTTTCCACCGCGTGTTTTGAAAAATGCTAGAAAAGGGCAAACTTTGGCGGCCATTTTGAAGCAGTTATGACCGAATTTCGCGCGGGTTCAAGGATGCATCTTAAAAATGCACTCTTTTCCTAGTATAAAACATAGCAAACACGAAAATATCACGAAGGGTTCCCGAGATATGGCCTGTTTTCCACCGCGTGTTTTGAAAAATGCTAGAAAAGGGCAAACTTTGGCGGCCATTTTGAGGCAGTTACGACCGAATTTCGCGGGGGTTCAAGGATGCATCTTAAAAATGCACTCTTTTCCTAGTATAAAACATAGCAAACACGAAAATATCACGAAGGGTTCCCGAGATACGGCCTGTTTTCCACCGCGTGTTTTGAAAAATGCTAGAAAAGGGCAAACTTTGGCGGCCATTTTGAGGCAGTTATGACCGAATTTCGCGGGGTTCAAGGGTGCATCTTAAAGATGCACTCTTTTCCTATCATAAAACATAGCGAACACGAAAATATCACGAAGGGTTCCCGAGATATGGCCTGTTTTCCACCGCGTGTTTTGAAAAATGCAAGAAAAGGGCAAACTTTGGCGGCCATTTTGAGGCAGTTACGACCGAATTTCGCGGGGGTTCCGGGGTGCATCTTAAAGATGCACTCTTTTTCTATCATAAAACATAGCGAACACGAAAATATCACGAAGGGTTCCCGAGATATGGCCTGTTTTCCACCGCGTGTTTTGAAAAATGCAAGAAAAGGGCAAACTTTGGCGGCCATTTTGAGGCAGTTACGACCGAATTTCGCGGGAGTTCTAGGGTGCATCTTAAAGATGCACTCTTTTTCTATCATAAAATACAGCGAACACGAAAATATCACGAAGGGTTCCCGAGATATGGCCGGTTTTCCACCGCGTGTTTTGAAAAACGCACGAAAAGGGCAAACTTTGGCGGCCATTTTGAGGCAGTTACGACCGAATTTCGCGGGAGTTCTAGGGTGCATCTGAAAGATGCACTCTTTTTCTATCATAAAATACAGCGAACACGAAAATATCACGAAGGGTTCCCGAGATATGGCCGGTTTTCCACCGCGTGTTTTGAAAAACGCACGAAAAGGGCAAACTTTGGCGGCCATTTTGAGGCAGTTACGACCGAATTTCGCGGGAGTTCCGGGGTGCATCTTAAAGATGCACTCTTTTTCTATCATAAAACATAGCGAACACGAAAATATCACGAAGGGTTCCCGAGATATGGCCTGTTTTCCACCGCGTGTTTTGAAAAATGCAAGAAAAGGGCAAACTTTGGCGGCCATTTTGAGGCAGTTACGACCGAATTTCGCGGGAGTTCTAGGGTGCATCTTAAAGATGCACTCTTTTCTATCATAAAATACAGCGAACACGAAAATATCACGAAGGGTTCCCGAGATATGGCCTGTTTTCCACCGCGTGTTTTGAAAAATGCAAGAAAAGGGCAAACTTTGGCGGCCATTTTGAGGCAGTTACGACCGAATTTCGCGGGAGTTCTGGGGTGCATCTTAAAGATGCACTCTTTTCTATCATAAAACATAGCGAACACGAAAATATCACGAAGGGTTCCCGAGATATGGCCTGTTTTCCACCGCGTGTTTTGAAAAATGCAAGAAAAGGGCAAACTTTGGCGGCCATTTTGAGGCAGTTACGACCGAATTTCGCGGGGGTTCTGGGGTGCATCTTAAAGATGCACTCTTTTCCTATGATAAAACATAGCGAACACGAAAATATCACGAAGGGTTCCCGAGATATGGCCTGTTTTCCACCGCGTGTTTTGAAAAATGCAAGAAAAGGGCAAACTTTGGCGGCCATTTTGAGGCAGTTACGACCGAATTTCGCGGGGGTTTCGGGGTGCATCTTAAAGATGCACTCTTTTCCTATGATAAAATGTAGCGAACACGAAAATATCACGAAGGGTTCCCGAGATATGGCCTGTTTTCCACCGCGTGTTTTGAAAAATGCAAGAAAAGGGCAAACTTTGGCGGCCATTTTGAGGCAGTTACGACCGAATTTCGCGGGGTTCTGGGGTGCATCTTAAAGATGCACTCTTTTCCTATCATAAAACATAGCGAACACGAAAATATCACGAAGGGTTCCCGAGATATGGCCTGTTTTCCACCGCGTGTTTTGAAAAATGCAAGAAAAGGGCAAACTTTGGCGGCCATTTTGAGGCAGTTACGACCGAATTTCGCGGGGGTTCTGGGGTGCATCTTAAAGATGCACTCTTTTTCTATCATAAAATATAGCGAACACGAAAATATCACGAAGGGTTCCCGAGATATGGCCTGTTTTCCACCGCGTGTTTTGAAAAATGCAAGAAAAGGGCAAACTTTGGCGGCCATTTTGAGGCAGTTACGACCGAATTTCGCGGGGGTTCTGGGGTGCATCTTAAAGATGCACTCTTTTTCTATCATAAAACATAGCGAACACGAAAATATCACGAAGGGTTCCCGAGATATGGCCTGTTTTCCACCGCGTGTTTTGAAAAATGCAAGAAAAGGGCAAACTTTGGCGGCCATTTTGAGGCAGTTACGACCGAATTTCGCGGGGTTCTGGGGTGCATCTTAAAGATGCACTCTTTTCTATCATAAAACATAGCGAACACGAAAATATCACGAAGGGTTCCCGAGATATGGCCTGTTTTCCACCGCGTGTTTTGAAAAATGCAAGAAAAGGGCAAACTTTGGCGGCCATTTTGAGGCAGTTACGACCGAATTTCGCGGGGTTCTGGGGTGCATCTTAAAGATGCACTCTTTTCTATCATAAAACATAGCGAACACGAAAATATCACGAAGGGTTCCCGAGATATGGCCTGTTTTCCACCGCGTGTTTTGAAAAATGCAAGAAAAGGGCAAACTTTGGCGGCCATTTTGAGGCAGTTACGACCGAATTTCGCGGGGTTCTGGGGTGCATCTTAAAGATGCACTCTTTTCTATCATAAAACATAGCGAACACGAAAATATCACGAAGGGTTCCCGAGATATGGCCTGTTTTCCACCGCGTGTTTTGAAAAATGCAAGAAAAGGGCAAACTTTGGCGGCCATTTTGAGGCAGTTACGACCGAATTTCGCGGGGTTCTGGGGTGCATCTTAAAGATGCACTCTTTTCTATCATAAAACATAGCGAACACGAAAATATCACGAAGGGTTCCCGAGATATGGCCTGTTTTCCACCGCGTGTTTTGAAAAATGCAAGAAAAGGGCAAACTTTGGCGGCCATTTTGAGGCAGTTACGACCGAATTTCGCGGGGTTCTAGGGTGCATCTTAAAGATGCACTCTTTTCCTATGATAAAATGTAGCGAACACGAAAATATCACGAAGGGTTCCCGAGATATGGCCTGTTTTCCACCGCGTGTTTTGAAAAATGCAAGAAAAGGGCAAACTTTGGCGGCCATTTTGAGGCAGTTACGACCGAATTTCGCGGGGTTCTGGGGTGCATCTTAAAGATGCACTCTTTTCCTATGATAAAATGTAGCGAACACGAAAATATCACGAAGGGTTCCCGAGATATGGCCTGTTTTCCACCGCGTGTTTTGAAAAATGCAAGAAAAGGGCAAACTTTGGCGGCCATTTTGAGGCAGTTACGACCGAATTTCGCGGGGTTCTGGGGTGCGTCTTAAAGATGCACTCTTTTCCTATCATAAAACATAGCGAACACGAAAATATCACGAAGGGTTCCCGAGATATGGCCTGTTTTCCACCGCGTGTTTTGAAAAATGCAAGAAAAGGGCAAACTTTGGCGGCCATTTTGAGGCAGTTACGACCGAGTTTCGCGGGGGATCCGCGGTGCATCTTAAAGATGCACTCTTTTTTCTATAATAAAACATAGCGAACACGAAAATATCACGAAGGGTTCCCGAGATATGGCCTGTTTTCCACCGCGTGTTTTGAAAAATGCAAGAAAAGGGCAAACTTTGGCGGCCATTTTGAGGCAGTTACGACCGAATTTCGCGGGGTTCTGGGGTGCGTCTTAAAGATGCACTCTTTTCCTATCATAAAATATGGCGAACACGAAAATATCACGAAGGGTTCCCGAGATATGGCCTGTTTTCCACCGCGTGTTTTGAAAAATGCAAGAAAAGGGCAAACTTTGGCGGCCATTTTGAGGCAGTTACGACCGAATTTCGCGGGGTTCCGGGGTGCATCTTAAAGATGCACTCTTTTCCTATCATAAAACATAGCGAACACGAAAATATCACGAAGGGTTCCCGAGATATGGCCTGTTTTCCACCGCGTGTTTTGAAAAATGCAAGAAAAGGGCAAACTTTGGCGGCCATTTTGAGGCAGTTATGACCGAATTTCGCGGGGGTTCTAGGGTGCGTCTTAAAGATGCACTCTTTTCCTATCATAAAATGTGGCGAACACGAAAATATCACGAAGGGTTCCCGAGATATGGCCTGTTTTCCACCGCGTGTTTTGAAAAATGCAAGAAAAGGGCAAACTTTGGCGGCCATTTTGAGGCAGTTACGACCGAATTTCGCGGAGGTTCCGGGGTGCATCTTAAAGATGCACTCTTTTCCTATCATAAAACATAGCGAACACGAAAATATCACGAAGGGTTCCCGAGATATGGCCTGTTTTCCACCGCGTGTTTTGAAAAATGCAAGAAAAGGGCAAACTTTGGCGGCCATTTTGAGGCAGTTATGACCGAATTTCGCGTGGGTTCAGAGATGCATCTTAAAGATGCACTCTTTTTCTATCATAAAACATAGCGAACACGAAAATATCACAAAGGGTTCCCGAGATATGGCCTGTTTTCCACCGCGTGTTTTGAAAAATGCAAGAAAAGGGCAAACTTTGGCGGCCATTTTGAGGCAGTTACGACCGAATTTCGCGGGGGTTCTGGGGTGCATCTTAAAGATGCACTCTTTTCCTATCATAAAACATAGCGAACACGAAAATATCACGAAGGGTTCCCGAGATATGGCCTGTTTTCCACCGCGTGTTTTGAAAAATGCAAGAAAAGGGCAAACTTTGGCGGCCATTTTGAGGCAGTTACGACCGAATTTCGCGGGGTTCAAAGTGCATCTTAAAGATGCACTCTTTTCCTATCATAAAACATAGCGAACACGAAAATATCACGAAGGGTTCCCGAGATATGGCCTGTTTTCCACCGCGTGTTTTGAAAAATGCAAGAAAAGGGCAAACTTTGGCGGCCATTTTGAGGCAGTTACGACCGAATTTCGCGGGGTTCAAAAGTGCATCTTAAAAATGCACCCTTTTCCTAGTATAAAACATAGCAAACACGAAAATATCACGAAGGGTACCCGAGATACGGCCTGTTTTCCACCGCGTGTATCGAAAAATGCTAGAAAAGGGCAAACTTTAGCAGTCATTATAAAGCAGTTATGACCGAATTTCGCGGGGGTTCAAGAGTGCATCTTCAAAATGCCCTCTTTTCCTAGTATAAAATATAGCAAACACGAAAATATCACGAAAAGTTCCCGAGATACGGCCTGTTTTCCACCGCGTGTTTTAAAAAATGCTAGAAAAAGGCAAACTTTGGCGGCCATTTTGAGGCAGTTACGACCGAATTTTGCGAGGGTTCAAAAGTGCATCTTCAAAATGCGCTCTTTTCCTAGTATAAAATTTAGCAAACACGAAAATATCACGAAAAGTTCCCGAGATACGGCCTGTTTTCCACCGCGTGTTTTGAAAAATGCTAGAAAATAGCAAACTTTGCCGGCCATTTTGAGGCAGTTACGACCGAATTTTGCGAGGGTTCAAGGATGCATCTTAAAAATGCACTCTTTCCCTATCATAAGGCATAGGAAAATCAAAAAGATCACGAAGAGTTTCCGAGATATTGCCTGTTTTCCAGCGGGTGTTTTGAAAAATTCAAGAAAAGGACTAATATTGGCGGCCATTTTGAGGCTATACGACCGCAAGTAAAATTGACATGGCACCAAATTCGATCACTATTTTCAACACGTGGTATGAGGTCCACCGCGTGGAAAACATTTGACGCAATAATATAATTTAATTATAAACTTACCAATTCAGCGCTTATCGGATTGCACGGGTACGGCAAGTACTGTAATTAAAAGAAAATATAAATTTTAACTTAGAATCATTGCATACAATATAATCTTAATATATATAAATCTCCCCGTCTCTCCTCTTTGTGCGATGCTTCGTAGCTTCCCGCCCTAAGCATAGACGTGTGTATGTGGGTACGTGTGAGTTGAAGTTGACCGGTTGATGTTTTTGTTTGGAGAAAACAAACATTCTATCCTGAGTATCGCAATGATCAGGTAAATGTAACTTACTCAAACACGAAGGGACCTCCCAATGACGGGAAGCAACATCGCTGCAATATGTTGCCGATTTATCCAGCGACCGACAACGTCTCACAATAACCGATCATAAAACCGTAACATTGTTGTAATTTGGAATATAAATATCTAACGCGAGCAAAAAAAAAACATTTATGGATATTAAACGCGCAAATAATTGTGAACAGGATTCTATTGCCGCCAGTTGAGACTTGTTGAGACCGACACGAAACTGGCTGCGATGGCACAGGTTAAAGCCGAGCAAGCAACGACGCGACAATTCACAATAAGACTACTCGTATGTGCCTACTGCATGAACCCCGCAGGTGAAAGCAATAGATTCGCAAAGCCATCTTGCGCGATGTCACGCGCAGCGGCACGCGAACTTGTGCGCGACTTGCAATAGATGCGCAGAGCCGGCGCGTCGATGACACGCGACCTTGGGTACGCATTGTAATAAGCACAATACCTGCAGTCTAACTAAACTATAATATGCTGCATGCAAGGAGAAGGGCTTGCAACGACGACACTCTTAAATCTCAAGTGCTGCATTCCGCGCGGCGACTAAGCAATAAGAAAATGTGAATTGTGATCAAAACAAACACAATTCTCGTGCAGAATGTCCACGTTAACATCTGATGCAAATATTTCCTGTCCTACTCTAACACAAAAAAACTGTAATCTATCTGTCGTGTATGAGCGAGGCTGACGCCTTCTAGACGCGATTACTTTCATATTTTTAAAATCAAGCTGTCTTATGTAGTTTTTGTCTCTAAATTCACGTATGTTCCTTTTTTGATTAATAAATAGAAGGGAGTCAGTCGTTCTCCCTTTCGTGCGTTCTCCACATACTGCTGAATTAAGTATACATTCGTCCTTACCAGCTCTACAACACGATACAACACTATCCATTTCCCTTCCATGCACAGTAGGCAACTGCATCACTATCCACATGCTTTAAATTAGTCAAAATAAAGAACATACCATAGGTAATGTCACATATGCATATTGAAATTATATGGCCATGAACGATAGTACTAAATGTATGCAAACGTATTAAAATACAAAATTAAATAAATACCTTGAGTATTGTCACATACACCTATAGACAGTGGCGGATTATGCTTCAGTGGGGCCCTGGGCGCAAATCAAGTTTAGGGGCCCCTAAATCCGAAAATTTTCAAAAACGGTTATTAGCCCAGTAAAATTAATAGTTTTAGCGTACGGGCGCCGCAAAGTCTACTTCAACATTCGTTTGTGCCAAAAACTCATTTCCACACCACCATGAGGTAGAGTACGTAGGCTTAATCCACACGCACTATTCCAAAATTTAATGGATTATCTTCCGATTCGCTCTTCGCGATGGACCAGGTGTTGTGCGTTAATTGTTTTCAGGACCGATCGAAATATCACATATAAAATTTTCTGCCATACTATCCGCGATGGGATTATCGTTTTCAATGCTATCTTGGTTCTCGAGTTCATCATACGTGTGCTCAAAAACGGTAATCGTATTTAAATACAAATTACAAATTTACTTTTCTTGTCTTCTCTTGGGCAAAGATTTCAATAATTTTTGTCGTTTCATGTGGATCCTTAATATTTTCTTCTTGTATGTATTTTAGAAAATGAGGCTATAGGCTATAGAAACCATATAACTACGTGCCATAGTCAAAATATTTGCAATTTAATTACAATAAATATATTATTGTACTGTCACATAGTTACTACCTTCTAATATTCTAATAAATAAAAGAAAAATGAGCCAATTTTGGCGACAATTTGAGGCAGTAACGACCGAATTTCGCGGGAGTTCAGGTGTGCATCTTAAAAATGCACTCATGCCCTATTTTTGGGGGCTTGCTGGGACCTATCGTTTAGATAAACTTTTGCGCTATTTAAATATGTAAAGAACTTGCCAATATCGCAAACGGTTCCCGAGATATTGAGCAATTTTGACGGCAACTTTACAAAAATATTACTGAATTTTGGAGGCAGTTTTCACCCACTGCCCGCATGATTTTTGGGCGTTTAGATAAACTCTCGCGCTAAGTAAAGAACTTAGAAATTGCACAAGCGCAAGAAATTAGTAAATTCCATTGTGTATACTTTGTGAACTGCATGCCGCATGTTGGCACCTAAAGTGATAGAAAAACTTGTTTTGATTGATATCAAGTACGATAACCAGGCAGAGAAAAAACGAAAACAATTCTACATACATTGCGAACATTGCGCATTATATACATGCAAATAAATATATTTGACGATTAAAATAATTTAACTGGAAACTCACCAGTACGTCGCACCGCATATCATCTTCCTTCAGTGTTATTTTCTTCAATGGCAAAATACAGCACGCACTTGATAATTCGAAGCAAATGGAAACGATTCACAAAAAAGAAAATTTATTCACGTGTCAAGAACAATTCACCAGCGATAAATTATTAGCATCACTATATCCGACTGACTACGCGACGATCATTTGAATATAATGCGCTTTAACAGAATTAAATATTCAAGAAAGAACGCGAACCTCGAGGAATGCGTGCGTGCTCACCGCGAGACCGCAGCAAACTAGATTCTTCTACACATGTTATCTATGATTGAAACCTCTGCACGGGCGCAGGTAGGTGCGCGCGGTGCACTGCAAAATAGCGCACGATGCGAGGACGCGTAAGTAAGTTAAACCACAAGGTGATAGCAAAGTTATCTTAAATGCCATTCGAGGCCGACACGCAGGTAATGCAGCAAACAGAAGACACACACAAAGAATAAACATACAATAAATACTTTAAGAGATCACATTTTGTATATATTTCTTGTTCTTTTCATAAGTAATACCATGAAATGAAAATTGTTTATACTTATAGATACATTTATCATATAATATAATACAATGATTGAATAATAAGAGTAATATGTGGTGCACAGGTACTAAGTTCTTCTATTTAACAAGGCTAACAGTCAGCCTACACGTTTAGCGCGTATTGTTTTTGCTTCAAATTTAATTGCGTTTTCGTATCTAGAATAATTCTGTATCCACTTCGTTATTAACTCTAACTCATTCGTCGTCAGTGTTTTTCATTCCCTTAATCTTACATTGTGGTAACTCAATAAATACTCTGTCCGTTAATCCTGAGCACATTTAAAAAGTTGCTACGATCGCGTTTATGTATGAATTGGACATGACTCTTATTTCCTCGGTAACAATCACGTTGAGGAGTTCGTACATTCGTATCATTCGCGCTCACATACTACGTTCATGTCATGCATACGAAATTAATCAATATAAAGATAATTTGTTTGTTTCGGCTACAAGAATAGAATTAATTTTTGATTTTCAACAATTCATCAACAAGAATTAGAAGCTTAGACAACATAATAATAAATACACAAATAGTATGTGTGTGTGTTTGCGCTTTTGAATTGGCACGAAACTGTTTCACGGGAGGGCTGTGTGCCTCAAAAATAATCGTAAGTCATCTTTTAATCATCATCCTACACTAGCACTCAAATACTGGCTCTCGTAAAAACACACATGTTTGATGCAACATAGAAAATACCTCCGCTGTGTTATAAAACTCTGCATCGCCAGCTTTTACCTTAAATATGAAGTAAAACATTTGTTTAAAATATTATTTGTATGAACTAGAAATTAATTATTGAATAGTAATAGACGACGTCATTAGTTTTCTTCCCATCGCATACGCCGCCGGCGCCATTTTATAATTTAAATGTGCGTACAAAATGGCGTCGCTCAAAACGAAATGATGAAAAAGTCCTAGGTAATAATATGTACAATATTAGCTCCCTTCTGTTAAAACTCTACAACACGGACTCAATCTGCTTGATTTCGTGCTCGCCGGGGCTCTGCGCGATAATCATTGGGATGTTCTTGCCGATGGTGATCGGCCCATCTTCTTCCTCTTCATCCTCGTCGATCGGCGTGAGCGCATCGTCCGCTCCGGCAGGTTGAGCAGTATCCGGAGCAAAACGTTTCGCACACGGCGCGAGGAAGCTCGCCACTGCCGAAACGGCAAACAATCCACCAGCGACGAAGAATGGAACGGAATACGACTGTGTACTATCGTATAATGCTCCAGCTAGTGGGGAACCCACAATGGCGGCAGCACCACGGAAAAGAATCAGTAGACCGAATGCATTTGTCAATTTGTCTAAACCAAGCAAGTCCACGAGGATAATTGAAGTTAGCGAAATATAGCCGGCTGCAGGAATAATAAACACATATAAATTAGCATAAACTTCCAAAATGAAAGTGGTAGTTAAAACTTACAAATTGCAAGACCAAAGAAAATGGCCATCGTGATGTAAGCACCGTACGAATGACAAAATGGCGTCAGAGCTACCGCAATGGTAGAAATCACAAGGCAGATGTTGTTAACAAATAGCGCGTTCACCTGCGGGAAATCCGCGAAGTAACCGCAGGCGATACGGCCGAAGGTGTTTGTGATGCCGATGATGGAGATTAAGAAGGAAGCGCTTTCTTTATCAATACCCTATAACAGCAATAGGTAATACAAAATAATTTAATAAAATAATAAACAACTTACATCTAACTTGGCGCATTCTACAAGATAAACAAATGGAACATAGAGTCCGGCCATTCCAAACAAATTCGAAATGGCAATCAACATGAACACCGGATTTTTCAACAGGGAGACATCCATTAACTGTCCCAAAGCAGATTTGAAACTGTCAGGTAATACTAGACAAGGACACAAATCATATTCTGCAAAAATCAAAATTATTATCCGCCATTGTTTTCTCAAAATTATTGAAATACGTACGTTCTTGTTTCTCAACATCGCCCATCTCGCCACGGCTTGCTTTCGGAATGCTGACGACGCTCTGGCGGTAACTGGCGAGCGATTGCTTCGACTGATATTGCGGCAGGTTCAGAACTGATCCTGAGTAAAAGATGTCCTTACGAGACAGTGGTCGCACCATCTGCGGCTTCTCTCTCGCGAGAGACATTTTCGAAGAAGCGAAACCAACACTTTCAGTATCCTAAAAGAAAAAAAGTTTATTGTTTCCGTTTTGACCAATTCAAGGCCACCGAGTTTGAACATGAACATGAATGCATTCCAAATTGGAACACGTCCAAGATTTCAATTCTATTTCGAAACGCGCGAGTCAAGTGTCACATTCAAATCATAAATTTACTTACATCACTATTGTTGTTTCGACTCCCAAAGGACCTCATGCTTCTCTTAATATCCGCATTGGAGCTCATCGTACCGCGGGAACTAGACTTGATAGGGTTCAAAGTAGGCTTAAAGCGTTCACCGACTGAAGGTTTTCGCATACGGTCGAAAAATGGCACTGAACCATTTTTAGGCAATCCCTGAACGTGTGTAGTGAATGCAGGTTGGCTAGCATTCCTTGGAAGTCTGCCCCCATCAAACTCGCCACTTGAATCTGTCGAACCCTTTCGGCCATCTCCATTTTTCATTTCTTCAACTCTAGTATTCCGCGAATTCTTTAACAACTCACTGTGGGAACCAGACGATGAGTTCGTCCCACTATTGACCTCCTGCATTTTGACTTCGGTGATGGTCGGTAGTGTTGGGACTGTAGGAATGGTAGACATAGGTGTCCCAGGTCCCAGTTGATCGAGGTTAAAACTAGAGTGTACACCTGGGTCAATATTAAGCGGTTGTTTCTGGCGTTTCTCCATGGTACCATCAGGTAATTGTACCATAAAGTAGGAACCACCAATAGACCCGCGCTCCATTTGAATACGTCGCTCTTCCGCCATGCGTTGCAATAGTGGCTTCTCCCCGGATTCTTTAGGATATTCTAAGGGTCTCATGAGTGCACCAAACGCCGCACAGTTGAGGATCAATCCAGCTAGAATCAAATTAGCACCCTTCCAATCGTAGGCATCTATCAAGGCGGACGCCAGAGGTGCGAACGCAAACGTCCCCACTCCAGAACCACATACTGCAATACCAGTAGCCAGAGACCGTTTGGTCTCAAAGTAGTACCCAACACAGACTACGGCTGGCAGATAAATCAACCCAAATCCAAACCCACCCATCACACCATAGGTCACCATTAGGACATTCACATTCGGACTGAAGATGGACAGAACAAACGCAATCGTTGATATTAAACTACCGGCAATGCATACAGCTCGGCAGCCATATTTGTTCGTTAACGCGCTAACCACCGGCCCAGCTGCTAAGTACATGCCGGATAACAGCGAACCCACCCACGCAGTTTTGCCAACAGGTTCCTCAAAATATGTGACGAACTGAGGATTGAAAATACCGAAGGTGTACGCTATGCCATCAACAATCATGTTACACATAAAACTGGCGAATACCACCACCCAGCCGTAGCCTCCATCTGGAGGTGGCGGGATATCGTGGTAATCGCAGTATTCCTCTGCGTAATCATAGTCGCCTTGTTCTTCCGCCGTCAGACGTGCTGCCTCTTCACATGCTACTTCACTATCAGTCTGGAAATTAAAACAAAAGAAACGTTTTATTTATAGCTCGCACAAATATCACTGCAGCACGTGCCGCTCTCACGTGCACCATGTTAAACGACACAATCGGGAAATAATAGGCAATAATATAATAAGTGTAATTCAACTCAAAATAAGCACAACATAAACATGGTTAATTTGGCGTATATCCAATCGGGAAACGTTTAAAAATATAAATCGAATATTTCTGGGTGAGTATTTTGAGGCACATTGTTTTCATTCAATGTCATTGATCGTGAGTTAATATGATTTTATTTTCCGCTAAAATCCCGCTGAATTTCGGCCAAGGAATGCTTTTGACTCGAGACGACAATTTCGAGCAATTTTATTTTAATAGCCCAGTTCAAAGACCAATTAGGGCGACAACAAGTGGAATTTTTCACTCGTGATCAGGCAAAACAATAAAATAAACACTAAAACTTCGCGTTATGAACAATACACGTAATTTAAACACGTTGTTTCAATTGATTACATCCTCGTTGACAAATTTAACTTTTTAACAACTTCAAACATGTCGAAGGTTGTATTTTCTACTTTTATTATGAAAAACTATCTTTTTTACATTTCACGCTAAATTTTGATACTGTAAGATAAATTTTCAAGCTGCAATATTGTATAATCATTATTAATGTTATTTTATTATTCAAAGAGGAAGTAAACATGTTCAAGTACAAACTATTGGCATTTCTTAGAAAATTATTTATTCATTCCCTTTTACCAAGAATTTATCCCATATATTTACGACTGTTACATTCGTGATTCGACAGCTGCAATTGCAGAGGAAGCCAATTGCATTGCGACATTACATTATTGCAAAACTCGGGAAGCGTCTGGAATGAAGCGCTTCAATTGATTGTTGAGTTAAGCAAGACGCGTGTGTCATGCACCATACTCGAGATTCATTTGTTCGCCGAAGCCGCATACCAAAACAGTTTAATCAAACTGCATGCAGCAGTTAATCAAAACTAACTCCACACTACGAACAATAAACAAGCAGAATTATTTACTTCAATTTTTCAAAAGTAACCATTCGTTTATTACAATTATAATAAATGTTTCAATAGATACTCTTGATTACCAAATTTTTGAATGAAACCACGTGCGAAACAATGTCAATATCGTCCAAGAATGTTGTGAATTAAACTCGACGTCATCTCACAACTCGCAAGCAACGAAAACGTATGTTAAACTAGTTAACGTCACTCTAATCAAATCAATTATTAGAGCTCACACGAGTCCACACGTGAATCGATTGCTGGTCATATCAAGACCAAAGATGTTACCAAGCAGAACAAGCAGCAAATCAATCAGATAATTAGTAATAACACAAATTGCTTTTCTTGATAAGTGTAATTTATATTATAATTATTAATTTATAAGTTGAAAAACTTATAATGCAGGAAAAAACTATAAATTTGTGTGTTAAAAATCGTGTTGATAATAATCATGTGCTAGTTGTTTAAGTCAATATGTTTAAAGAAGCAATTGAAGCTCGATGATGATAGTGATGACGATTTTGACGAGTTAATCACGCCCATTCAACTTATTCAAGTATCGCATGGTGGAAAAATTGAGCCGCGCACATGCAAGAAATCTAATCAAGTGTTAATTCGCGTTCGTTAATACGGGCGATAATCGTGCTAATTGTAACACACGCTTGACGCTTTCTGCAAACAATCACTCCGCATGTATTGTGACGTTTACATTCACATGTTTACAGATTACGTTTTAAAATTTCATATTACATGAATTGAATCAAATAAATATCTAGGTTTCAAGTAAACTGATATTAAAATAGAAGAATGTGATAAGCAATAACCTCATAACATGATTGAATAACTCAGATACAATATACTCGAGATATTATAGAAATTATATTGTAGGTACTCATCCAACATTGTTTCATAACTGTTGCTATGTTAAATTACGCACAGTTATCGACACAGCATCTTATCAGATAATCTGCACCTACAGGATACCAACAATGTTAACTCAAAATAATAAAATTTACGAAAATCGCAGCCTTGAGAATTTCTGTGGAAAGGTTCATATTCATATTCATATGTAATAAAATCTTTCCTCGTATTTTGTCACACTTTTCTTTGAATGTATTTCATTATTATTGGAATTTTTCATTTCTAGCGCAGTGTACAACAATTTATTTTTACTCGAGCGTATTATATGAGTGCAACTCGCAAGATAAGCGAATTACTCAACGTTTCCTGTCTTTTTCACTATTTGTCATCGAGCAAATCAGACTTGTACTATTATCATAATAAAATGACACATGACACACAAGCAAACATACATATAAACTATATATTTAATATTTAATATTCCACCATTCTTTCAATTTAACTTTATTATGTGTTTGTTTATTTGTTTTTGAATTTTTTGAACACGATGACAATAATTTTCGCATTAAAAATGTATTAATTCAAGGCTATTGAACATTTATGCATACTTGAAAAACTAGCAACAATTACTCGTGCATTATGTGCAATGTGCAGTACGTTGTTGTTAATGTCGTCGCGCCTGCCTCGTGCTGAATACGCCTACAACAATAAGCGATCGATCGCGTTGCATTCCGAAGGCTGCACATGATCACATTATTCTAGCACTTGAAAAATGTGCGGTCTAAGCAAAAACATAAATATAAACTCGTATTATTTTGCATTTCATTCCAACAGACAACAGACTACTGTACAGTTACATTCAAAATACAATGTCAAGGTTAAAGAAGAAATTTGAGCGCCTGTTTATACTAAAACACCAACTAGTTTATTGTACTCAAAATAATTAGACGAAAAACAAATTATAATATCTATGAATGTACCAACGTATCATGATTTTATTCAACGTGTTACATTACGAGTTGACAGGTGGTATTGAGTTGATATTATCGACAACGGCGCACTTGCACACAATCGATTTACGTTTACGCAATCGTCCGAAGGTTCCACCAGTCGAGATAACACCAAAGTGGGCAATTGTTTGATTTGGCTCGTTGTGTAACGCGCTACAGTTTAATACCTACAGTACTTAAACCGGCAGAAGTGTGATTATACATGATCATGTATTACTAATTGTGTTGAACACGTTTCAAACGTTTCATTTCAATTTTTAAAAACAAAACATTTGTTGCACCTATTAATTCATGTTTATATTGACATAAGTGAAAATAAATATTTATATACCTTCTACAAATATTGATTATTTGTTTAAACATTGTTTAATTGTCTGAAATGCAAAGATAGATATAATGAAAGCTTTGTTAATGATTCATATTTGAATAAAGAATCAATACAATTCAGCGGTAGCAAAGTTCGTTAACTTCCGTATGTAATACACATTGTATTAAAAATAGATACAATATTCGTGGAATTTAACAAAAAATTGCTTTAGTTTAATTTAAATATACCCGATACATACCAAATTAACTAATATTTTAAATAATGTTTTCTAAAGTTACGAATTTAACTAGGTGCCTACAATATTCAACCTTTATCTTATCAATTATCGAGTTAAGTATTAAAGTACTTTAATTAATTTGTAACATTATTTCGTAATAAGTAATTTCTAATTTTGTTTTTCACCAAAAATACAAAACAAAATCAATCACGTTAAATCCAGAAATAATCATTGATAAGTACCTGAAATGTGACATAAACATCTCAAAAGTTATAAAATCACGAGCCAAAATTCAGTATTTTTAGATTTTTTTATGGTTTTCATTAAATTGAACTAAAATTACACATATAATTAAGCGTGAATTACGAACTGTTCTAATAAAGTATACTAGTTTATGTTCTGGGCGTGATTCACGAATATGCAATTCAATCCCACATTTGATAATAACAATTCACGTGACATAAACAGTTTTTTCATAGTTCATACACACATAATTACTTCAAAACAAAACATTCTAAACAAATAATTCCTGCAAAAATTGATTTCCTACTTACTTTTCATCTATTCATATAAATAATGTGTTAATGAATAAATTTTGATACGAGATATCACTAAAAAATATATTAAAAATTAAAGTTTGCAAGATTAATCAAAGTATTGAGTAGCTTGTGTCGTGCTCAAATAATTAAGCAATCAACTTGCAAATATTGAAATTATGACATTATGAATATGCATGATTTATATTGAAGCAAAAATTATAGAGAAACCATTATAACTTTGTGGAATCGCTAAATCGTTAAATCGGTCTGCAGTGCAGCGGCTTCGCCTTGGCCCCTTTTATACGTGCAATTGGCATTCAACAGCACCGATAAAATTGCCGATGTTACAACTAGCAAAATAGCAGAACCTAGCGTAGTAGCAAAAAAGCATAAAGAAAAATGTAAGATAAAAAAATGCGAAATGAGCATCAATCAAATATCCAATAATAGTATTCATTACACAACTATTTAATATTCAACAAACAAATAGTGTTGTTTTGTTTTTCTGCCACCTAAGATAAACATTTTAATTTGAATATCTGAATCGCAATAAAGTCCTCATGTTCATGAATTACTAAACAATTAATTATCATAAGCGTCGCCAATAAACTAATTCAACTCTTCAAGTATTGAGTTAATATTTATAGAAGAAATAAAAAACAAGTTGCAAAATCTTAAAATGGCGATTATATTGATTTGTCAATTATAACCTACTCCTTCTCCCGTTTAAACTACTAAGAAATACGGAGGCGTGTAATTACTGTGATTTTAAAATAATACTATCTCTAGATCGACCAGATTCCTTGAAAAATTCCTCGAAGACATAATAAAAATCAATTTCCAATTAACTCATCATCTTTTTACATTCCTTTTATTTATTTCGTAAAATCCGTAACATAAAATTCTCTAGAACACGTACATAAGGTGTAATGAAAGTTTAAAACATCCTTATCCTTAAACTTGGAACTTGTAAACATAAAAAACGTAAATAGTAATAAACTTGTTGGAGTAACGGATTGTGTTTTTGTTTTGGTCTATTTCACGTTTTCATTTTCGATGCCATATAGCTCGTCAATGAAAGCGAAACTTTGAGATCAAGGTAAAACACAGCGCGCAATAAATGTGTTCGAAACTGTTCAGCTAATTTGCATTTAAGACCACAACGCACAACTACGAGGAATCTAAACACAAAACAAACGTAACCAACTTAAACGTAACTAATTAAAGTTGTCACTTAAAATTGTAAACACAACTAAACTACAAACATTTATTGCCTACTTATTACTAAAATTTCAAAAACAATTTAACTAGTGGAAATCTTCCATTAAAATAAAATGTCAATTTAACAGAAATAAATAAGCACAAAAATTACGCGAGTTTTGGAAAACAATAATAGTTCATTACATAGCAAGAGTGGAAAACAATAAATTATATATTCGAGCAAATCAGACGCGCAGTGAGCAAAATTTGTGAGAGTCAAGTGTTATAACATGAAATGCATTGCTTTCAACGACACTTCATTGTATAGAAAATTAAATTTTCAGCTGTGGGAGCAGGTACAATTGATTTTCGGGCATTAAAACATGTAACCTATTAAAAAATCGTGGAAACTTTTAGTATTAAGCAAAGCAGGTAAACAGGCGCGCATTGCCCAACTATCCCGATTGCTATAAATAACATATTCGCACTTCGTAAGAACCGCGAGCTGTGAAACACAGCCAGCCGTCGTTTCTATGCAAATACAATCCAACTCATTTGTCGAATGATTGAAAAACAAAACAAAACTCTAGAAAATCTATTGTTTCGTCTATATAGTAAAATAAACCAAAATAATAATTTTACCAAAATAAAATTCTCTTTGTACTTAACCTTCTTAGTTTAAAATAAAAATTATAATGAAAATAAACATACCCTACTAATTTTTCGTTGTCTCGCCTGTTGCTTGCCTCCTTGATTTTTCGACATTTTGTTCGCTATCAGTCGATAATAAAAACAATTGTTTGTGGCACAAGTTCTGTATCACACTACTCGTTGTAAATACTGATCAATAAATATAGTCTTAGCAAAAACACACGATTTTTACTCATTAAAACCCATCGTTTAAAAATTCAGCCTCGAAGATTGGAAGTCATTTAAGATATTATGGCACTCGTTGCATATTAACAATAATTTCTCGTGCAGGCTGGTCGCATGTTGAAAACGCGCTTCGCACAATTCGCACCGCACTGCTGCACACTGTTGGCGGTATTAAAAATACGCTCGCGGGCGGCGCACACGTGCCGCTGGCGGTGGTCGCCGACTGAAATCGAACTCAAGCCGCCGCGCAAGGCTTCTAAAACTCTGCCGTCCCACGAGCTTCACACGCCGCCGACCGAATACAAACTGTGTTGGGTGAGTTGTGGATGAGTAGTCCTAGTCCTTGTGTTCGCGCGGCGTGCAACGCTGCGTTTTCAGCGTGTGTGGTGTGAGTGTATATGCCTCCTCCCGCATTGTGCACGCGACACGCAAAACGCGCCCAGTGCGAAATCTATCGGCGATTTTCATTGAAGCCAAGTAAGCCAGGCCGAAATTTTAATTACTGCCGAGCACTGAGCAGATGTCACGCTATACGTACGATATACATCGTACCATTTCTAAATAACACACAGAAATGTTGTTACTTGAAGTTTTAATGAATCACGTGGGTAAGAAACGTGTTCTGTCGCAACAATAAAAGTTAATAATAATTTATTTTGTAAATAACGCGTTTTGAAAATCTTCCAATCAAAATCCAGTTTTGCACTGGTTGCTCCCCTTAGAGATGAAATTTGCTTCCGTACCTATTCGTTCCCGTTTCCGCTATCCCCCATCCCGAATAACTGGGTAACCAGGGCTGCGCGGCAAGAGAAGCAGGTCAAAGGGCATAAACACGCGGTCCTTGCTCACATCGCACGCGATTGCGACGTGCATCGATCCGTTGTGTGGACGAAAGCGGGACATCGACATCGTCTTCATCCCCTCAAACCTACTACAACGATATAAACGAAACAAACAAGCCATCTTCGTGCAAATCGCCGAATATTACGAGCAATTATACTCCTAGAATATGAATTAGTACGGTGTATATTTTTATATGATTACTATTTTAATTTATGCAAACGTGATAAAATAAAAATGGGATTACAGTGCATTTCCCTCGATTACTCATGTCGGTACGCTTGTCCTCGCGGTTTATATTCGCTGTGTACATTCAACGATTCAACTTTGTTCTGTTTGTGTACGCAAAACAGACAGCAGTCAAAGAAAGTTGAACGATCTCAAATTTTCCAGCTACTAAATTTAGTATGTACTTACTTTTATTATTATATATTGGGTGCTTAATATAGGCACAAACCACAAAAAAAAAAGATTATTCATTTACATTGTGTGTGTGGTAATTTGAAATTAGTAAAGTAAATTAAAAGTAAATTAATGTAGGAAAAGTCAAAGATTCTGGTGAAAAATGCAAAGAATTAATTTCGAACACTTTTCTTATTGAGAAATTTCGTAGAATAAAAGCTTCGATCTGTTCCTCTCTAAAGCTTTTAGTTTCAGTGATATTCGCAATCGAAATATCGCGAAAATGATAAATGATAGTATTTTCAAACACGATTCCTAGAAATAAACCTATATATAATATAAATATCAACAAATACAATTTCCAGCAATAGGAAATAATATTTATTCGGAAAATTAGCAATTTCCCACTCGAATTTCCTGAATTTGTACCGTAGCAAATACGCCAAATACAATTTAAAATGGAAACTTTCTGTTGCAGACTAGTTCGTTACAAATAAATAATAACAAAAATTACGCGTGTTTCGGAAAACAATAAAATAATTCATTCCATAGTAAGAGCGGAAAACAATGAACTACATATTTTAGCAAATTGTGAGAATTAATTTTTGGTTCTGGAAATTTGCGACTCATATTTATTTCATCATATTTCCACTAAACAGAATCAACAAAAATACAATCACAATGTTTTCTGTCAATAACTGATAGAAATACAGATACAAGTTTAAACGCCGCGTGGAATTTTGTTGATGATTACGACCGTCGACCGAGTCGCTCATCGAACAATGACAAAAGTCCGCAAGTGAACTTTGTGCCTAGTTCAACTAAAACGCATCGACACTATTGTCGCTATTATGCATGATCCAGCAGACTCTATTAATGACTTTGTTTAAGTTCGTTGTTATGTTACGCGTTATTAAACGAAATAGAATTAGCATCTCGGAACTCAAGGAATTGATGAAAACAACAAGTAATTGACGGCCGATAAAGTCAAATAAACATAAACAGACTCAACTTTTGTGCATATCAACTGTCTTCCAATATATTTCCGTCGTTCCTGATAAGAAAATACATGAATTCACATCACATCAATTTCAAATGTTCAAATTAAATCACAATTTAAATATAACTAGAGTAAAATTAGTATAATAAATGTTTTGACAATATTTGTGAGGGTATGAGTTTATTTACGTAACCTTTTTGATTTGACTAATTAATTTGGGCAGCGGCAGGCCGTAAAAATTGTGTCAACTTAATTGAAGCGCGTGGTTCATTTTCATCAAGCAGTAAACTTTTAAAAAGCATCTGGTAATTTGCTGAGTGCTTGAATTGAGCAAAATAAAATTCGGTACGACAATGTGTCAATAATTCTTTAAAATTTTCATGATACTCCTGAATTCAAAAGAATGACATATGTGCCAATACAAAAATACTTTCCTGTATTATAAATAGAGAATACCGAAAATTGTGCTGGAAGAAAGAAGAAAGAAGATAAAAAGAAATAAAATGTTTTACTCGATACTGTGTACAATAATAATGAGCAAAACTTAAGAATCAATTAGTAAATAATTGATTGCAACTGCATAATAAATTCTCGGAAATAAACTAAAAATCATCTCAGGATATTTCATAAAATCTCAAGTTTAATCACTCAAGCAGTCAATTATTTGACAGATAATATAAAAATATCGATACCACTCACAGTTCTTCGGAGTCTAAAAATAAATCTGCCATGTTTTGATTGAAGTATTTACTAAATGTCAACCGGGGACGTTAGATAAAATTACGAAATGCAATTTGAAAAATTAATGGTTCTTTACTTGATTTTCTAAAGAATTTTATAAAAATATTGGTAAGTTTTCTAATCATTTGAACTAAATCAAAACCGATTTATCGCTGTGTTTGATATTCCTTCATATATGCCTACATTCTCTGCAATGCATACCTGTCCACGTAAATTATTATCGATTATTTTCGACTCTTTGTGTTTCCAGTCGTACCCGGCTTGGATTTTGTTCATTCATAACCCTTACTGCGGATAGAAATATGTAAACGCAAAATCTGCATCAATAAATGTCAGTTCTAACAGAAAACAATCCATGTGGATATTTCTAAGGCGTATAGGGATGTTTTACACATTAAACAGAGATTTAAAAGTTGAAGATTTTCAAGGTATAAGAAAGTAAAACTAGGTTAAACTTTGAAGGGTTGTTTTCGGCGCTTACCGTGTTTGATGGCCGCCGACTGCTGGAAAGATCATCGTCGGTGTCGTCGTCAGCGTCGTCGTCACGGCTGGCGGTGGCCCCCATCGTGCCTCAGGCCAGCACATGCACGTAGGCGGCGACGGCTGCGGCGGCGGCGGCCCGCGGCCGGGGCCGAGCGGCGGTCGAGCACACACGGGGGCCGAGCGAAACACCCTCACCGCTCGTGTGAACGATCGACGCGGCACTGGCGGCGGCGGCAGCTGCGGTGGTGGTGGCGGCGCTGCCGGCCGGCCAGCTGGCGCCCGCCGCCTGCAGATATCGGTTGCTAGGGCCTCAAACTTTGTTTTACCCGCAGAAATCACTTCTAACACAATTTATCACAAAATACTTATAACTTCACGAAATGCTATAAAATTTGATTGAATTTTAATTATTTTTTCATTTAAATACTTAATTACCATTAAATTTATGTTGTGTTGTTTACCAAACAATATTGAAACAAATATTAATTTTCAGGATCGTATCGTTGGCGCCCTCTAACGACACAATGCTTCACTACAAGTTTGTATAACCATCAAATACTAGTCACTCACCGATTAGATTCTTATTCTTATCTGCTATTTATTATTGTCACAGCAAAATGCAACGTCCAATACCAACCAAAACACTACTCAGGTTTCCAGTCCTCTTTGGTGGTTTTATGATCGCCTGCAGTGTCGGTTTCTATCACAGGTAAAGCATTTGACTGCAGGGTTATGTTGACAATTGCAATTGTAGTATGTATTCTTATCATACAATTGTGTTAAGATTTTAAATGCACTATATTTTATCACAGAAAGAACCTGATAGGTGATTCCAATGAGTATCAGAACGCAGTGATAACCGATGCTGAAAGCGAGCGGCTGATTAACACCATCAAACAGAAGCACAGAGAATATGGTCAGAAACATTAATCACAAAACTTGAACTTACTCATAAACTGTTTGTAATGTGTTAAGAAATTATAGTCTGTAAATGTTCTCTTAAGTTGTTGATTATGTTAAACGTAACAGGTTTACACTACTTTTTAATAATAAGTACATAAAGAAATCACAACTTTTGTTTAGATTCTTGCTGACCTTGAGTGTGCACATTAAGTTGTCTATGTTAAACACATTAAATGATGTTTAAAAGTCACATCGACTTCTTTATGTAGATACCGCCAATTTAAGACAATTTCTCGTATCTAGATTGTTAATTAATGGAATAATCCGTAATTTGTGCACACCACAACAAATAATAAAGATATGTTTTAGAGGTTACAAATTTGAATTTCTAACTGATTCAAACGATCTTCAATCTGCCGTCTAATTGGCCAACAAAATCGGCCATCATTAATTTTGTGACGTCAAAGCACTAAATCCATGATGGCCGCTTTTTTCCGCGTTTTTATTGGCGGTTGCTAAGCGCACTGGTTCAGAAAATTTTCCATAGCAACCATTTACAATCGAATAACTTTATTGCAAAAATTTGAAAATTTGAAAACTAATTTCTATGTTTATTTATTTATGCACACAGCCATTTACCATCAAACAACCTAAAAGTACAGGAAAACAAACAATTAAAACAAGTAAATGTATGCACCAGTTTAAAATACATAGCAAATTTTATCATTATATCTACATTGTGATGTTAGATCAAAATAAAAATAAATTTAAAAAATAAATTAATTAAATTAAAAATTTGAGACCTATTCTTTTAATTACAAACACTCTAGATAGAAGAAAATAGCTACAAAGTGATATCAAAGTAAAACAACTATGAAACTTTCATATAGCTATGATGTATATAAAGTTGCCTATGTCAAATTCAAATTTAAATATAAAATGAAGAACAACTGCAATATGCTTTTGTAAGCTTTCGTACGATTTAAAGTTACAAATACTAGGAAACATTCTAAACTATGCATAATTTTTTAAATATTAGTGCAATAAACACAAATAAATTATATTTTAGGTGCGTAAATGAAGTTCTTTGGTATCAGTTGTTAATTCTTCTTTAAATTGCCGCATTATAGTAAAAATAGTCAAAGAAGTTTTTAAAACCTTAAAGAAAGCGGTTAAATACATTAAAGTAAATAAAAACCATATGTTTTAAAAATGATTACCGCGACAAATGCTTGACAGTTTATTTCAGCAAGTCCTGCAGCGTAAAAACGAAATGACTTTTGAGCTCTCATGATAACAAAACACACATTTTTCTGTATTGAAATAGTTCCTTCATACCAATTACTGTTATACATAGAAACCGGCAGAATTTCAGCCTAAAACAATAATATTTAAATCAAAAAATTAAAAAAATCAATATTAGGTTGGTTAAACGTACTTCAGCTATAAAATATGTTGCTGGGAAACAATACAATGCGAATTGTACATACAGAGACGAACAATACACAGCACTCAACATTACTCTTCCAAAATTTGACAAACTAAAATATAAAAATTAGTACATCAAAGAATTATTTAGTCATTATATGCTTACTTTTCTACCAACATATATAATTCCATGCAACTCATGTAAATCGATATAACATATTGTGCCAATAATGGTAAACTCCAGAAACTAAGCAGTTCTGAGGCGTACATTAATAAAAAGTTATGATACTCAATCAAAACTTTAAAATCATTCATAAAGTTGGCATCAGTAACGTCAATATGTTCCAGAGAGTAGTTTATGATTTTTATCTGCACAATCAAATGTGTACAATAAATAACATAAAGGCTGTCTATGCCAACAACAAACGCAGCAAACGTAAAACCATATATGTATTCGTAAACTTGCAAGATTTCGAATGCATAGGGTATATCAGGGACGTAACAGGCAACTAAAAGTTCATTAGGTTTAAATATTGGTTGTAAGTAAAATAATACACAGGTGCAGTAAACCAGCACCGCAAAAGTAAAAAGAATTCTGTAAACAAGTTTATAAGTTGATTCAATTTTTCTCTGAAGACTTTTCGGGAAATCATCTGGATTCCAAAAATTCAAATGAGCTTCATATAAATCTATGAAACGATCTCTTTGTATGTACAGAGGTATTACTTTTATAAACATCTAAAAATTTAAATTAAAATATTAAGTTTCTGTACCGGATATATTTACCTGACACCAAGTTGTCATGCCTTCAACAGTCCTTGCAAGCAAATCAACATCACCATTAAGATTCCATAATAAAACAGCAGTAAGACATAAACTTAATAAAGATGCCAGGATAACCAAAATAATAATGAATTGTCCCACATTTCGATTGTCAGTCGGACGCTGACTCACTATGGACAACGCAGAAAAACTAATATTTATTAAATTAGAGTATCTTACCATTTTTTGTTTTTAAATTCAATGATTTTTTCTTTTACGAAAGTTAAGTGAAGAAATTATAAGTATTCCAATGCTTTTATATTAATTTTGTGAAAATTAATGCGAATTATTGTCATTTGTTAAGTTAATTATTCACTTAGAAAACAGACATGTCGCAGATAAATTTAATTATTCACTGTTTAATTACTAGTGTCGGATGCGTGTTTACTGTAAGTTTTTAAACTTTAAGTCTTCAACATATTATTATCTTAGATGTAAGTTTGCTCACAGGAAGATAATAATAGTAATTTATGGAAAAACTTATAAAACTGTCATTCTACATAAAATCAAAAACTATTTCTTCATTCGCATCATGCTTATCAGTCTATATCTTGCTATACATTTTAAATTAATTGTATACCTAAGCATATGACAAAATCTCATACATCTTTTAATAGTATGTATTACTTTATTGTGGTTGCTTCTTCTCCTCATGCAATTTTGCATATTAAATCAATACAAACTCTTCTTCTCAGAAACTTGCAGTTAATATGCTGTCATTCTGTTGTCTAGCATTGTAAAAACTTTATAAAATAACAAATAACCAAAATTTTCGTTTATATTATATTAATCTGTCATATAATATCAAACTGAACATTCATATCATCTTTCTAATTTAATTATACAGGTATTCAAACAAGTAAATTTTAAATTTTACATTATTACATACACATATTTATAGATTTAAAAATGTTTACATTTATTTTAGATTAGAATGAATTTTTTTCAAGGATTATTTCACCCAATTGAAACTTTCGTCAACAATGTAGAAGTGTTTGATATCAAGACACCGCAAGACCTCTATACATTCTTCATGCTGTGCCATCTTTTTTCTTGGACCGTCTTGCTATGGAAATTTAAATAATCTATTGGTTTATTCTTGTACAAATGGTGAATCACAGGCTTCAAATAATAATTGTATTACTAAAATCTATAGAATATTTATAGCAAACTGTTTTGTCTTGAAAACAAACTGTTTCATATTGAACAACATTTTAATACTATACAATAGGTACGTATAAAATAATTAGTTTCAGTTTTATAATTTTAAAAATTTTAGATTTTAAAACTGAATGTTTTCTGTAACACTTTGTATAAAAAGGGTGTGAATTTGATTCGCGTGTAGAAATGTTATATGCAAATTTCGCGTTTCGCTATGGGTGAGGTCGAACGTACACGCCGCGCACCGACGGGGATGTAAAAAATATTCGCATTTCGCACATCGCGGGGTGCGCGCAGATTGTCCCGCTCTCAATTCATGCATATTCATGAGAAAATTTCGAGTGTGCGATGGCTCTGATTTACATCACTGGACCACCCCGTTGCGCATATGAGGATTAAGTGATAATATGGTTGCTTTTTGCCGCCCCCCACGGGCGATGCAAGAAACATTTTCAATCAAGCGCGGATTACTACCCTTACAAAATTACGCACAAAAATTAATTCGGACTAATTTTAAAGCCACATTTATAAAATGTATAATATGCGCATGCGTAGTAGTTATTAAATTTTTTGTGATGATGATCAGCGATATAATTTACTGTAATGTAAGCTGCAACCAAAGCTTATTTTTCATCTCTGAAACTTTGTTTCCCTCTTTTCATCGCTTGTTTGGCATAATTTACGAGAGCTTTATAAATCAGGAAGGAAAGAAGAAAAGAAAAACGGCGCGCTGCGGAAATGATGTCATTTCGCTAACGTCTTCGCACACTTTTCCACCCCCTCCCCCACAAATCCACCTTCTAAAACTACCCTCCTTACGTCAGTGGTGACAGCAACGATACTTTTTCTCAAATTTATTTATGAGCTAATATTTACCACAAACAAGCCGCCGGTTTTAATCACACCCTTAAATATTCCATAAATTCTTCAGATTTCATCGCAGACATTGAAAAATTTATTGCTTTATTGCTCGTAAATTAAATTATATATGACAAATTTTAACTTTTATTATTTTATATTTTTTTATTATAAAAGTTTAAGAAAAATAAAAATCGAAATTATATTTGAAAGTTGAATGCTAGAAATATGTGCAAGGGTAATAGTTAAGAAATGGTTTGGGGGATGATTTATAGAATGTGTGCACGCATGCACGGGTTCACAATCGACGCTGCGCGTCGTCTAACAACCTGTTACTTCCGGTACAACACTTTCAGACGCTTTGATCGCCAACGCCGCTCCACCACCAACATTTCTACCCCCCAACAACCACATTCAAAGCTCTTCAATGTAAGTGATGTAAGCATAAATCGCATAAGCTCAAACATACTTTGATACAAGTTGAAATCTACTCTTACCTTTATAAAATTATACAGTGTGTCTTAAGAAAAAATATTTTTTATTAAAAAAAATTATTAAATAAAATTTAATTAATAAAAATTTATTAAAATTAAAAAATTTCTTTAAACACTTTGTATGTAAATATATATTTCTTCAAATATTCCATTGTAGATGTATGATTACATCGTCGACAATAAAATTCAGCTCAGTAAGAAGTTGTGCACATAACATCCCCAATCATGTCAAAAATATTTTTTGGAGGTTTGCAAATGGGTTGGGGTTTCGTTCTTCCGCAGAAACGATTTTTAATAATTCCGAACCGGATTATGCGCTTGTTTTCGCGTGCGCGCTCATCGTTTGAGCTTCGGCTTGAGCCCTCACTAAAATTTAGCATACGACGGGAGTGGGAGGTGTGGGATAGTAGAGAGATGATTATAAAGCGCCCGTGGGTGTGTAATACTCCTGAAAGTATTCGCCATTGTCCTCGAACGCGAGCCGCGCAAGCAAAAGGGAGCTTGCTGCCGTAGGAGTGGGAATGAGGGGGGTGCAAGAGGGGTGAGTATTTGTCAGATGATCCCGGCAATCTGCGACCGCGCGGGTTGTCGTCCTGTCCATCAATCTCTGATTTAGATTTTGATTCGCTCCGCCGCGTATCACTAATTAACAGTTAAAATGCGATTCGATGAAAATTTTTGCGTTGTTTTTTTGTTCCAATTAGCTTTTATTGAATTTGCATTTGATGAGAATGAAATTGCGCATTTTGCGCAATCCAGGCGATAAATGGAACGACAAAAATTTCAATTCAGCATTAAACCCGCCGATAGATATCAGCCGCGGGAATAAATCTACACGTATCTAGCAGTGAAATACAATTATTGCAAATTTGCACTCCGGTTGCGTCGACAGGCATTTTCCATTTCGATATTTATTGTTAAAGTTGTAAAAATGAAATTTCAATTAGTAATTTGCATCAGTTCTATTTATACCTACTTAAAACAAAGAACAGAATAGCTGTGTAATGGTGTACATTATAATATCTACAACCCAAAATGCATATAAATGCACAAAATGTTGCCTAAATAGTTTTTTTTTTATTTCTCGTAGAATATGCAAAAAATTTGTTTGCACATATCGAGCGACGTCGACGTGTGCATCAGCGCGAGCCAGATAAAGAATGAATATGCATGAATGGAAGATAAAAATCGCTCGGTAGGCGGCGACGAGCTTTTTGCAAACGAGCTTTTAATATACATTTATGTACCGACGGGCGCATTTTTTTCATTTCCTTCTTTCTTTGCCGGTCGTCGGTCGTCAGTCGTCACCGCCGCACATTGACAAGTACTGCATACGTACAAATCGTATACCAAGTGATAAACTACCCCTAAAAATTTATCCCATAAACCTCATTTTAAATTCAATATTTTTTAATTTAATAGTTTTATTCGATTTAAAAATATTTTGATTTTTAATTCGTTTATATGTAAATTTTATTGAAAAAAGTTTGAAATTATGGATTACCCGGTGTTTCACAGATTTGTAAAACGCAGATTTAACGAGTGGGAAATGCGCGACTCGACGATAAAGAAACTCCCTCGACGCGAGGCAAAAAAAATTGTTGATAGGGATGTGTGTGTGTGTGTATGGGGGTGAGAGTGGGAATAGCAGTGCGCGTTGCAGAGGAAAACTCCACTGACCGAGAGCTGACAATTGACGAAACCTCCTTCCATCATTTTCATCCCCTTTAACCACTCCCGCTCCGCACCCCCAACCCCTTCGCGGTGTGTCTCCGCATAGTTTCGTTGATTTGCACCGCTGAATTAATTTATGCACGTGCGATAATTGAATTTAGCGCAAACAGAGTGCTGCGGGGTGCTTTTTGATTCTAGTGGTGATGGTGGTGGTGGTGGTGGTGGTGGTGCACAATAAAAGACACCTGGACCTGCGAGCGCGCGGTTCTCACCTGTGGAGACAATGCGGTGTGACGGCGCCGCCCACGCCTCCGCCGCCGCACTGTAAATAGCGCCCCACCTCAGCGATTATTATCGCATTTAGCATCATCATCCCCCGCCGGCTGTCGCGACATCCCTCCGATATATCCCTCCGACGCGGCGACTTATTCCGAGCGCGGCAGTGAGCGCGCGAGCACGTGGCGCCGCACATCACGAAGAGCAAAGAAGACAATTCAAGAAGGAACAAGTGCGGTTTGTGAGTTTATGACTCACCCTTATACTAAATTCAAGAAATAAAAGTTCTATATTAAATTTTAAGGTATGTGCATTTTTTATTTACTTAAATCATGATTTAAAACAATGTTTTGTATACTTAAGTCAGTTTTACGAAGAAAACATAAAAACTAGTCTAAAAATAAATCCCAAATTAGTTTTGTGCGTACAACTATTTATATTCACTCCGAGGGTATTTATATTTACAAATCTACCATTAGAACTGAGTGTAGTTCATTTAAGTCAACTTAAATTTAGTTTAACTTTGTAGTTTTTCAACGTCTCACACATTTTTTTCGAGAATTTCTGATCGCTCACAACAAAACGCCAAACGCCAAACAAAAAGCGGAAGTAGACAGACATTCGTGTTAATACAATCACCAGGGGTGAGCGGAACACCCCTCGCAATGTGTCTCCGCACACACCAATTATTGTATTGAAATTGTTTTTTTTATTAGGGGTAATATTACATCACACATAACTTGCACATGTGATGTGAAATTACATGTGTTACATTACAAACATTCACAATAAAGAGGTGGGCGATAAAATTTTGATTTCAACGAATATTAAAAACGTATTTTTTGTGTTTTAATATAATTTTCACCAAACGCACGGATTTTATTCTTGGATTAATATTTTATATTTGGTATTCGGTTTTGTTTTATTCTACCAGGCATATAAAGCTTTTCACGCATACAATTTGAATAATACTACAGTAATTGGATATTTAATACTCTTTTATACAAAATACACAATGTAAACAATGCAAAATGATAATAATGATCATGCGTGCGATACAATATGTTATATATTCCAATAAAACTCACGTACACAAATTATTTTGTTTCAATGTGTTGCATTTTACAAGAATTGGGAACAAAAGTTTTTCTTTGTAAATTTTAAAAGTTTGGTTATGTAAAATTCATCTTTTAAAGACAAGTACTCAAAATTATAGTTGTTTAATTTGGATATGTAAAGTTTTACTTACAAAAAGAAAAGTTTTTGATATTTACAACAATATCGCTGTTTTTAGCAGGTTTGAGCATGTTAACGTAACATAACCTATTTTAATACATAACCATACATTGTATAGTTAACATAACTTTAAATATTCCGAGAGCAACCTGTATATTTGTATAATAATTGCAAATAACGATGAGCAAATCTATCGATTACTATAAATTAGCATCACAATCAACGCCATTGTTGTAGTTAACAAATATTGCATATCAAACCACTACTAGAATGACCGCACAATTGCCGCAGAGTTTTGCATATCACTAAAATTTTGTACCAGCACGCTCGCTGAAATATAATTCAAAATGATCATCAGCGCGATGAAAAGTTTCCAACGCATTGTCAAATAATTCGCGGCGCACATCAATCGCTGGAAATCGCTCGGGTGGAAACTCGAAATGATTCAACGAAATTCAATCCTTGACCACATCAGCAAACACCAGTTTTAGTGTGTTTTGGTGTTGGCGCGCAGTGATGCACGTGTCATCATTGTTGCAACACCTTGGTACTTGCTTGTTCTAAATATCATGTCTCGGCGTGTTCAACACTGTTCAGTTTTCCGGTGCATTATGCTCAAGGTGCATTGTGGTGATTGTTGCATTGCGGCATTGTTTCTCGAAAGTGTGACAGCGGACAGCATTCAATCTAGAATCCAGAATATTATGATTATTTAGAAACTTGTTGTTCGAAAAGTGCTCGCGAAATTAAAAATGAAGATTTAAAGCGATGTAGATACATTGTTTTAATTTTGCTAAGTGATGGGGAGATGAAAAGTGGAATGCAGAAACAAAACCGCGAAAGTTGTAAATTATTATCTGGGAACGTAAAAAAAGTTTTGCTCTCAGACGCTGAAACTGCAAGTTTCATAGTTCTTATCATTATATAAAGTGGGAGGAAATAATAGGAATGCAAAAGATACATTGAAGATCATTTTTTTTGCAAATATGAAAGAATGGTGATGAAAAGCTTAAAAATTTGTGAAAATTGAAAGAAAAAAGTCCCTGATTTTTAACACAATCATTTTTTAATGAATTTTTCTACTTCCACCTTTAAAGCGTCAGTTTTTTCACGGTTTTTAGACACAAAAAGTGGTACTTTAATCATGATCGACCAAGGCCGTGACTAAAGGACTTTATTCACCATCTGTATTCGGTAATTTAAAACATTTATTAATTTATCAAACAAAGAAAATGTTTATATCTCTCCCCATCGGTTAAAACTGATAACTTATTGATAGAAGTACCAGAAAAAACACTTTAGTGTAAACCACTCCAAAGTGAACGAGAAAATCTTGATCTCCTCACGTCTAAAACAATTCCTCGCTTGCTTTCTATCTGCATTTTAATTCCAGAGGGGTTTAGGTGTTCTGGTTTCGTCTCGTTTCGTTGTGAAAATCCGATTTGAATCAGATACACTTCAAGTGGCTTTCACTTAGTTGTAGTCAGTTAACGCGCCTCGCAAGAATCACGCGATTTGCATGCGGTTTTTCTCCCTCTTCCACACCACAATCGTCACACAGCCGCCGTCACTGCCGCCACCGCAACCGCCTGCGGCGCGTATTCTTTCCTTCATAATTCCTATATTGACGCGATGTCGCGCCTCGCGTTCCAATTTGACGGAATAAGTGCTATGTAAACTTTTAATGCAGACGAGGACTAGCAGGATGAGCAGGATGAGTATCTCTGCAACTCGGCGGCGGCGGCAGCTCATTGTTATACGTATTAAAAGGAATGCTAAAATGATATAAAACCAGCCGTTGCCAAGCGCTCGACTCAAAGCACTTCATCGCTTTATGTAAATTACGCCGCGCGAATTCACGCCGAGAAATATTCGCAGGCACACCGAACGAGAGAACGAGAATTTGAGGAGCAAACGAGTAAAAAACGGAAAATGAAAAGAAACTCCTCCAACACTTCTCAAGATATAAATGCAACAATTTGCTTAAATTGTACGAAATGATTCAAAGAAGCAAAAAAAAACTGAGCAAATCTACGAATTAAAAACTTTCCAACAAGTTTTTTGCCACAAATTCCGAAATCTAAATATTTTCGTTTCATTAATTAAATCAAATTGTAATTTCGCGCACGTTTCTGGAATCTCCGGATTTCTCACGCAATCTCGAAATGGATTTATTCTATTTCCGCTCGCCTGACGGCGTCTAAGACTAATTAAATCATCTTTAGATGTTTGCAATGTCTTCCAACTTCCAATGTCTTGCTCGACCGCGGAAAGGGTTGAAACTGCTTGGTGGGCTTGGCGAGGGGGTGAGCGTTGTGCCCACAGCGGTGGATTTGACGAGCCGGACTAATAACTCATGATTATTATACAATACTCTTCCGAATACCGACCCTTCAGCGTGGGGATGAAATTGCTCTTGATTTATCATCTCTGGAACATACCTACTACCAAGAATTAGGAACACGGACTATTGTGATTATTTCTTAAGAAATAAATCTTACAAGAAAATTTTATAAAATTAAAAATAATTATTTATTATTTTAGATATTAGAATGGCGTCTACAAATGAAGAGATACCACCTCCCACAAAACCTCGCATTTCTCCGCTGGAGTATCGCAACACAGATTTAGTCTCCAGACTGTTGGCGGCAACCCCACCTTATCTCTACAATATGTCAATGGTCCCCAATACGTATTTCTTCAGTGAAATGTTGCGATCTTTTGTGCAAGCCAAAGCGGATCGCTCTTCAGTCCCATTGGCACGACGATCCAGAAAACGCAGTTGGACTCAAACAAAAACCTCAGACTCACCAACTTTGAACCATCCAAAACTACAAAAACTCCCGATTGAAGACACCTGGAAACCCAACACAGACACAAATTTAAATTACTATGATGAACAACATAAACTAGCATTATCTACTGATAATAAAGAGAAATTGTACGCGGGGATGTTTCAACCCTCCGGAGGTCAAATGCTACCCCCAACTAGCACTACACATACAAACAGTACGCACGCCACTCAACCGCAATCAAACACAGAAACCTCGTCGAGTTTAATCCTCCCACCACCACCCCCAATATGGTACCCGCCTCTGTACAACACGCCACCTTATGGTATTGATCCCCTGCATTTCTTCATTGATCTACGTGTGTCCGGACACATTTACGACCGGAAAAAATCACTGGAAAAAGCTCAAGAAGATTCAGATGTACTTAATAGTAATTCATCAGTTAAAGATGGTTTCCTTACAAATGGAAAGCCAAATGTTTTTAAATCATCTAAACATGCCTCAGCGTTCAGTGTCCCGATTAAAAACCACGCTCATCCGATAAATCTAAGTAAAGCCGAAGATGTGGAACACAAACCAATGAAATTCGATGTGAAATCATTGGGACTGGAGAGTACACACAACAAAACAGGTATTAATTACGTGATGAACAATATCGAGCGGGTTTATAAAGATTTGTATGATTCGGGGACAATGGAAAGGGGTGGGATGGGGGATGAAGAGGAGAGAAAGAAGCGCGAGCTTAAAGAGTTGATCGGGTTGGAGTTGGCTGTTGATTATATGAGTCAGAATAATAAGAATGGAATTAAATCATGCGCAGAGGGTGCAGGTGGTGGTTTAAGTGAAAACGAAGGGGATGGAGGTGGTGTGGAAGTGATTGATGTACAGAATGATAATTCAAATTCTTAAATAAATTAATATTCAATAACTATCAACTATTTATGAACAATATTAATAATAATAAAGGAAAGCATTAATTCAACTGTAATATTTATTGTAATTAGGTGCAATATATGAACTGTAAAAATAAATAAATAATTATTCAACAATTGAAATATATTTCAAATGAAATAATTTTAATATTACAATAGATGATAGTTTAGAATTCCAAATATGAGAAAAACCGTTATTACGCTTTATTTGTTGACATATTCACAGCGCAAATTACAAATTCAAACACAATTATGTGCTGTTAAACGAATATAATTAAATTCGCGTGATATGTACATTATGGTTTGGAGTGTTTGTTGATTTTGAAGCATTGTAAACTGGAAAATTGCTAGCCGCATTGATGAAATAAGTCTGAGGACAATAAACGCGATATTTTTTGATTGTACTTAGGTACATTGTACACTATGTATTACATTGTGCACGGTGAGTAGATTATAAATTATACCCGGGACGAAATCAACACTCATGTACACTCAATTTCTGACAATTGGTGAACAAACAACGAAGGTTACGACACAATCGAGGTATATATACGTCGAAGTGGGCAAAATGCGCACATTCTGTTTTATACTTTACGAAAAACAACAGCGCTATCAAAATGAATAAAATCTGTTTGACTTTGTGTGTTATTTTCATGTGTTTGGTTATACTAGATATGGCAAGAGTAAGTTAAATCTTTTTTTTCTTTTCTATGTTTGTGATAAACTAGAGATTTTTTTCACAAATTCACTTTTATGATAATAAATTAACGTGAATATTTTGTTAAAGGCTGATAGTGTAAGTGAAATAGCATCTCAGGTGAAGGAAACTTTGGAGAACGCGTTTGATAAAGCTGCGGAAAGCACCAAAGGAGCGTACAATAAAGTTAAGGACGCAGCCAAAGAACAATACGACAAAATAACATCGTAAAATGTAAAAATATGTATTCTGCATGTCATTTGATTGAGGGTCAAAACAATAAAATTAGTACTGAATAATAAAAACAATTGTTTTTTGATTGCTTATCAAATTACTAGCGGTAACGATAATTGCGTGGTTTGTTTGTAATTCAAACAGGATACTATATACAAACAATTGTCGAAGACTTATAGTGAGCACGAAAAATCAGTGATGGTTGAAATTAAGTTCTAGAGTGAAATGCAACCTTATGTGGCTTCCAAACAAGAAAATAATAACTATTGCGTAAATTAAAGAAAATAAAAATATTTAAAAAGAAATGATTTAATTTTACCTTTTTACTTCAGATATTGTGGATTTAAGGATTATGGATTAACCCAACAGCAAAAGTTGCAAATGACAACCTTTGAAGTGTGACTTAACCAATCTTTATTTCATTATTTAATTGAAAATCTATGGTAGATATAGTGTTTTTAACCGCATGATTAAATTTTGTAGTTTGTATTAATATAAAACCAACAAAATGTTAAGCAAACTTATATTACAGCCCTCCGAGGATTAGGTAATGAATTGATTGTAAATATGTATGTAGGTAATCAAATAGATAAAACCGTATTTCTTTATTTGTTAATCAATTAATTCAAACTAGTTAATCAATACGCAAATACAAATATAATTGTCCATCAAGTATCTCCCGGCCAAATATATATTCTACACCAGTCTTGAATATAACTCGAAAAGAAACGGTCAAAATAGAAAAAATATATATTTTGGACTTATATAATGTTGTTAGTAAAAGTTTTCCTTGTACTAGGCACTTTATTACAAGATTTTCATTATGTGCAATTAATTAATCGTGAATCCTTGATTCAAAGTGTGGTTAAGTTTGTTACATATCGAAATTATCCATTTAAAGTCAATTTATTACTTGAATGTTGGCAAAAGAGTAAGTATCATTTCAAAAAACAAGTAAAAATCATTTTAAAAATTAATTAATTTCCTTTGAAGATGAAATAAACAACTTTCGAAAAAGTTTATCATCAGTAAATTTACTCTCGGGAGTTATTTCATATAAAAATTCAATATGGAGACAAGAAAGTAAAGAAATGGAACTCTATGTTATGGATTATGATTGTTTCAATAATACAAACATATTGCAACAGGTAATATCTTAAATTTATGACATATAAAATGTTTAAATTAATATTTGTATTTAAGAATGAAGACCTACTGCAATTCCCACATCGTTGGTTTATTCTCATCAACAATATATCCACATTCCCTCTTCTAGACATTAAACTCAATACTAGACTCTACCTTCTTCAAAAACAACCCCCACACATTTTAATATCTTCTTATTTAATTTCTAATCAATCCACTTATGAATCAAATTCAATAGGAACTTGGTCCAAAGATCACTACACTCATTCTTTGAAAGATATCTCCGACTATAAGAATAGAACCAATATGAAAGGTCTTACTATAAATACAACAATGGTTTTGATCTATCCTCGAACCTTAGACCATCTTGAAGATGGCCGTTATTTGCTTGAAGACTCCTTGACAAAACATAACTATCCTTTGCTTCATTACCTCATGGATATTATGAACACCACACTGAATATAAAATGGGCCTCTGGCTGGGGCACCAAACAAGCCAACAGTAGTAAATATAACAATGTGTGGGGTGACCTGCAAACCGGCACCTCGGAACTAGGTGGTACCACTGGTTTTATCACAGAAGATCGTTTGAATTTTGTTGATTACGTTGCATGTCCAACACCTACGTTAGTTGTTTTCATCTTGAAGGAACCTCCGCTGTCAGTAGTGGATAATATTTTAACAAAACCATTCGAAAAGCACGTTTGGTTATGTTTGGGATTGCTGTCAATCGTAGTATTTTTCGTCACCTTGCTCATCATAAAATTCGAATGGAAGTTTATGGATAGAAATACATTTATTGTAAAAAGAATATTTTAAGAGGAAATGTCTTAGATGTGGTCCAATTTGAAGTAGGTGCATTATGTCAACAAAATATGTCTGAACCAAGAAGTTTATCAGGAAAAGTTATAACTATCTGCGTGTCATTATCGTTTTTCTTCATTTACACGTCTTATTCTGCGTGTATTGTTGGTTTACTACAAAGCACCAGTAATGCAGTGACGAGTATAGAAGATTTATTACATTCAAATATTAAATTAGGAGCTGAAAGCACGCCTTACATGAAGTTTTTCTTCCTGGTATTAGTTTTATTAGATTAAAGTAATCATAAATCCTATTTGACACTAAATTGTTTCAGTTACAACGTGGTTTAGTCAAAGAAAAACTTTACAATAAAAAGATAGCACCACCAAATCAGCCAGAAAATTTTATACCGGTTGCCGAAGGCGTGGAATTGATGAGAACTGAATTTTATGCTTTCCACGCAGAGCGTGATACGATTTATAAACAAATTTCAAAGACGTATACCGAACATGAAAAGTGTGGTTTGGTAGAGATTAAATTTCTGAGTGAAATTGAACCGTATATGTTTATTAAAAAAAGATCGCCTTATAAAGAAATTATTACAATTGGGTAAGTTCTCATATTAATGTAAAGGTATTTATTTATGTATTGACTTTTGTAGATTTTGCAAATTTAAAGAATTTGGGCTTTCAAAACGTTTGGAGAACAAAATCTACACACAAAAACCAAAATGTAATCGTGCGATCGGAAATTTTCGCAGTGTTAGCATTCACGATGCATATTTTGTTTTCATATGCTACGCCACTGGATTATGTTGCTCATTATTGTTCTTAAGTATGGAACATATCTTTGAAATGGTACTGCATCATTACCATTAATACTTTCGGGATAAAATTAAGACTTTTAATATTAAGAATCATTTTCTTCGGATTGTTTTTCTCTTTTTGCCTCAAATATATTTTTTCTACTTCCACCTTTAATGAGCCAGTTTTTCCACGATTTTGAGACACAAAAACTGGTTCTTTAAACACAGACGGCCAAGGTACTGACTAAAGTACTTTATTCACGGGCTTTAGTAATGAGGTGGAGCTTGCGCCTGCGCATTTGCCTTCGATGCAGCACAAAACTATATGAAATGAAATATATAACCCCACATTTCCCATAGTATACGTGCGAAATACAAAAGTTTAAAATACAAAAGTTCAAATACAAAAACCACAACGTGGAAATAAAGTGGAAGTAGAAAAAAATGCGCACGCATCACGTCGCTAAACGTTGTTAAACATTCGATTGATTAAACGCTAATATATTATTTTTTATATGACGCTCGGTAATTTTGTTTTACGATTGATAGACAGTTTAAGATATTGAATAGAAATATGATATTTAACTATTTTATAAGATAATTCAAAAACATCCTTGACAGTAAAATTACGGTATAAATCTGCCCCATTTATTTTGATACCAAATACTCGTTGAATAAAGAAACATAAAGAATCCTGATTGACATACTCTAAATTATTACCCACTTGTCAATCAATATCATAAAACATAAACTATAAAAGACTGTGATTTGTACATTGGTCAATAAAACAGTTAAGATAGCTACACTGTGTCTTTAACCTTAATCATGTCAATTTACAAGTTATTATTAATAACAAGCATATTAATGTTAAACATAAAATGTATTAAATTACTAAGTAAAGAAATTTAATAAATAGTGTGATTGAGTTTGTCAAACATAATAATATACCAACAAAAGTTAATTTATTATTAAAATGTTGGCAAAGAAGTGAGTCCTAATCATTTTACTGAAACTTTTTAAAACAATTCTTTATGCTATAGACCAGATAAATAATTTTATAACCAATTTATCTGATGTGGATATTTCATCAGGAGTTATTACATTAAACGGTCAAAAATGGAGTCAAAAATTTCAACAAATGGAACTTTTTGTTATGGATTACGACTGTTACAATTATACAGATATATTACAACAGGTAACATATTAAATTTATTACTGACAAAATGTTAAAATAAATATTTGTATTTAAGAATGAAGACCTGCTGCAATTCCCACATCGTTGGTTTATTTTCATCAACAATATAACTGCATTCCCTCTTTTAGACATTAGACTCAATACAAGACTCTACCTTCTTCAAAAACAACCCCCACACATATTAATATCTTCTTATTTAATTCCTAATCAATCTACTTATGAATTAAATTCAATTGGAACATGGTCCAATGATCACTACACTCACCCATTGAATGATATCTCCGACTATAGAAATAGAACCAATATGAAAGGTCTTACTCTCAATACAACAATTGTTCTGGTCTATCCACGAACCTTAGACCATCTTGAAGATGGCCGTTATTTGCTGGAAGACTCCTTGACGAAACACAACTATCCTCTGTTACATTACCTCATGGATTTTATGAACTCCACACTGAATATAAAATGGTCGCCTGGCTGGGGTACCAAGGAACCCAACAGCAGTAACTATAATTTTATGTGTGGTGACTTGCAAACTGGTGTTTCTGATCTGGCTGGTACAGCAACCTTAGTGACTACAGATAGGTTACGCGTTGGTGATTACATTGCTTGCCCCACACCTACACTTGTAGTGTTTATCTTGAAAGCACCTCCACTTGCTGTGGTGTCTAATATTCTCACCAAACCATTCGATTGGTACGTTTGGACATGCCTAGGTGTGTTAGTCCTAATTGTCTTTGTTATAACTTGGGTTGTCATCAAACTGGAATGGAAGTTTATCAAAAGCAATGAAAATTATAATGAAAAAACTGTTTTACGAGAAAATGTCCTCGATGTGGTCGAATATGAAGTCGCGGCATTCTGCCAACAAGATATGAATATACCAAGAAGTTTATCTGGGAAAATTATAACAATTTGTGTGTCTTTATCGTTTTTCTTCATCTACACAGCATATTCTGCGTGTATTGTTGGTTTACTACAAAGTACCAGCAATACAGTTACGAGTATTGAAGATTTATTGTATTCAAATATTAAATTAGGAGCTCATAAAGCACCTTATATGAAATTTTTCTTTCAGGTTAATATTTCTCATATAAAATTAATAAAATCATAACTAATATAAAATAATTTAAGCAACAACATGGAAAAATCAAGGAAACACTCTTCAATCAGAAGATAGCGCCACCAAACCAACCCGAGAATTATTTACCAGTTGAAGTTGGTGTGGAGTTAATGAGAACGGAGTTCTTTGCATTTCACGGTGAACGTGATACAATTTACAAACAAATTTCAAAGACGTATACTGAACACGAAAAATGTGGATTGGTTGAGATAAAATTCTTCAGTGAAGTGGAACCTCACATGTTTATCAGGAAGAAATTATATTACAAAGAAATTGTTGCAATTGCGTAAGTTTATTTAAAACTTTTATATATTTAACATATTTCTAGATACATATTGCATATTCCAGATATCGTAAGTTTAAAAAAATGGAATAGAAAAACGTTTAGAGAGGAAAATCTACATAAGGAAACCAAAGTGCAATCGTGCAATCGGAAGTTTCCAGAGTGCTGGATTACATGATTCATATTTCATGTTCTTGTGTTTTGCAATTGGACTTTGCGTCTCCATTTTGTTGTTAATCATAGAAAATATTATACACGTAGTGGCTAAAAATCGACGTTAATTGTGTACTTTTAATTTTTGTTGTGGTATAATTAAATAATAGTATATTAAGTATCATGTGATTAATCAATCCAGTGATTAACAATGTTTAGTCATGAGATATTTAAACTTTTGCATTTTAAATCTTTAAAATTTTCTTGCACACTACTAGGAAATTTAAGGTTATAAATGCCGTGCCGCGTTCCAGGTCTTGTCGCGCAGCGCCGACACGAGCTCCACCCCGTGACTAAAATACTTTAGTCACGACCTAGGTCGTTCCTAAGTATCATTTTTTGTGATCCAAAACCCTGGAAAAGTGGCGCTTTATAGGTGTAAGTAGAATAAAAATATTTAGGGCTGTTTATTAATCTTGGACAATTTGATCATACGTTCCATGACGTAAATCAAAATGGCTGTGCTTACACCTATGGCGTATATCATCACTGCAAAATAAGCGTCGTTGATTCCAACGCTTCTGAAACTACCACCTGATCCTCTACATTTCGGTTTTTCTGCGTACGTCAATTTGTACATCCGCATTGATAATCCGTACTCTTTAAATTTGCTGTACGCCATTGTTATAATCTCTTTGTAGGGTAGTTTCTTCCTAATTGCAAGATACGGTTCCGATTCGCTTAGGTATTTAATCTCGACAATTCCGCACTTCTCATGCTCTAGGAATGTTTTGGATATTTGTTTATAAATCGTGTCGATCTCGGCATGAAAAGCGAAAAACTCTGTACGCATTCTCTCCACGCCGATTTCAGTCGAAAATAAATTCTCTGGTTTATTTGGAGGAGTAACTTTTGTTTATAAATAGCTTCCTTTACTTCACCACGTTGTCTCTAAAATATTAATAAAAGTAAATAAAATGTTTAAAATATTATTAAAACGTTGAATTCTTACAGAGAAGAAAAACTTTGCATACGGTAAATTATGAACACCCAATTTAATATTGGTGTTCAATAGATCGTCCAACGTTGTTATACTGGTACTACTAGATTGTAAAAGAGCAACAATACAAGAAGAATACGACGTGTAAAAGAATAACGATGATAAAAGTGCGCTGAATGTAATTATTTTTCCTGATAAACTAAACGGTTCCTTTTCAATCCCCTGTTGACATACAACACCAATCTGAAACTGTATAATCTCCAATGGTTGAGGCCGTAAGTGTTCTGCTGATTTCTGATTAAATTTAAAACAATGCCATTCCCATTTTACTGTGACCAGCATCAATCCAACAATGAGAACTGTTAATACAGCGAAAGATACCCACACATTAAAATCAAAAGGCATAGTTAGGATGTTATTGACAGCTGACAGCGGAGGTGCCTTCAAGATAAACTTCCCCAGTGTCGGTATTGGATTGGCAACATAATCAGCAAACACGAATCGATCATTGGTCATAAATCCAATTGTCCCAGCAATATCAGATATGCTTTTTTCAAGATCGCCCATCATGTAGGTGTACGTGCTATTGGGTGGTTTTGTTCCCCAGCTGGGAGCCCAGGAGATATTCAATCTGGTATTGAGGATGTCCATTAAATGATGCAATAGAAGATAGTTGTGTTTTGTGATTGCATCTTCGTCCAAATATCTCCAATCAAGCAGATGATCAGTTGTTCGTGGGTATACTACGACACCAGTGGAGTTGATGGTGAGTCCATGTTGATTCGACCTGTGCTCGTAATCCAAGATGTCTGCCATTGGTAACATGTAACTGTCTTTCATCCATTCAGAGATTTTGTTGTATTGGTAATAAGTTGTGTTTAAAACTATATACGGGGAAGTTAAAATGTGAGGTGGTTGTTTTTGAAGCAGGTACACCCTGGAATTGATCCATATGGGTAAATTTTTGGTGAAAGTTAAAATGTTGTTGATGAAAATAAACCAACGGCGTGGAAATTGCAGTAACTCGTGATTCCACTCGATTTGTGTGAAATTATAACAGTCAAAGTCCATTATAAACATTTCTACTTCTCTGAATTCATCCAAGGTAGAATAGTTATGTGTTATTGTTTTTGAAAATATGTTATATCTTGATAGATCTTGCGTAAAAGATTTTACTTCATCTAAAAGTACAAATTTTACTTTTTTGGCGAAAATAAAATTAATAACTTACAATTCGTCCAACAACTCAATAATAAATTAGTTTTTGTTGGTTTATTTCTGTGCTTAATAAATTCTATTACACTTTGTGATAAACTATTAGGTGTGTTACCATTTATAATAATAACATTTATTAAAAAGCTCAAAATTAAAAAAGGCACGGGTTGAAGAATCATTTTAGCTGAGGTTCTAACGTAAGATGATAAACAATAATATTGCTTCTTTCTTTTATACAATTTTACGTTTATTGTTTATTTATGTATTCAGTTTTTCGGTAAATAAGGATTATATCTGTTTAATTATTCAAGATTCGGCACATTAAAACCCAATACTTTGATTTTGAATGTTGTGTTATGCGCTTGAACCTATGATTAACAAATTAAACAGTTTTCTTGGAGTTTCGGATCCTGAAACCTTATTTATTTATTGAATTATTTAAAGAATTGCTAGTTTGTAGTAGGCATCCAAATATTCAAATAAATATTTAGTTGAATTTAGGAAGTTATTGTTTGAATGTTGATATTCGGTTTGATAAACTTTTTCTATTTAAAAGAAATTGAAGTAATACATTACAGTAGATTCTATAATTCAATTGGTGTAATTTTATATTGTTAATTAATTAATAATTGTTTAAACTGTTATGGTAGACAACTCAATATACAAATGCGTCTAACCTTCGAATTGCTGGAAAGCCAAAACTTTACGTGTATTGTCAGAATTTATTTTGCTGATCCCAACTTGGACGGTAATCGGTCTCTGCAGGTGCAGTAATTGTTGAAAATAATAATAGGATAATTGTGCACACACGAACACAGAGGATATTACATAATAATGTTCAATAACAACAATGAAACAAACGTCGACGACGATTTGTTCGTCGCTAACGCATCAAGGTAACGACAATTGTTTTCTTCTGAAAGGCATTATTTCGGTTGCAAGCCCTAACAAAACGTTGTTCCACTCGTTACGTATCTAGTTCATCACATTTGGCGCATTTATTCGGCACATCAGCCGATTTAAAGAGCACACTCACCTACACGCCTCCAAAGCAGCCCCCAAAAACCACAGAACTTCAAAATCTACCAGAAAAACAAAAGAAATTGGTTTGTGTGAAAACTATCACACTAAACCGACAGTAAGTTTATTAAAATTGGTAAGTTTGGACTGAATTTATACTATTTTAAATATTTATCAGGGTGGAATCAACATATACAATAGTTGGAAAGTATGGAATTGCAATAATTGCTGATCAGATAAGTGCAGATTTAATTCTGTATAAAACCAAACAGAATATCTGCAGCACAACCAAATTATCAACTAATTTTTGTTATAAATTGATAAATGAATTGAGTTTTACATTCACTGATGATCAAACTCTGAACTGGATGGTTACATTTGATTCAAACAAAGATAAAATGGATTTCATGACTGAATTGAGTAAACAAGGTGTTGGCAAACAAGAAATTGATGAGCCCACACAATTCAGCACAAGATTAATTGCAGAGAAACCTGAAGAAGAGAAAACCAGGGCTGATATCTTAGGTAGAATGTCTAAACTTGGCATGAGTATTCTTCCAGGCAGTGAAACTCCTTTATCTTCTCCACTTCCTTCATTATCATCAATGTCTTCCAAATTATCGCTGCGGGAGAAGGAGCTCAGCGAATCCGAACCGGAGGAAGTAATCCGGACATCAAAGGTAAGAAAATTCCGTGGTAGGCATTCTGAATCTGCCATTGAGACAATGGATCTAGTCGCTAAGCCCTCGGGTACTCCAACTGGTCAATTTGCGCCATTTGCCGCTAATGTTCAGCATGTTACTTTGGGGCACCAGTTGATGGACCCGTTGAATATTTACTTCGCCGAAAATAGAACGCATAACTCCGAGGTTCGGATGAATTTGACGCAGCTAAGCAATAAAATTGACTCGCTATTGCTAAAAAACCGAAGTGAAGATGAACGAGATTTCTTAGAGCGACGTTTAATTGAACTAGAACGTAAGTTTGAGCGTTCTGCAGTTCCACAAGAAAACACAAATGAGTTAAATAAGAAACTAGAAGCACAAATTAAGGAAAACGCGCAAAATATTCTCAAATATGATGAAATTATCACAAATCTACGGAATGAGAATGAACTGTTGCTTCAGAAGCTTGAAACTGAGCGTGTAAATGCAGAAACACTGGGAACTTTAGAAGAAGAAAAGTTGTGTTTGGAATCAAAAGTTATTGAGCTGGAAAAACTCGTTGAGAACCAAAAATTAAAGTTAAACGACTTTGCTGAATATAATAAGCAGTATCAAGAAGAGAAACTTGATCGGTTGGCGCGTGAAGCAGCTGAGTTAGAATTGAAGAGGAATGCGGAGTTTTTACAGGTTTCTCTGGACCAATCCAACAAAAAGATTGACGAATTAGAGATGTTGTATCAACAAGTTTTGGAGAGTAGGACCAAAGAAGAGGACATTTTTGCGGATTTAGTTAAAGAGGCCATGAATGTTATGTATCAAAACGTTCTGACTGATAGCATTGATTCAACTACGAATTTGGATGTGAGAGATTTAAAGAAAATCCTACAGAAACATCTCAAGTCGACGACTTTTTCTATTATTAATCAGTATTCAAAGCGCAAAGATGTTGATTCCAGTGGTGGTACACAAGCACAACTTGCTTCTGTGTCACCAGAGTTTGAAGTAACGGTCTAATTAATTATAAGTGATATATTTTATATGTAAATAAATAAAGCTACAGTTTTGGAAGACTTTGATTTTATATAGGCAACTTAAAATACATCGTAAGACAATCCATGAACATTCGCGCTTTCTGTGTGGCAACCATCGATACACTTAACGTGGTTATTAGCGAAGTATATCTTCGTGTTTTTACAATAAATTTATTACTAATCAGCAATTTGTTGATATATTATTCACGAAGTGCAAGATGAAGTATGTACACGTGTTACTATGTGTGATATTTGCCCAAATTATTTATGTAAGTGGCCATAATAAATACTCAAAAGAAGCAAACAATGCTAAACTACCGGATGATATTGCGAAAATCAACTTTAAAACCCTTGAAAAACCTTTTCGCATGCACAAAATTAATATTTTATGGGCCAAGGCGCAACATGTAAGTCAAAATTTACCTCTAACACAAGCAGATTTATTTTAAATCAATTCTTAATGTTTAAACAGAGATTATCAGATCCCAAACTGAAATCTCTCTACAGTGAGTTGAAGATTCATGACAAAGAAGAAGCCGCATGGAAACGATTGCGTTCCGAAGGCAAAGATAAAGATGGTCTCAAGGAGGCTGAATTAAGGAAAAAACTGCTGGGAATCATGGACGTTTACAATTTGTTGGAGAACTTTGAAGATGGTCACAAGAGAAAGAAAGATCCAAGTGAATACAATGAAACAAATGAGGACCATATCAACAAGAGTATGTTTAAAGATAAGAAATTGAATAAACTGTGGGCTAAAGCTGAAGTAGCAGGCTTCACATCACCTGAACTGGCTGCTCTGAAAGAGGAGTTTGATCACCATGAAGCTAAAATCAATGAATACTACTCAATCCTCTCAGAAACAAAAGATGGTGGCAGGAAACATGATAAAGAAGCAGATGATGAGAATAGTATTGATGATACCTTGGAAAGGTTTAATACTCTAGAGGCAGCTGATGAGATGCATGAAAACGCGCAGGCAAAGAAAGAGAAACGCGTTGATTATTTGGAGAAGGTGCAATTATTAAGAGAACATCATAGAGGTTTAAAGGACGGTTATGATCGTTTGCACCGACTGACGGCGACTGGACCTAATAGTAAAGAATTTATCGAGCCAAAGGTTCAGGGTTTGTGGAAAGTCGCCCTGGAGTCGGACTTCACACATGAGGAATTAGAATCTTTAAGGATTGAACTCATGCATTATGAGAATAGGCTACTCAAATTGCGCCATTTGCATCATGAAGCCCTGTTACATGAGGAGACTCATAAAGAGAAGGTTGCTTCAGCTGGCGAGAAAACGAATGGTCTATTGTTACTGCAGGATAATATTAAAAAACAAGCTAGAAAGGTAGAAAAGCTGCATATGGAGCTTGAAACTAAGATCTTGATGAAACACATTGAGTTGTAAATATGATGTCAAAATGTGTAAACGTGTAACGTACCAATATTTAGAACAAATATGTGCCGGAAATCTCAAGTATTTTTTCAAATTTTTAATTATTTAAGTTTAAAAAACGCCAAACATACAACTAGGAACAATTTCAAACGTTTTTAATAAAATCAGTCAACTTTAAATTTTCTACACTTGTTAAACTTGATACTTTTTTACAAATGTACATTGAATATCAAAATATTGCATAAATTCGTACCAGGTATTTCACAAATACCCAATTATTCATATACTCATCATAAAATAATAGCTTATGATGAAGAAATAGCCCGATTTGATTGTTTTGGTAGACAGAATATGATAGTCGTAGTCATTGCATCTAATATCGCTAGGAATTGTGGACGTCAACGTGAACGTCGCGATGGCACGACATCGATGCACCTGGAAGTGGAGGCGCACTAGTTGCATGAATAGCTGCAGGTGTTGACACACCGGAAACGTCAGCATACTCTCCTGTATTTTGAATTAATATTTTTGAATGTTTGTTGTCGTATAAAACATGTATGAAGCAATTTAAGGGAATATTCCATTCTTTTTTAAATTGAATAGTTTAAGTAACGAAATTTTTCCTTAAAAACGAATACCAATGCTCACATATAAGGGAATTCAGGCTTGGATTAATGGGGATTCTTGGTTTAATGCAGGAAAGTTCGGCCTGGATATAAAATGGACGTAATTTATGTTAAAACAATGTCACAACATCTTAATACCTGGTTTAGAACATGTGCTCATGCAATAGGTGTCTCTTATCACTTGGCAGTTCTCCAGGTTCAACTTCATGAACATCTGCCCAAAGACAAAATAACCCAAACCACCTCCAACCAGCACAGACAGAAATATCCATAAGTTGAATGCCATTATTGTGAGCATTATCAAGTATCCAAGATTGTGCAGAACCAGCCACAGGGAAGTATCACAAGCATATATTGATATTCTAAAAAAATATTGAGTTTGATTTCCATCAATTGAGTTTATTAATGTTTTACCTGTTTCTCATTGACAAATCCAAAGGTTTGTGCATTGTGGCATTATCAGGCAGTAAAGAAGCATCTTCCTTGGGTGGGCAAATAGTTTTTATCTGTTTGGCACGAATAATCAATTCTTTCTGCTTCTCTTTGGCCTGGATGAGTTTGATCCACTCAAATAGGAATGCGAGCAAGGCACAACCAAGACACAAAGCCAATACACCACCCACTGAATTCACACTTAAGCCATAAATCAAGAAATTCTCGATTTTCTTGCCCCACCAGAAGGACATATGCATTTTGATTGATTTAGATGTGTACTTGCAATTTTATTTTGATTATTACTGTTTTTGTCAATTGCCTTGACAAATTTGTTGTTCTGAGTCGAATTTTCGTGGCAAGTCGTTGTGTCATTGCATGTTAATGCAAGTAAGTCAAGCAATGTTTAAAATCCAGTCAATTCCAGCGCATTTGTGGCGATTCTTGTAATTTTAAAGGAATGTTCTTTGTAGAAATCGTCGATTTAAGGTTATAGCACTCAAAACAGTAGGAAATATTCAACTTTCGACGTAATTAAACTGCTCGAGACTATTGGCAGCATTCAATAAGGAATGACATAGATAAACACAGTCACAACAGCGTTCGTAAAAACATGACATTCTTATCAATTACCTTCGTGTTCTTATCTGTTAATATGACTAATATGTTTCATGTCCATGTTGCAGTGAAGTGAGTTAAGTTAATTCCATTTGAACATTATTCCAATACTCAAATGCATTCAAAGTAAACAGCTACTATCATTGTATGTTTAAGTATATGTAGTTCTACACTATTGGAATTATATTCTATTCCAAGCCAAACACCAACTTCTGGAAAACAGTAATACAATGTTTTCTCATGAAAATGTTAACACAATTTGATCATAGAATGATTAGATTCTGCAGAAACACTGTTATATATTATTCTTAACACTATACAATTAATTACTCGGATTACAGTTATGATTAATATGATTTTTAGATAATGTGCACACTTGTGCTATGAATTTTTGATGCTTTTGTTGATGCTCTACTTTTTCTCTCATTCGTTTTGTTGTATTTTCAATTTCTGCTAAAAGAGCATTTATGTTTGGTCTTTCATCAATAAATTTCTGGTACTTATCAGACAGTTTAATGGTGTTCAAATTATATGATTCTCCACATTTCATATTCTTATATTTTGCTAATTCAGCCTCAGTTTTTTGAATGCCGGATTCAACCTTTTTAGCGTAGTCGGTACTTGCATACACTGTAAATTTTGTTTAATTAAAGCAAAAATAGATTAATTTATCAGTTTACTTACTCTTTGCGTTGATATATCGTATTTTTCAAGTTGTTTGAACAAATTGCTCAACGTGACTGTTTGAAAATTTAAGGTTATATAACGGACATTCGTTTTTTATTACATTTGATTTTATTTCATACAAAAAATGGTTACTCTAAGAAAAACCGGTCTAATATTTGTGGAAACAACAATTTTTTAAATGTTTAATCAAATTTAGAGTGTTGGTATGATCTAGACAAACATTCTTACTTTTATTTATATATAAGGTATCTAAAGCAATTAATAACATTATTAATTATACTTATTATATATTTTAAGTATTTGAAAGTGTTGTATTGTATACATGTAGGTACTTATCATATCATTCAGCGCTTGACTCGGACTCGAAATTTCAATTTAAATTACGTTTCTCATACATAAATGCTTGCAAATGCAAAAAGCTATAAAATAAAAATAAGTTAAGTGCCGTTTTATCTCTGACTTGAGTTGGAGTTGGACAATTGGATCTCGTAGTTGGTCAGCCATTCAACAATCGTGTGGAAATACTTGTTCATCCAATCGATGTTCGCCTGCGTTTGCTCGATGACTTGCTTGGCATTACGTTGACTAAAAGTAACATCATTCTCGTAGCGTTTGCTAAACATCTGCACTTCTTCAAGCTCTTTTTCTGTATTTAAGTTCGAGGTTACCGATGACAGGATACTGTTCATCGCCAGTACTGATTTCCCCATATAAGTATTAATTTCCGACCATTTGCTGATAACGAATCGCATTCCGGCTGTTTGTCCCACAATTCTACTCCCGATCGCTCGGAACACCAAGATGGCGTCTTGTTTCTTTATTTCTGAATCTGGAGTTATCGCCATTGTCATGTACTTGTTCAGTAACCACATTTCTTTTGTACAACCAAGCGCCTGCATGAGAAGTTCTCTTTCCGTGCCTACATTTGCGTTGATGAATCTCTGCCATGCAAAATTCCACATCTGTTCACCACCAGTTTCTAGCGCCGTACAATAGACAATACTTTTGAGATTCGGTGATATCGAATTCAGATTATCAGGATTCGGTGACAACATCCAATTCCTGAACTCTGTATGTGCCCACTCTATGCACTCTGATAAACCTAACTGACAGGCCTTTTTCAGGATCACTTCTCTGAGATAAGTTTTCAAAATCGGATCAGATTTTACATCAACAAAGCCAAGTTTCTTGTACAATGGTTGTATTAGATTGGTAAAGTACACTTTGAACTTATCAAAGTGCCCACTCCTCTGGAACATCTCGAAGAGGAAATTCATTTTGGTAAGGGTCGCCGTCCATGGAATATATTCCTCCTCTGATTGCAGATAAGTTGAAATATTCAACGCAACAGAATAGTCGACATATCCAGCACTGGATAAACTCAAGACATCATTCATAATCTGCGCTCGATTTTTGGGATCCAGTTTGGTATGATCTTCCTTCAGCTGGGTCTCGAGGAGTGACCATCCGAGATCATCATAGTTTACGCGGTAATATCCGGTTTGATTGAGGTTTACTAGGAACCACTCTGATGGAGTGATATTTATGTCTTCCAATGTAAGGGTTTTGCTATCCTTTGACAACCAGCTACGACCTTTAAGACCGGACTTGGTCTGGTAGGTCAAAGGTACCCACCAGGAATAATTCGTAGATATATTATTACGATTGAGTTCAAATTTATCTTGGGTTAGTGATATTTGTTTATCAGTTCGGTTGACGGTAATCACAGGGAAACCCATTTGGAGTGTCCAGGTATCCATTACGTCCTTAACTGTTATCTCCGGACCGAATATATTATCTTTGTGTGCTTGGGTTGTTAATGATAACCAGAGGTCATTCTGTTCTGCATTGCTGTACTTTCTACAAATAAAAAACAAAAATTAATAATTGATGGTATAATTTACTTATAGCTTACTTCTCATTGAGGTAATTAGTAAGACCTTGTCGAAAACTCGATGTTGTAAGAAAATCTTCCATCATTCTGATAATGGTCGCACCTTTAGCGTATGATATCCTATCAAAGATATCACTAATCTCATTGGGATTATGCACTTCTATGGAAATAGGATGTGATGATTTCAGCGCATCCAGATTGAAGACCATTTGAAGGTCATCTACTATAAACTGATCCATCATCTTCCATTCTGGGAATATCTATGGGATAATTTAGTAAATAATAATTCATCATAATAACAGTAATAACACTTACAGCATCAGTAGCGGTGTATTCTAAATATGAAGCAAATCCTTCATTCAACCACAAATCAGTCCACCATGAAGGTGTTACAAGGTTACCAAACCACTGATGTCCCAATTCATGCGCGATTACAATCGCAATCCTTTGAAGGTTCTTCTTAGTCGAAACACCTTCCTCGTATAATAAATTCGATTCTCTGAACGTGATCAAGCCCCAGTTTTCCATGGCACCCGCTGAAAAATCCGGGATGGCTGCCAGGTCCATTTTGGGAAGTGGGAAAGGCACATCAAAGAATTCTTCCAGATGTTTAAGTAATTTTGGGCCTAAATCAGCCGCGGTTTTTGTCTGACTATACGCAGAATCTCGGGCATACAAAGAGAAGTTTCCAATGGTTCTGGGTTTAAAATCGCTAACGATGTAGGCCACTAAGTAAGTAGACATTGGAACACTACGTTGGAACTCATCCCAGGTATAATCTTGCAGTTCAGATGTGGTAGAGCTCATCAAAGGCATGTTTGAGATGGATGTGAGGTTGTTGGGTCTTCCAATTGTGATTCTAAAGGTTGCCTTCATCGCTGGTTCATCGAAACAAGGAAATGCACGTCGGGCTTCTGTTGGTTCAAATTGTGTTGCAGCAATCCACCTAAAACATTAAATATTATCAAAAATGTATTCGAAAACAATTGCAGAATTTAATGGTTTACCTTGTCTCGTTGCCATTTTTATAATTACTAGCATAATACCCGCTCAAATCATCTCGGAGTTTACCACCAAAGTTCATCGTAATATTATATAGACCTTCCTCAATCGGTTGATCAAAGTGAAGAACATAAAACTCCTGCTCTTTCTCTGTACTACAGCTTACCACTTGAACTGTTTGACCTTCAACAGCTTCGACAACCCGCACATCCTCACAAGTGATATTCAAACCCTCCGCGTGCATCGTAACATTATCCGTCGCCATTGTTACGTTAACAAAAATCACACTCGAACCGTAGAACGTTAAATTGCTCATGACTGTCAGGATCCGCATGTCGTAGTCGATGGGCAGTACAGATCTGGGCAGTCGAAGGTACTTCGCACCTGTAACATTGTTATCATCGATGCTCGTGTCTGCAGTGGTGGTCTCGACATCATGGGTTGTGTTAGTGTCGTCGATGTGGTCAATGGTGGTGGAATCGTTAGTTGATGGCGTGGTGATTCCATCATGGGGCGCATGGGTACCTTGTTGGTCCAGTTGCAATTTGCATCTTGTCTCATCTGCTTGCAGAGTAACATAATGCGCTATGAGGGCTGTCACCACAATGCAGACAATGAATGCGAAGAGGATCAGAAAGGCGAGATTCTTGGATATGGTCAGTTGGTGCTTCTTGGAGAAGGTGAGACTACGACGCTCCATGTTGAGCGACTCTGGTAACTGCGCCATTGGAGTTATCCCTGCGTAAAACAACCTAATAAATTGATTTGTTTGCTTACACACCGCACGTACATGGCAAGTCGTTGTTGGTGATAGATCCACGTGGTCCGTACATTTAAATCAAAGTTTAAACCGGATTAATTCAAGTTCTAACTTAAAATATCCTAGGTTTCAATACTTTGCGAAAGTTGTGTTTTTACTAAACATATACCAGAAATACCGATGTCGCAAATACCTTGGGTAATGACTCAAAATGCAAGCAAACAATTATGCACGTTTATGCACGAGCACAAATCAAAAACCTCGTTAAAACGAAATAGTTTAGATAACACTCAACGTACTTATCATATTGGACATGTTGATGTGTACCTATATTCTACTATTTAAAACGCAGAGTTTATTTTTTATTTTAATGAATGAATTGTTGACGGTAAAATATTATTTCGTAAAATTTTCGATTGAAATTCATCACTAGTCATCCCTCCAACATGGATTGTTGAATAGAATAACTTCATGAACAATATGCAAACGTGCAACGAATACGAATTCAATTCGCTTGTTTGCAGGATATTATCCTATCAAAATGTCACATACAGCTAACAGTACGAGTTCGTAGCTGTAAAACAAAACAAAACCAAACATAGCCACTGATGATTATATGATACCTCAACTGATTTAAACAGATTATATCAACTAACGTGAAGATAGTTTAAGGACATTATTGCTCCTTGAGCGCGCGTGCCTTAATTTAAACATGTCGGAGTGACAAGTGCGGCTGAAACAATAACACACGTCTTATTATGCGTTGAATGTGGTTAATTATGTTTGATAGGCGTCGAAATACGCGATTGCAAATGTGGATGAGTCAGAAGTCGGTCGGCCAAGACCTCTACTACAATTCTAATTAATTTATGTGCGTGACAAGCTTATATTTCTCATTCTCACAGTCAACCAGCGAATATTTCGTTGCTTTTTTTGTTTTAATTCGAAGATCGAGGACGGAATATTATCTCAAGCTTTTCGTTTCGTACACATGTTGTTGAGATGAGTTATTAAACACTGTTTATAATGATTTGCGTTGATTAAACTTCTTGAAATTAACTGGCGGATATTTATCAAGATAAATTGCTTCATTAGGCTTAATGATAATAGTCAATAATATTAAAAATGCAAATTAAATGGTTAAATATCAAAAAATTTATTGTTTTGAAACAAGAAATTGTAATTAAAAATTGTTTTCACCTATTTTTTTCGCATTTCTAGTTAAATTTTATTTATCACTTGATGAGTCATGCTGGTATTATTAACAAATGTGTTTTCTCTTTCTGTTTGACAGGAATAAAAAGTAAATTGTGTGTGTGTACTTTCTGTTTTGTTGAAAACGAGAAATATGCGTGCGATTATATCAACAAAAGAATTATGTAGTATTTGTATTCATAGCTGCATGTAGGTCAGTTTCAGACTTCGCACATTCATCCACACATTTTAGACTACAACTACCTGCACGTCGTTAAATAATAATTATTTAATTCATTCATATTCCCATTGAATTGATTCCCATTTGAGATGAAAATATGTTGTGTGTACGCGTAAACAGCGTACGAAAATCTACGTCCACTTGTGACCACTACTACTACCATCACTTGCTGCTATTATTAAACCAAAAGTTCATCGAATACTCGAAATGAAACCAAACGGAATAAAATAACGCGTTAGTTAATTTTATGGTTGGATTTATACACGCGCGCGGATTAAAAACACGCTGTTTTAACTTTTCCAGTTGTAAAAAGTACTAAAACACGTGAATTAGAAAATGAAGAAATTAATTCGTTGATTACAGCGAACATCAAGGACATGCAATGAAAATAAAAAATGTAAAAGGCTATTATCACGCAGCTTTATACGACGTGGGATGTGATAACGTGCGTTTTAATTAACCGTAATGCGTTGAATGTTGCTTCAGCTTGGCGAGTCTTTCGCTGAAACATAGGTTGGTCTAATCTGCTAATAACCGGCGTGATAAGAGAGGATAAGACGTCTCGTATAATATATTTTGCTTGAGCACGAAACAGGAAACGCACGCCGAACTTTTTTAATGAACAGATTGCTTCTGTTATTAGCCATTTAGCTGGCCATTAAATTTTTGGGTGGGTAACGCAATTTTCTACTTAAAAAAAAAACAACATTCATGTTAATTTTATTACAAAACAAATTTACGTATGTGTGTTACTTGACTATTTATTAAAATGACATTGAATTTAATATTACAGTTAATAACGAAACGGAAAATGCACTTACACAAAATATCCGTGGTTTCCAATGCGAATATATTTGCTTCTTCGAATTCAAATAAACTTAACTTTTCATTTCACTGGTTAATTTCAACGACGCTCGCACGATACTGAGGTATTATCAAAACCGTAACTGCGGCTTTATTTTTAAGTTTTAATTGTTGTGTGTTTTGCGCAAGTTAAGCCGTTGTTACACGTAATAATCGAAACATGTTCGCTGCGTTCGTTGGTAAAATTCGCACCGTCGATTTCAGGAGTTGCGTAGCGCGTGGCGTCGCAAAGCATACAGCGTGCAAAGCGACGCCCGGGAGCGCCGATGTCGATGATGTGTTGTGCCCGCGTCGCTGCCGTGGAACGCACTCTCGATACTCGCATCGTTCGCTTTCAACCGTCTGTGAAAACGTCGCTTCGGGCATCACGTACGTAATTAAATGCACGAGAGTATGAGAGGATCAACCGTACGATCGAATAGTCTAAGCCCCGACCAAACTACATCTCTAAAAAACATCACATTTGATATATCATCAAATGCATTAATCACGAGGTTTATATAAATATGTGAACTTAGATTAGAATTCAACTAGCTGCTGGTGAACGAAAATCAAAAACATTCTTTGCGTTGACATTTTCGTACCCAGGTAGATTCACCTAGTTGAAAATGGGGTGAGTTTCAGGGGTGGAAGATAAAGGGGTGTTTTTTAATCCAACAAGTTTGATCATTCATAGTAAAATCTTAGAATTCTTGTCACCTGGAGCGCTTTAAAAGTTTTGCCACACGATTCCCAAACAAAAATGATTAATGAACCCCCATGATGAGTGGATCGTAATCTAATAACAGAATTAAACAGATTTTGCATCTGAATGGTTAAATTCAAAGGGTAAATTATCTCCCACAACGTCCGTATCAAATTTCACGTGGTTGCGTTCATTCTAAAGTACTACCAGGATACGCCTCTATAGAAATTAAACCTCTAAACCACTGAATATCGATGGAAATGGAATTGGATAATGAGAATACTTAAGAAATGCTGATGAAAGTTTACTAATAAAATCAACACAACTAAAATCGACTACGATAAAATAAATGCCAGCACAATAGGTTTATTACGCATAGTTTCTCTTCTTCAAAGCAATTTAAGCATTTTTATTCTTCTCCTTCTTCCTCTTCTTCTAAGACAACCTTGAAGCTGAAGGGTTGGAAGGGATAACCAAGACCAGAGTAGAATTTGCTCATGAACTCGACCCTGAAAATGGTACAAAATTAAATTATACAAAAACAAGGGTTAGCAATGAATTGTGTTACCAGTGAAGACGCAGAGTATGCAAAAAGGCACTGAGACCTTCCATCATCACCAAGACGCCAAGAGTCAACACAGCCCAGGCGGCAAACACCAAATATAACATAATGGAACCGACGTAGCTGTCTGACCCAAGACCCATACTGAGCACCATGGTCCATAATACTTCAGATAATTCTGTAAAAATTACAGTTGAAGAATATCTGTGATTTTAAATAATGAAATACTTACGTGCGTGAGCAAGAGACAAAGCCCACAGACGAAGGTATGATGCAGTGTGGGAGACGGTACTTAGGACGTACTCAATGCAATGGATAGCTTGATGAATGAAAATTTCGCTCATCGGCTCATCCTCGTGATCATGATGCTCCCCGGAAGGTTTTGCCTCCTCCACCACCTCCGGCTGCAGTTCCATGCCCTGGTTGATATCGCCATTGGTGTTGGACTTGTGCGCGTTGGATTTCTTTGTGCACATAATGTAAAACGGTTTTCCGAGCAGTAGCACCGGCACGCAAAGCAATGCAATGAATACCAGTGCCATCTGCACCTCATTCTGACCCTCAAACATGAATATCTCACATGTAGTATCTTTGTCCTTGGGTGGGTCTGACTCCTTGAACAACATCATGTTAATAAAGAGGATGAGCACCGAAGGTGCGCAGAATGGTGATGACAGAGCTGAATTACGGGCGCCATATTTAAACCACTTGATGAACATCATTACGACCATCCAGAAGAACAAACAGAGCAGGAAGAGTATTTGCGGAATAAAATCCAGTAAAATGTTCTCCTTCTTTTTAAAATGGCTGCAAATAGAAACATCAACAAGTTAGAAATCTTCGATGAGACTTTCAGCTGTTGACTTACACAAAGTTGGCGACACTCATGCAAACACCAAAGACCATGTGTATGACACCGACGACGATGGACATCTTCATTTTGTAGGTGTTCAGGAAGATGATTTTGTTTTTGGCGACCTGCCAGACAGGATCAAGGCCGAGCGGATATTGCACATCGGAGTAGTCGTCCTTGGGATCAAACGTTAAAGTTTCGCTGGCGTTGACAAATGTAAAATTGTATTTTTTTGTGTTGATCATATCCACCCAGCTACTGCCAAATATGTTCACACTCTTGGAGAAAACGTCGTTGTACAATATGCCCGTGTAGATGGAGAACAAACCCATCAAGAGGATAATGTATCGACCGCCAAAGAAAATGGTCCAAATCTCGCTGCTGATCTTTTTCTGGGCGAGACTCTTCTCCCACAAGCACATGTATAACCCAAACAAGAAGAGAATCACACCGTGACCGGCATCACCAAACATAATAGCAAAGAGGAACGGGAATGTGATGATGGTGTAGAGCGCTGGATTGACCTCCCGATAGGAAGCAATACCGTAAGCGTCAATCAAATTCTGGAAGCCACGAGTGAATTTGTTCGTTCGGTTGAAAGTCGGCGGGTTCTCGGAGGTGTCGATCACGTTCATGAATGATGGAATTGATGAACCACTCACAGACGAACCATCAGTTAGTGCCTTTTGTACAATGGCAATATCCTTCACCGGAACCCAGCATTCTCCAATAAGACACTTCTTGGTTACATCCATATTGAAGAAATTCAACGTGTGATAAATTGCCTTCATCTTGCGCACCATCACGCTCCAGTTCTGCAACTCCTTGGCAACCGTCCCCAACACTCTAGTACGATGATCCTGGGTCTGATTGAGTACAATGTTCAAATCCTCAAGGCGGGTCTTCACTCCGGTGAACATCTCCTTGCGTTCGACGGTGGTACTCGGGCAAGGGTACAACGTAGCGTGAAAACCAGCGCATACCTTCTTGATACGACTCTTCAGTTGCTCACCTTGGAAGAAGACGACGAATACGGTCTTGTAGATCTCATGACCAGTAGTGGGGTCCTTCAGAGGTTCATCAATCTCAGCCTGGCGTAGAAAAACGTTACCCCTGGATATACGCCACAACATACGCTCGAATGCCGGCACTCTGTTGCGTTGAACCACCCCGGCGACAAAACCCAAACGTCCACGGATGGAAACATTATGGCCGTCTTCAGGGATCAGCGCTTTGTGGACAGAGTCCAAGCCGTTGGTTTCTTCTTGTTCCAGGAAAAACGGTTCGGTTTTCTCGAGAACTTTCTTCAGTTCGGTCAGCTCCAAAAAGTTAGACATTAGACTGACGGCTGAATCGGATAGTTCCTTGATTTCTCCTTCGGTCTTCTCAAGGTGCGCTTCCAAATCGATTATTTCACGGGGATTGGGCGCTTTTGGCAACTCCTGTACGTCGGGAATGTGGACGTCGTCTTTGCGGACCTCTACTTCAATATAGCGCAACTTGCGCTCCATTTCGTCACAACGGCGGACTTCATTGACGAATTTACGTTGAAATGCATTCACGTCTTCGTTTAACTTTTGAAAGAAAGAAAAACACATTAATAACCAAAAACCAAGTCATTTTTATTTAAATAAAATAAAATATTTTGGAAACACTTACATCTCGAAATTGAACAATGCCGATTTCGCCCATCTCTGACATCGACATATAGGCAGCTTCCGGTTGTATGAACAACTGGGCGAGCGCCATTTCTTCACTCCGGAACATGGACCCCATTTTGAGGGTGTTTTCTTTAAAACTACGTCAACGTATTAAAAATCTGCAAAGTAAATACGTTCTAAACTCTTACAAACGAAAAAAATCAGTAGAATATGTTTAAAGTCGTAAATAATAACTGAATAGTACTAAAAACGCCCGTCACGTGATAACACTCGCGCTTAATTCAACAGGCTGGGCACACATTTTAATAACCAACGAGTAGTATAAATACAAATATACGAATACACACCTTCAATGAAGCAATTACAATAATAACGATTATATTAATGAAATCTATTGAATAACGGCGTGCTGCATGACCCGGGCGACACTCGGACGACTACTGATTCACCTATAACTTGTTACTTTACAAAACTGCGTGAGGCTCGTTAGCGGTGTTTATCAACTCGTGATCGCAGGTTGAGTACGAGTACACAAGGCGACGTCTCGAATCACATGCTCGATGTTCACCACTCAAGTACGACTTATTTACTTATCTACTTATGACTTGTTATAACCCTACAAATACAAGTCTATAGTCATTTTAAGTGTGACGAGTATAAATATCAATTAATCCAGGAATTTTTTGTAAAGGTGCTTTTAAAATACGATCAAATACATACATCTCATTGTTGCGTACACAAAACGTCAAATTTAAAAATTACGATTTAAAATGTAATTTTTTTACCAAAGAAATTAATTATTTCGACAAAAATATGGTAATATCAAATCATTCCCTTATCAGTATTTATAAGATTAGATTGGAAGTGCATAACTTAAAATTCAAATCTCAGAAATGCCAAGCAAACACCATAAAACACGCAAATCACGAATGAACTACTGCTTAAACTATTATATCAGCAATATAGCAATAAATCTAATCGCAATAATTCCCGTATATGATTGCATTTTCATTTACGTATATAGTACCAATTGTATTGTGTGGCAATGTGGATTAATTTACATGCAAATGTCGTTTATTCATCGCAATGTAAATGATCGCTTTATCAGTGTCTAGGCGTATTTGTTCGAATAGCGGGGTAATAAATGTGCATTTGACGCTCAAGCGATGTTCTTAACATGATACACAACAATAACGATTGCGTTAATGCCCGATCGCGTCAATTGTCACACGCAAAGCAATTACAAGTGCCCATTTCGTTAATTTGTTATCTGCTATTGACTATCGTCAATACCGAGAAAGGACAAGGTTCTTACGCTTGTATTTCACGTTGCTTTCAGGCCTTATTTCATTCCGACGTGTTAGTCTTCAATATAAAACAAATCGATTATGTTATTTACTATTTTTTGTATGTGAATCGGTGTGAGGGTCAACGTATTTTCTTTTCGATATAAAACATTGGTATTTCTTAAATTGCGTTTATTGGAAGCGTTTAAACAAAACAAAAAAGCGTTAATAACGCATTTTGTGTAATGTGTTCAACTATTACACAAAATGCCATGAAATAGCGCTTTTTATTTTCAAGTATTTCAAACATTTCCGACATTTTCATTTGTTGGAATACAGTGTTTCAAGGTGAAAGCTAATGCAAAGAGTATGCGAATGATGCAAACGTCGAAAACACGTTAACTAATATCACATGTTCAATCATCCATTGTTCCAGTTACAATCATTACCAGCTATCAGTCATTAAAATCTACGAAAACACATTAAAACACTCTAGCGATATGAAAACTTTAGATAAAGATTAGACACGTGATGAAAATAAAATAATAATTGCTATAGTTGAAGTTGAGAATGCGCTGTTACCGGAAACTTTGAATAAACTTCATATTTTCGAATCTCCACGGCACCTCATCGCCTTTTTTCGCTTGTTTTTACTGAATATCATCCTATTATTATAGACTCCAACATGCACACGATCATTAACTGGTAACTAGGGACCTACGGTCGTCACTACGGAAACCGTAGGCCTTGAGAGCATGCATTTTTTTCGTGTATCTATAGACGTGATGCCCCTACAAGATACGAACAGCATGTTTTGTTAGTAACATGTCAGTAAACCGGTAATGTTATGTTATGTAAAACTAAAAATATTTTATTCATTAAAACATCGCAAAAAATAAATAAAGTCAAATTTCCTGGATAAGGTTATGTCGTGTGACATAATCAGCCATAGTAGCCATGACTATATATCCCATCCTGTCTATAGTACTGACCCATCTATGCCCAACCGCAATGAAATTTCTCTTCGAGCATTTTTTGTCAGTTCACTCAACCGAAACGCAACAAATATTACAATAATGCAACATGTAGGTTGTAAATTGAGATACTGTGTGTGAGTGTGTGACTAGAGTGACCGACGTCCGTTATCTAGATATAACACGCCATCATTATTATTGCGTAATCATGCAATGTCACAATCAAAGTTATGTGAAATAAAAATAAAATTATTCTCAGAAATCGGCAAATCAAAACCACATAACGCCGATAACTGCACCACTAGAGGCGGTCACATTCTGATTGGGATAAAGGTCAAGAATCAATTTTGAAATTACGAAATTCACAATTGCAGCAATATTAAAATATATTGGTCATTGTCATCCAACAGAAACGAGTTTTAATTTACATTTATGTATTTTAAACAGAGTCGCACTAAAAAAATGCGATAATTTTAAGTGAAATTAAAGAAAACTGGTTTGATGATTTTTTTTATATCAAACAGCTTTCACTTTTTCAAACATAGGTCTACCCAATTGAAAAAATCACGAGATGATATAATAAATTCAACTTTGACACCAGTAACCACTTAAATTCATTGTTAACCGCAAACCATCGCCGATAAATTTGATTAGGACACGCATGGTTTGCGGATTCTACAAAAATAAAACCTCACACGTTTGCTGAACAAATGTTTGCGCAATAAACAATGAAATATTTTAAGCCCCGATCTCGACGAACGCGCCAACACCCAAAATCACGCGCATCGCGCAAACTTCTCACAACACACACGCATTAAACTAATAAAAACTTGTTTAAATAAAAACACCGTATTATATTGAGTGTTGTATTACTTACTTAACTGAATATCTGCTGTAGTAAATGTCCAGTTGTTTTGTGAAATAAAATCGTCGCGTGTTGCTACCACGCGGACGAACCACATGAAAACACAATAATGAATAAAACGCGCTTCACAGTAGCTGGATGTTGAATATCGCGGTGAACCTCATACACCGACGCCGCGTAAAGTAAAGAGCATTTTACAAGTTCGTCACGTGCTTTGTATTTGGTGTCTTGCTGAGCGCATTCATGGACAAGCCGCTCGAATAATGTAGAACGAGCTAGACGATACAAGCATTCAAGGATTTGTTTAATTTTCGTATGTCCGCTCAATATGAAACTGGTAGTCGTGTTCATTTCAGTTATACCTCGTAAAAACTATTTGTCCACACCTCGTGTGTGTCTATTTTTTGTGCATAATTGAAATTGTTTGCGGTATTTTACTACGCCGTGAACTCGTCAACATCCGATGATGTTGTATGTGTGTTTAAATGTGGTTAAACTAGCGCATCGTCTTGGTAATTATTTATAGTTCGTTTACATTGGCGTGCCGTAGATTGTTTCTCGGGCATTGATTGAGCGATCGATAGTGAAGCAATTTAATAATTAGCCAACTGGTTCAATTATTCATTCTGTTTGCTTTTCGTTTTTTTTAAGGAATATAATTGAGTCAATTGCAATAATCGGAAATTTATCAAAGCATTATTTCGAATATTGATTGATTTAAATAATCAATAATGGAAATAGTTTGATAATCGTTTAAAAGTACTGCTAAAGTAGTAAATGGAAGCCATTTTGTTATTTTTAAGTTTACATCGCTTAAAACATGTACACATCTAAAATATACGATATTTTTGTAGGTCTAGGCACAATATGAATAATTGATAATCATAACAAAACAAATAACAAAAGAAACGATAAGAAAATGATAATTTTAACACTCCGCTACAACTTTGCAAGTGAATCAGAATAATAAATTGTTAACTTACCTAGAATTCTCTGTAGATATTTCTTTGCACGATAACACTTTAACAATGCTTCTGATCACACTCGAATTTCAAGCTGGACTCGATAAAACCATAATAAAACTTAAATAAGTTGCAACACGATACATTAAACGCGAAACAAACCAAACTTAAACCTTGTTAATCGATTTTCAACGTGAACGTGGAATATTTCGACGATATTTGCTCTGGGTTTATCTGTTCTTACTTCCTGTGTGAAATCTGTTCGCTTATTTATTCAAATGATACTGTATTTCATAACGAACGAATTTTAATGCCCGTGGGCATTGCAACAAACGCCGAGACTGAAACCGAGCCGCGGACGGTTCTGAACATGAACAAAATGCTTGCGATCGCGTCACCAAACACAAACCAAGTCAATTGTTACTTAAGTTAAAGTTAACTTATCGAATCACCAGGCACAATTTCGACACACGTATACTCGTACATACACATGTGTACAACGCTCAGAACGACGAACGGAGCCAACTGTTTACATTCGATTATTACCAACTTTGGAATGTTTGCTGCGTGTGTTAAATCTGACTGATTTTGAATTCATATGCGAATAGTTTCGTGTGGCGTTTTTGATCGCAGAGGTTAAGAGTTTACAATTATTTGACGGATTATTGATTATTAATCAAAACGTTGTGATCTTGTGCTGACATTTTGTTATTCGCTAATATTTTCTGTCATTTTCTTAGGGTTTACTCCAGATTCTGCGGTTTTCTTTTCGAAAATACTTCGTGCATGTATTTCCTCTTTTAAATAAACAAATCGTATCAACTTGCTTAACAATCCAATCAATTAACAAACTTTACAATATACATTAATCATATCTTAATGATAATGGAATTACGGGAATCTCTTCTTATCATTTTCATAATCTCCTTGCGTCTCAATAAAAGTTAACTATTCACAAATCTGCTTCATACAAAAATAGTCCTCGTCCAGTACAAATAAAACATTTGTAAAACTCGATTATCTAGTACACAATTTTTCGGAAATCAATCTCTAAGACATAATATAAATAAATCTTAAATAAAATTAATGCATTATATAAAATACAATAGATACGTTGTGTTGTGCAATATACACAATAGAAATCAATCACTCAGATACAATGATTGAATAATTCCTGTGAAACAAACATCGAAATATGTGTTTTCACATCAAGTCGTTAAAGTAATTATTTTAAAAGTTATCTTCGCCCGAAGCGGCCCTTCAACAGCTGCAACGTTTTCGCCATCAGGGGTGCCTTCTTCGGTTTCACAATATAATTATTACCACCGCTAGGACCTCCACTGCTACTATCTATAACAAATTAATAGATGTGTGAATCACTAATTCATAAAATTTAAGAAAGTTTTACTTACTGCCAGCATTAACCCTGGATGCGCCCGGATTAGGCACGGACACTTTCTCGGCACCTGCAGCGGCCAACTGTTGAAGTCGACTGGATGGAGTCACTGCAGGCCTGGTGAGAGAAATTCCGTTCTTCGCCTTTGGAAATCAAAATCAAAACAATGCAGGAATAAACCATTTAATAGTTTAAGCTACACTTACTTGTTTCTTCGCTACACTTCGTGGTGGTTTCGCCATTGAGTCCACGTACGCAAGTTTCGTTTGTCGTACTGGTAAACTTTTGTCTTGAGACAATTTGATATTAGCTGTGAGCGATTTGAGCTTCGCGTCACGCTCGTCAATACACCGCAGATACATTTCTCGCCATGTCTCCATTTCATTACGTGTTTTAGTTTTGAACTCGCGCTGGCAGTGTAATTTCCACAGCTCGTCGGAGTCTTCCATCAGGTAGATGTTGTGGTGCTCCATGCTGAAGAGTTGCGATGCTGTGGCGCGTTCTAGGACAGGTTTGAGGATGCTGTAAGGGACACCTCCGGTGTAACCAAGGACGAGAGCTGCAAGAAACATGTTTAAGTTCAAAACATATCAAATGAATATGAAATAAATGACTTACTGTCAAGATTATCTTGTAATAACCGAATGCAGTTTTCAAAGAGTGATGGCACCTTTCCAAAAAACACCTTGTTTCCCGAATAGACTTTGGTGCGTTGATTCTTCGCGTACATTAGTTTTGACAACATCTCATCGTCGTTCGTACGCGTCACTCCACTTCTGTGCCCATCACCTGGTAGAAAACCCAACGGTTTGTAATTCGTCGATATTTGCGGCAGCAGATTAGAAATACCCACATCTTCAAGCGGCGTAAGCGTCGGCGGTGGTGCGGCGAGCGCTGCAGGCGTACTACGAGGTTTACTTTCCTCTCGTTTACTACTTCCACTGCTACTTGACCCATTGCTTTTTTCCTTTTTGTCATGCCGATGCTCCCGATCGCGTTCTTTCCGACTTTTCGAATCTTTTTCTTTCGGCGGACTTTTATGATCTTTACTGCGACGTCCATGTTTATCACGATCTCTGGATGATTCCTTAACATCTTTATGTTCTTTGTGTTCCTTACGTTCTTTCTCCCGTTTTACTTTACTAGTGCTAGGTATCATCATACCCAAAGCTTCAGCAAAACTGGCCCCGCTCTCGCAGTCAATACCGTCTTGAATTGATAGTTTGAGTTTTTTCGATGGGGAATTTTTTGTGGAATCTTCGGTTGGCGGACGTTTCTTTGAGGACGATGATGACGAAGAGGATGAGGACGGTGTAGGAGTAGTTGTTGAAGCAGTGACCGATGTTGATGTGCTCGAACGTCTTTTACTATCGCGTGATTTATCCCGCGATGACTTTTCTTTTTGGTCTTTTTCTTTATCCTTATTGTCTGATTCCTTTCTACTGCTGCTACTACTGCTGCTAGTAGTTTTTGAGCTTTTTGAATGTTTATCCTTATGTTTATCATGATTATTACTACTACTACTACTACTGCTGCTTTTCTTGTGACCATTTTGGTGATGATTCTCTTTCTCCTTTTCGCGTTCTTTACTTATGTGTTTTTCCTTGTGTTTATCCTTATGTTTATCTCGATCAACAGACCTCTCTCTGCTTGATTTTTTGTGTTTTTTATGCTTTTCATCCTCTTTATTATTATCAATCTTCTCAACACTTTCCTCAACATCAACTGATTGTTCTTGAAAGCTCTCCTCATTGTCTTTTGAAGTGTTAGCATAGAGTTCACTGTACTCCTCATTGCAGTCAGGACTTGTGTGCTGTACAATTCTTGTTTCTGTAGTCTCCACTCGGGGTTCATCCAAATGTACCTCATATGGATTATTTTCTATTCTATCATTATCACAATATTTGTGCTCACTATATTTATGTCTATACTTCTCATACTTCTCTTCATAATGACTAGAATCTTGCATTTCTATGTTTCTAGTTTCCTCCACTTCTTTATCATTGTTTGTATCCTTGGCATCTCCATCATTCTCACAGTAGATTTGCAGTCTGTCTTCACTGTCTGCATCATCATCATCATCATCATTGTCCTGATCAGATTCTTCCTCATCCTCATCACTATCATTCTCCTCCTCAGTAACCATCTTCTTCCACTGCTGTACTAGTTGTTTGGCAATGTTCTTTGGACTTCCCTTGATACCTTTCATTTTCCTAACAGAGTTCACTGTTCTGCCTACACCAGTGTGCTCTAGGTGTGAAACAGTTATAGGCAGCTTCTGCAGTTTTTCCATGCAGTAAATCATCTACAATTAAACCAACATTAATGTCTAGTATTTTAAAATATAGCTTGATTAGTGAGAACCCATGAAAGTTCACCTTAGGTTCATGTCGTCTCTCAATGTACTTCTCCAAGTTCTGCTGGTAGTGCACAATGGCCTTTACCACCCTGTCTTCATCCATGTTGAGTACTTTAATCAGATGGATATAGTGAACAAACTTAGTACTCTTTAACAAAGCGGCTTGAGCAAGATTTGTAATTAAATCCCTTAAAACGCAGCTGTTTCAGTGCCACCATTTTTCAAGCGGTTGGTCACTATCACGTTCATTGTGTACTAATAAAAAAAAATTAGGCGTGCTCATAGAAGGCCAGGAACCGATCGTAACAATTGGAATTGGATTTCCACAGGGAATATTTATGTGATTGTTGCGTCGCCCAGATCGGCTGACTTTTGTTACTTTTGTCGGTTTTAGGCAACGCGAGTGGATGAGTAGCATTCGTCGCACATTCGCATGTATGTACCGCTTGACAAGTGCCAACCATGGTGCCAACTCTGGCAATAACGCATTGCACCGTTCGTTTAGTTGTCTAAAATTCAAATAATTTTATTTAATTGCTTCCCATTTTTGTTCAAGTTTGCAATCTACACCACAAACATTTTTCCAAACTATCTTTATATATTAAAAACATAAGACTCGAGGTTGTTCTTTATCACATGAATATTCAAAATCAATCAATTTTCCTCCACTTTTTTTTTCCTAAGTTACTCGTGCAATTGTAATAAAGCATAATTAAATTGTTCAATATATGCCATAAATAGTGATAGAGTAGTTTTTGTTCTGGTAAGCAATTGAATAGTTTTTATCGCAAATTTACGGGTGTTAAATCAAAAGAAATGTAAAAGTTCTAAAGTCCATACCTAGATGGCGCTACAATGCACTTATTTGTATTAAATATTTGTTGTCATCGCAACTTCACGAATGTTTCAACAAAAAAATGCAGTAAAAGTCCTAAGGTCAAAGCTTAGATGGCAATGGGATGCACTATTCGCATTAAATATTTGTTTACTTGGTTGAATGAAGTTGTTTGTTTGTGTTAGTGAGTGATAAAAACTTGTTGATACACACCATGCATAATATCAAATAAACCTGGGTAAATTATATATTGTGTGCGTTTTATTGATGTACAAGTTACATATGCGTTGAAAAGAATTCAGGTTTTGAATCGCTAAACCTGTAATAAAACTGCGAATCCGAATAGCACACAAACGGCGTCATTGCCGAAGTAAAATCAAACTCTGGAAACAAAGTGGCTAATGTTTTGATAAATGTATAATTGGGCTTCACAGCCGCCAAATTTTTCTTGTACATTTTCGAACGTCCCACGTGCACATTAGATTTCTTCTTGTTAACTGGATTTTCTTTCGATTCCCGCTTTTGTTTGGTTTTATTAATTTTAATTTTGTTGCTGATATCTGCAGGTCTCGAATATGTTAATTGTACGCGCGGAACATTAATATGACTCAATATATCTGGAGGCAATTCGTGCCCGGGCATTTTTCTGCTCAGCACCAACGAAGTATGCGATGGTATTTCGGGCAGCGCAGGTAAAGACATATTACTTCCCGGTTTCATACTGGACATTAGTCGAATATACTTATAATCACTCAAATTGCTCAAAGCATCATTCAGTTCCGCACGACTCACGCTCTCTAAATTGACGGTGGCTTTGGACTCGATAGGAACAAAGTTTTCACTGCTGGAGATGTTTATAATATTCCCAATTAAAGATGCTTTTGGTATTGTTAGGAAACTTGTGCACACACTCAAAAATGGAATGGCACTCAGTGACTTTCGGATCAATTCATTCACCGATGGTAATAATTCAAGTCGTTTTGGCTTTTTCATTAATTTTTCTGAAATAAATTCTTTAAGATCTATTTGCAATCCAAGTGAATCCATTAAATTTCTTATTTTGGTTTCATCATGTGCTGAATCTTTGATCGCGTCGACTAATTCCATAAATTTTCTTGTAGATTTTTGGTATAAGTTTTTAGGCAAATTTAAAGACAACTTTTGAATAGTTACTTCCATATTGTTGACACTTGTAGCATTAGGATCTGCTTTCTTTTTAAGTTCTTCGTCATAAAAGAGTACTTTACAGGGATGTCGAGAGTTTGATTTGATATTAGCTTCATTACACTTTTGTGAACAGAAATACACAATTCCACAGACTGGACATGCAATTAGTTCTTTATCAGTGTGAAGGCAACAATTGAAACAAACTTTGTATTTCTTAGGTACAGGGTCATACTGATTATGTATGAATTTACCCAGGAATAATTGATGTGTCATTATAGCATCCAAAATGTCTTGATTCTTTAAATCCGGTATTTTTTCATCGTTTTCTTTTGATTCAATACTTTTTGCTTGCTTTGACATTTTTGTTTTATTTGACTTACTCTTTTGATTTCCTTTGGTTTGTTTATTTGCGTTCTCTTTATCAATTTTAGCTTCTTTATCTTTAATCCCGTATAAATTAATACATTCCAAGAAGAGATACGCAAGAAAATAATGAGTGTAAACTGTCAAATCAAGAATATTTGCAAATTGACTCATCGAAATGATCTTAATACCATCCTCATGCGTTAGAAATTGAAACAAGTGCTTAAAATTCTGTATTGATCCTTCCATCAATTTTTTAAACAGAAAAATACCCAAAACTTCTTGGTAATTTGTTAGAATTACTTCTTTGGTTAAATTTAATAAATGATTAAATATTTCTTTTTGCTGTGGATGTTTTTCTTTATCTTTTAGTAATTTTGAACCTTTTGGAGTTTCCAATTTCTTTGGATTATCTGGAGTTTTTAGCATTTTCTGCTTTTGATCTACATTAACTTTCTTACTAGTATTAATGGTAGATGTTTTAGGTTTAGATTCATTATCCTGGCCAATAAATTCAATAGCATTGACTCCATCGATATCCATCAAGGGATCTGCACCATACATAACCAACATATCAATGATTTGATTGCAATCATTAACAGGCGGAATCATTTTTGGCTTACTATATCGTTTCAAACAGTAAATAGTCAACGCATTTCCTAATTTATTTCCTAATTTTTGATTAGGATTACTTTTGGCTTCTAATAGTGTTTGTACCAAGTTAATATTACCTCGCAAAACAGCCAAACTCAATGGAGAATGTCCCAAGTAATGTTTCTCAAGTGTTTTTGGATTATTTGCAGCGATAGTTTTGGCCAAACTATTCAAATTTTTTTCTGGATCAATATCAAAGTCAACTCTTGCTGCCAAAATATGGAGAGGAGTTTTGCCTAACTCAACAACATCCTCATTTTCAATTTCATCAATATCTCCTTTAATATTTTCAATTTCTTCGCTCCAGTGTTGAATTGAACATCGCTGCATTGGGTTTACTTTAGCTTTCAATAAAACACCCGCCATTCTATAAAGATTTTGCGTAGGAGGCAGCGAACATAAAATATGCAACAAATTCAATTCATCAGAAGTATAGACATTGGTGACAATAGCACCTTTCTCGATAAGCATATCTAAAAGTATATGATTGTCACAATACAATGCCAATATTATTGTTGGAAGAGGTACATCGCAACAATTTAGACTAGCTCCCAGTCGTAGCAAAACCTCAATGGTATTACTGATAACATTCAATTTTTTATCTGTCTCAAATCGCGCCCCTATGTCATCAGCCAAATATAAAACATTTACACTTGGTTTTTTAGCTGTTTTTGACTTTGCTTGTGGAATACTTGGAGGAACTAAACTCCAATCAAATAACAATTTCTGATTAGGATCTTCAGCAGAGTAATACGTTGTTTCAAAGCTTTGTTCATTCTTTAAGCGAAAGTCTATTCCCATTTTAGCGAAAAACCAATCTAAAGATTTCTGTTCAATGACAATATCATGCAGATATTGCCGAATTAAATTTTTGTTTTCTTTAAGATCAGGATTATCTACAATAGAAGCCACATGAGTGATTAATGTATGCGTCAATAAATCTTCTAAGCTTTGTATTTTCCAATCCTGCGTAAATATTTCATTTTGTGTGTCATTTTTTATCAGAAATGCATTTTCCCAATCCTTAATATTCCGCCGTAAAGCAATATATCTCAAAAAACATAAATTCAAAGCAGTTAGGTTTTCGTCATTGACAATATTCAAATCAGCTCCAATGTTTACAAGTCTTTTGATATTGTACAATTTATCTGACGCTGCAGCGTAGAAAATACCACTGTTTCCTTTACTATCGGTTAAGTCTGGATTTATCTGAAACTGTTGATGAAGTTTTACCAAATCTAGATCGTTGCCATCCGATGAAGTTTCTAGGAATAATTTGCATGCTGTCTCATACGTGCCTGGCGAGTTGAAGAGATGTCTTTTGTTTTGGCGAATTTTCGATGTTGAGTTTTGCACTGTGTATTCACGATTTCTATGTTTGAATGCATGTAATAAACAGTCAACAAGATATTCTTCATTGTTCCAGGCTAATATATCTGTTATCTCAATGGTATCTGGATTTTTGACTGGTATTGCTTCGCCTTCATCTAATAAAGAACTTAATATTTGAAACTTTTGTTGGAGTAAACATATTTCTTTCGGGGTACAATTTTCAATTCCCTTTGTATTAAAAATCATATTTTTTAAATTTGTAATGGCTGATTCTGAACTTGTTCTCAATTTTATTTGTCTATCAATATTCGAATTGAAATTAAACCTTTTATCGTAATGCGAACGATTAAAAAAGTAACTTTTTTGATTCCTCACAAATTGATTCTGACTTTTATTAGGTGTTTCAGGCATTAACGAAATTAATCTTCGATGTTTTAAGATTTCAAGTTTTCCTTCCGGAGTTCTTGCCAAATTAGGAATTTTTTCAGGATTTACTTCAACCGCAAGTCGCATTAGATCGGTACCATTCCAGAAGCCAACATCTTGGGAGTTATTAGTATGATAAACTACACCAGGACCAAACCGTTTATTGTTTTTGTATAACCCTTCATAATACACACAGTTACCGTATATCACCTTAGCGTAACCTTCGAATGTATTGGCATATAGAGTTCCTTCGAAGATAAAGTTGTTGCCGTGTTTAATTTGGGTGTAAATGCCATCGCCATGAAAGTTGTCATTTGTGAAGGTACCATTATATTTGACTAGACAATTTGGTTGGGATTGTGTAAAGAATCCTGTTTTATCTCTTTGATTTAGTTTGTTGAATTGTCCAACGTATTCTTTGGTTTCAGATTCAGACCTTTCCAAATCAATTTGGGTCATTTTGACATAATTTTATCAAGAAAAAATTTGACAGTTGACATGTTGACTGCTTAAAAACTAAAAAATATCCTGTATAACCAGTATAATTGCAACAATCCGTTGTCAATAAGCCGAAATAGCTCAGTTGGGATAATGTTATCGGAAAACTAACTTGATATCTTTCATCCCCTTGAAAAACTCAATTGATTAGCGTTTTCCATTTTCTTCTTGCTTAAAAAAATGTTTTGAGTCCAAAAACAGTCAAGTGTAACCTCTTGATCTTTTTGACTGATATTTGGTCAACTTTGTAAAATGGAAAAACTAAATCTGCCATTTTATAGATTCTAACCACGGCATGAACAAAATGATGAAAGTTCTTTTCTATCTTTATTATTTCCGAGCAAATCGCATCGGAAAAAATCTAGGATTTGCTGCTAAACATCGGGGTGTTTTTGATTTTTGTTTATCTCTATTAGTTCCTAAGATAATTGATTCTTAAGTCTTGATGGGAGTGCACATTTCACTTAATGAGATTTACTGGAAAATTCCTTACTGATAGTAGGTGAAAAGTTGTTTAAATAGTATCATTACGAGGGGCTCTTACACAATGAGGTAGTTCTCAATATTTAATTAAACAACTTTTTTAAATGTCAGGCGCCTCCGCCAATTTTTCATAATTAATAACATTTATTACATTTAAAATAAAATTACTGTTTTATCATTCAGGAATTCAAAATTTTAACTCTTTAATTCAATGTTTTGAGGGGAAAATTTTAGGAAAAAATTCGACTCTATTGTTCAAGCAAAAAAAAATTTAAGAAAAAATTCAACCCTGTTATTTGACCAAAAAAATGCGACCTTGTTCTTTGACCATAAAAAAATTAAATTAAAAAAACTACCCTGTTTTTCGACTGAAAAAAAGTTCGACCCTGTTCTTCAGCCAAAAAAAATTTGACCCTGTAATTCGCCCAAATAATGAAATTTTTGTGACAAAAATGGCTATTTTTGAAATGTTTTTCAGGGCATTTCTGGCAGGGTTACAGGGTTTAAAAGATAGGAATGGCGTAGAGAGACTCTCGAACTTTAAGATGGCGGTAAAAAAATTCAAGAAAGTCAAATTATTCTCAAGATACAGGTTGTTTTTCACACCATGTTTCCAATTTTTTTGAAAAATGCCAATTTTCAGAGGGCATTTAAGGGCACTTTCCAAAGAGCTGGAAGATTGAAAAGATATGTGTCGGGTAGGGAGACTTTTGAACTATAAAATAACGGTGACTTTAAACAAGTCATTTAGTTCGCGAGATAGAAGGTGTTTTCCACACCATCTTTTCCCTTTTTTTGAAAAATGCCAATTTTTAACGAGCAATTTAGGGCACTTCCGGATGGTTTTAGAGATTAAAAAAAAATGCATTATGTAGGGAGACTTTCAAACTTTAAAATTGCCGTGACAAAGTTTGAAAATTTCAAATATTTCGCGAGATAAAGGGTGTTTTGCGCGCCATGTTTTTATTTTCTTTGAAAATTTTTTAAAGAGAGTTTTGGGGTACTTCTAAAAGGGTTGGAAGATTGATAAGGTATGCATCATGTAGAGAAACTTTCGGGCTTTAATAAGGCGGTAACAAACTTCAAAAATGTCAATTCGTTCACGAGATACAGGGAGTTTTCTACACCATATTTACATACTTGATGAAAAATGCTACTTTTAAGAAGTGTTAGGGGGTTGCAAATATATCCATAGTGTAGGGGAAGTTCTAGAGATACTGGGTGTTATTTCTGAAAAAGCAACGTGACGAAACCAGTGATTGAACCAAAGGCCTTTAGATCTTCAGTTTAACGCTCTCCCAACTGAGCTATTTTCGCTTATTGACAAAGGATTGTTACAATTATTATACTACATAAATCATTGGTTTCATACAAATAAGAAATTATTTTGGTGTGATGCAGGATGGCAGAATGATACAGCATGCTTTTAAATGCTAACTTTAGAAAGTTATTTTTGGGCACTCTCCACCTAGGAGAGAGTCTCTTGATGAACAATTGGAGGCTGAAAAACTGCAAGAACGTTAAGTTTTTTGATTAATAATAGTACATTTTAAGGCATTTTCTAAGGGTTCAGGATTATTGAAAAATAATTATAGTGTAGAGAACCCTTTAAGCTATAATATGGCAATAAAAAACTCAAATTAAGTAAATTAGTTAATTGATCTATATGCAGCGTAACAGAATTTTTATAGTTTCTGTCATTCAGTACATTCACTCACACATCACAGCCATGAACGATTCAATAAACAAAGAGTCGAATTCAAATTATACTTTTAAGGTCATTCCGAGATGTCGCTAAGATGTCCTTTTCGACTAAAAATCTTCTCGCGTTTTTATCATATCGTTGTTGTAAAGTATTGTAAACATACACATTGGTTATCGCAGCAGCGTATTTTATCACTTTACATTGACTTTATCTTGTTCTACGCTTGAAATATATTCATAAAGGTAAAGAATATTTAATTAAATCATCTAGTTTTATGTTGCAATTAAAATGCAAATAATATAATATTATGGTATCCTTGGTAAAAATTTTAAATTTGAGCGAAAACTGGTATTGACGATGCATCTGCACACTTGGCGCTTGGACTGGGAAATAGGCGGGTGCTGGTGGTTGCTGATTTTAGTTGCATTAACCTCATCACTGTAATAATAAAAGAAGACTCTTGCTCAATATATAACAGAAATGTATTTAGCAAGTTTTTTGTTTGTTTTCTTTGTTTTCAAGTTTATATCACAAGAAAATTGTGACGGATGAATGTTTCACTCGTTTCCCCTTAACGTTACACTACAAATGACAATGTTAACATGTTAACAAATACGAAAGGCCAAGATTCGGCTTTCTTTGCTGAATCTTGTCTCACTCACGCATCTAAACTAGTAATAATATTAATAATAATAATAATTGATTGACTCGTTAGTCTCGTCTTATTTGGTATACAATACGTTTGTTTGGTTGAATAATGTTTTGATTCGAAATATGATTTGATCGTGGTTTCATATTGGACTCCATGGTTTTAATTGCTAGAATTGATTAAAAGTTAATTTAAAGGTAATGATGGCATAATAAGTGTTTTGCTATAAATACAAGGCAAATTCGTTTTTAAAATTCCTTAATCAATAGTTAACTAGTTATATGTGTATCTTTGTTATTCTCCTTGTGTGAGTTTAGGTAATTAGTAATTTTTGCTTGTTTTAGATTTGTTTAGATTTAGTAAACTAGTAATACTTTTGCGTGTAGTGACGATTTTTATACAGTGTTACAAGACTAGGCCGATAGTGGTTGCACATGTTTCGTTTTCTCCGAGACGACTTGGTGCTTGTTCGAGGGGAGCACCGGAGACGGTGAGAAGTTGCTCGATGTGGTCGAGTTCGTTTGGCGGTTGGGAGAGTTCGAATTGCGACGTTTGCTCAGCTGCTTCCAGAAACGACGATCTAATTGACGTTCTTGCTGCGGAATAGGAATCGCAATCAATATACATGAATATTGATTCCGTTTGTGTTTATTCTTTTAATATCACCTTGATACGTTGTTGAAGTTCAGGATTCTCCGAATAAGAAGTGGGGACATCGTCCGAGTCATCCCCCTCGCGACTGAAGACCTTGATGAGATGTTTTCCTCCTGGGAAGGTTTCGTAGATCTTACGCTCTCTTCGCACGTTGAAGAATTCCAAGCTTAAGTTAAAATTTGAAAAGTAAATTTTTTTGTTTTTTTTTTTTTAATTTTTTTGAGTGACTTACAATTTAACCCCTTTGGTAGGAGGAATCCGTTCAATATTTAGATACTTCATGCTGGGCCGATTGCGGAAACGCGTGAAGAACCCCACGCTGTCGTCCGCCGCCTCGATAATCTTCTGATAACTGTCCGAGCGTTTGATGGATATCGGCGTGAGTGGCGCGTCCGTTGCCGCTACCACCGCCGCCGGTTCCATTACCGGACTGGTAACACCGCTGTTGGTAACTACCGGCAAGTTGTTGTCGCAGCCTTGGTTGCTCGAGCTGCATTGCAAGCGGCGCACCGCCGCCAACGTGCTCGCCGCCTTCGCGATAGAAGTGCGCGCACTCGCTGGCGGTATCGTAGCAGTCGATCGAAGCGATGCTATCCCCAGCCGCGTACCGGATCCGCTTGAACTTCTCGGCACGCCGCCGCTTGCCGCCCGCACGCTTGTAGTCGAAGACGGCGGCAACGGTGTCGCGGCAGCAGACCAACATTCGTCAGCAGCACCGCCAGTTCCGCTGCCCTGCCCACAATGCAATCGACTTTTTATACGTCGAGCGACCGCACTACCGCAACTAGCAATAACAACAACCCTCTATCTTGGCTCTATCTAATGCGCAATAGCTGCTAAATAATTACGCCGACCTTGCGCCATAATCAATAATCTATCGATTACAACAAAAATAAACTCGTAACTAAACAAATATTAGGTATAACTAACATCGATCGTTCCGGTTGCTTGCGTGCGGCCTCTTCAAGAGTCATTTACCTGCTCGGGAGAAACGGATGGTTCCGTAGGTGTGGGTGAAGAAGACGCAGATGACTCCGAAGTTGTATAGGTATCCGAGAACTCTTCCTCCATTAAAGGTTCCAGAGTCCTCCTTGGGAGCAAACCTCGAATATTTGAACTGGTCACAGGTGGGGTCATCAGGAGTTCATCCATCATCAACTCAGTATCTTCATTTGAAGATAAAGACCCTCCATTTGGCTAAAAACATCAAAATTACTTTTTTCTTCCTTTAATTATAAAAAACTCACGGATTGATGGTCATAATCTTGTGGGGAACTTAAGGGATCATCCAATTCCCCACCACTTGTAGGGGTACCCCATATTTCTTCTCCACTTGTTCCCCCACTTGTTTCTTCTTCTTGGATATCTTCGCCGTTTATCATGTCATGTTTAAGATATCTATTCAAAGCCATTAATTAAAAAAATAAATTTTGGGAGTAATTATTAAGATTGGGTCTTACTCTGGAAGCTTTTCAAGGAAGGCCATCTTTGCAGCAACAAAACTCCCCGCCCGTGCAGTCCAGGTCATCAGAGTGTTATTAAAACCTTCATTATCAATCCCTGTCAAATCAGTGGTCTTGATATCATTTTCCTCAGAATTCTCTGAATTCAAATCGTAAGCTTCTTCTTCACTGCCTACCCTTTCAAGGCTGGAGACCGTACCAAACCTTCTCAAGGTTAAATTTGAACTGTGTAAAGAATGATAAGGTTGCTCATCAGCCTCGTTCACTGGAGAATCATCAGGGGAGTTATCATAGCTCTTGTTGAGTGGTAATTCAAAGGTTTTAACATCAGGTGCTGAACAATTGCAGTTACAGTCTCGAGGTTCACTTTGTCGTTCCGCGTATTGGGCTTGATCAGTAGATGTTGGCGTTGGCGTTGGAGGTAGCACGGCAATTTTGGGCAATGGCATCGCAAACGGGTCTAACTTAACTAAACAAGCTGCCGGGTTGACGGCACTAAGACCCATCAACATCAATGGACGCCAGTCGTCATCATCATCTTCCTCCTGCTTGGCTTGCGGAGCAATCCCCGATCGAGGTTTGTAGCCATTTGCCATGGGCACGCGTGTCTCCTGGCTGTAGCAAGTTCGATGACAGTTTTTACACACTGATACGGTTTCTGGTATAGCTGCGCTCGAGCGTACTGTAACCTATATACAAGCAATTTACGCTAGCATAACCTAACTAAGTGGCGAGCGCTAAGTCAAACATAACCTAGTTTAAGCTCAACCTAGCTATATAGAAACTACAAACCTGACTCTCTGTAGTGTTTGTACTTCTGGAAGGACTTTGATCATCATCAGCTATGAGATCCTCACATCTACTTTCCGTTCTTCTCATGTGCATTGTCGTAGTCGGTCCGGGATCAATGAGTTTCAACTCTTCGGATCGTTTCCGGATTTGATCCTCTGTCCACGTCTCGATGTCATCTTCATCGTCAAAGTCATCGTAGTTGTCTGTATCATCTGGATCTTTCAATGTGTTATTGTTGGTTGAGTCGCCATTGAATTGACCCTTCATCCATTGCTCCAGATGAATGGCGTTGCTTTTACTGGAGCTGGAGGATTTCTCTAACTGCTTGCACTTGTGTTCGATGAGTTCATCGAGACGTTTGCGTGTCTCGCTCTCGCTGTGATTTATGTTATTGTTGTTCAAAGTGCGGCCCTAAAATGTCCAAGCCACGCGATTAGATTGCTTTGTTATTGGATAGCGCTGACAATGCCGATGCAAACGTGAGGGATATGTGTAGTTGAATAACAACACGCATTAACTACTAATAATAAATTTATTTAAAACGTAATTTTACAGATTTTCGTTTAGGGTGTGTAACAATCATTTAAATGCTATGCTTCCTGTCTGTCTTTAGTTATTGGAATGAATAGTATCGAGAAGAGATCCGAAGAGAAGTTGTGTAATTGATAAATCGCTAGAATGAATATGAATGAGGCAGTTTTTTGATGTTCTTTGTGTTGTTGTTTCTTTTTTTAAGTCGTTTTTAAATTTATAAAAAGCGAAGCACACTTAGTTTTTTGTTTTCCTGTTTTTCTTACACCAATTAATTCGATTGTCATTGAAATTCTTAAATGTTTAATTTGGCCGCGATATTCGTTCGTGATTGGTTGTTGTTTATTGGCAAAAAAGAGTTAGTAATTCTCGAAATACTCGTTCAGATTGAATTCGTACTCGAAGGTGACGATGTCCCACGGTTCTTGCTCGTCGAACTCGCGATACCTGGCGACGTCGAGCATATCGTCGGTGTTTGCATCGGCATTGTCGGCATGTGAGCAACCGGCGGCATTGGCGGCGCGCGCCGGCGAGCTACACGCGGAATTAAAATGCGAGGTGAACGCCTGCGACAGCCTGCCCGAGCTGCAGCTGGGGCTGATGTTTGCCGAGGGCGTGTCGGGCGTGAGGAAGTGCGCCAACGGAGCGTGCCGCCCGCAGCCGCCGTCCGCATGCAGTTCGCACACGTCGTCCAGTGGCGGCGGCGGCGGAGGGCGGCGCGCGGGCGACTCGCCGACGCTAGCTGCACGCACCTGATGATGCGGATGGCCGAGCGGCCCCGACGACGGCTGCTGGCGTGACAGCGTCGACGGCTGCAGTGGCGCGTGGTGCAGGTGGTGGCGCGATAGCGAGTCGGCCGACTGCAGAGTTACCACCGACGCGGTGATCGGCTGGCAGCATTCGGGCGACTCCAACGGGCTACTGTACGCGCTGCCGTCTCCGGCGCTAGCGCCTATGTGGAAGCTACACGTGGGGGGCAAGGGAAGCCAACCATTAGCACACCTACCACTTTTTTACAACTACGCTTAACTACACAATTTGGTAGATATTAGCATTAAAAAAAATTGAGAAAAAAATAAATTTATCTCTCAATTTTTTGTATCCACCAAATTCTATTCTAAATACTAGCACATTTATCCTATTCTTTCTGCAAAAATAGATCTAGTAAGAGAAAGTATGGAGAAATCTTTGGAAATAAAAAATAAAACTAATTCGAAACTAATTTATTATCTGACTAGAGATCATCTAATGTATATCCAACGATGTCTATTTAATATCAACAATAATAACATCAATTCAACAACGATAGAAACACATCGTGGAGTACGAGTAGTCTTCAGCTAGATAAACGTGTTCGACTGGAAGTAAATCGGCTGCTCTTCATGCGAATCTAAACTGTAGCTATCAACTGCTCTGGAACTGTGTGTTACTTGAGATACTTGGATTACTTGGAAGCTTTCAGCTGCGTATTTAGTTGTATACCTGCCAGTGCCAATCGACATTTTCCCTTTCGTCGCTTCAAATTCATATCACCGAATAAATATCATAAAATGGGGACTTTTGCTAAGCAAAAACATTCTGATTGTACCGTTTTTGCTTAACAGAAAATCAATAAACAAAATAATAACATTTAAATGTTAGTAAATAGAAAGATTACTTACATCTGTCGTTGTAATAAGTTTTGCCAAACTGCCTTGAGCTCTACGGTGGGTGTTCGCAGGATGATGCAGCGTTTGTTTGGGTTTTTACGAGGTGTTCGACTTAGGTCGGGCCCACAGTGCACTGTGGGGCTGCTTGCCGCCGTGTTGCGATTGCCTGGTGAAGCTCCAGGTTCCACAATGATGCGAAATTCGTTTTCTGAAGACAAAAAAACAAATTTTTAAAGCATAAGTTTGGTTATGTTCAAGTGATTACCTTTCTTCCGAACATTAAAATACATATCGGAAATATGTGCTAGAGGCAGTGGTTCTTCCAAAATGAATAACACGCGATCCCGTGACACTTTCGCGAAAAGCAGGATGTCACTAAACAACAGGGCCCAATACTGTCTGACGGTCCTACCCTCGACTCGAGATAAGTCTCCACCGAAAATCCATTGTCTTCCGGGTTTACTTAACACAAACGGCTGCAAAATCATATTATAGAAAGAGTTTTAGAGTTTTAAAATAATTTACCTTGCATTTCGTAAAAACTAATCTTGTTTCCAAATCCTGCACGGACAACAATGGCCGACCTTCACCCACGGGTTCCATCAGACCCGCTTGTGATGTCATTTCCCTGTAATTCACCTGTAAATAATAATTTTTACTTTTTTGATTTCCCACTTAATTTTTGAGTGTTTACTTGTAACTCATGTACGATATGATTAACCATATTGTACTCATCGGATTGGTTAGCCTTGGTATTGGCATGGATGACATTGAATAGTTTCAGAATCTCCCTGTAGTGCTCCAGCGGCTTATGAATGAATGCGGTGAGATCCGGCCGACGGCGTGGTATCGCCGGAGTGGTGATAAAACGAGAAAACTCGGGGTTTTTCATTAAATTCGCCAACACGCAATCAGCCTTCTTGATACCAGAGCAATATCTCTTGTACGCCGTTGCAATCTCATTCAGTTTACTGGCGTAGATCTTTATCAGACTCCCTGTATGGTAATCACCATCGACTTGTATCAGATGATCAATTATTTCTTCAGATATTCTCAATAACTGCAATATTTTATTGTTTTGATGAGAATATTATGGATATTTGTATGAAATTACCTCGTCACAGTTTTGAAAAAGTGTCCGATGCTCCTGTTGAGCAATGAGGTCTTTTCTTTCTAGAAGAGATTGAACGTAGCGTGTGCTGGCAAACTGCATGGAGGTGGAATATTGCTGCTCCCTGGCGATGAGCTGATACATCGCTTTCCGTCGCGCCTCCTCCGCGCTAGTCGTCGGTCGCTAAATCAAACACCCACACGTGGCAAACGTGTCCCTTAAGTTCAACTCTTCAATGTCAAGGAGGAATAATGGACGAAATGAAAGTGTGTGTGGCGTATTTTATGAAAAACAAATTTATTTCCTAATAAATAAAAAGTATAAATAATAGTAATAATAATAGTCAAAAAGAAGTCAATGGCGCTCAACAAATTTAACAAAGAGTTAAGCTGCTCAAAAAATGAGCGACTCAACGACAAAAGTAAAGTATGCAAAATCAAATAAAAAATTATAAGAATATACTAACAAAAACACAATAATTCGTTGACGATGCCGTTGGCGTGGAATGTGAGAATAAATAAAAACGGAATGTAGTGTTTTCTTTGTTCGAATAAATAACTTAAGTAAATTATTATCTAATAATGCCCTACGATAACCGTCTCTTAGACAACTAAATAACTAAACTTAGACATGTAATCAAAACAAGATTAAGCACTAAATAACTGGCCAATAGTTTGTGACACACTGTCCTGCCTCAAAAAAAAAATACTTCAGCGTGTTGTGGTGCAGTTGGGTGTCAAAATAATAACATGAGGATGTAGCGGGAAGCGGTTAAACGATAATGCCGCTACCAACCTCCGAGCTGAAAGTGACTTGTGGAAGGTGTAGTTTCTTGCGGCTGTACTCGACGCTTGCCGTGTTGGTCGAGCAGACGGTGGAGGGCCTACGTGGTGCCGTGTGCGGTACCGAAGTAGCCGCCACTGAGGTCATTGATGAGGCCATCATGGGTAGGCCGGTGGTGCTGCCCAGCGCCAGAGCAGTGGTGCTACCCAGGGGCAAGACTGAGGAGGTGCTCACGCTGTCGGTTCGTTCTAATCGTTCAATTTGGGCTATTGTTCGGGTTAAAGTGGGTTTCTCTACGTGTGGAAGAGAACCATTTCGGTTTCCATCACGGCGGAATGTTTCTAGCGTAAGTGTATTACCCTGGGACCTAAAATAAACAAAAAATAATGATTTTCTGACCTGGATCATTGATATCCGGTTTAATCTCAATGCTTACCTAATAATATCCAAAATTTCAATCTCGGGCATCATGACAACATTATGCTTGTCAACAAAAATTAAATAATCCCCCGGTTGAATACCGGCTTTATCCGCGGGTAGATTCCTTTCCACTCTTTCTATCCGCGGAGGATGTGTCCACACGACGCTGAACCCAAACCCGCTCTTCGGCGCGCGACGCAACACTCTTGTCATGGTAAACGGAGTTCTTCCGGTGGTTTTATTCCCGGAAGCTTTACGCTGCGCCAAAGCCGGTGCTGCCTCGGGGCCCTCCATCGGGTCCAACTCAAGGTAGCGCAAGAATAGGTTCTCATCTGCTACCCTTTGTTGTTCACTAAGAGCGGCTTTATTCTTTTTTTGGTCGGTGCCGCTGTCGACGACGCCATGCTCCCCGGCAATCAGCTCATCGATGCTCGTATGCAGTGAGTCAGACATCTTCTCCGTTGGTGGGTGTACCGTTGGGCTCAAGGACAAATGGTTGTTATTGTTGTTGAAGTTGATGTTAGGCGTACACGCGTCCGACCATTGCGGTAATAATCTATACGTTCCTTTGATATTCTACACAAGAAGAAATCCAAGTAAATAAAAGACAAGTATTAAATGGGCTTTACGCATTTGCTAGGTTTCATGATTTCTAATATCATATGTAATTGAATGTTATTGGAAGCGTTGAAGTGAAATAATCCAATTTACCTTTGTAAGGGCATCTTTTATTGCAAACGACACGCATCCCAGAAATTCACTGCGTCTGCAAACAAGCAAAAAATTAATCTCAATCAAAAAGGTCAACATCCAATCAAATTTTCAAAACATTAGACTAGTTTTATAGTTGCCAATTTGCAACAAACATTAAACACTCTCCCGGAGTCGTAAATTTACTCGTACACAGTTCGTGGAAGGCAAGTTGATTGAATACGGATATGAATTTTGAAGGACCCGGCGCACGGTAGACTTTTAGGTCGATTGGTTGCTAATAAAAATTGCAATAGTTGGCCGAGCGGCGGCGGCGGCAGTGGCGGCGTAGCACACGAATACAAGCGGACGCGGAAAATCCGGGTCAGTAGTAGCGCACAAATTCACCACCCCCTTCTCTTCGACGCAGCGGTGAACATGAGTGTTGACTCACTAACCCTCAATACAAACCGCCAACCACCGACGCTCGCGAATCTTCTTAATCCATATTTTTTAGAAGGACTTTAACAGCAAATCGTCTTTTCTATCAATTGTAATTAAAAACTATCTTTCATCTCCTTTTTTATCTAAATAATTTAATTGTTTAATTAATATTTAACTCACCGCTAGGTAATAAATGCGTAATTATTGTTTAGCAAAATCGATGTTGCGTAATCGACGTAGCACAGTTCGATTGGTCGACAAAAAAGTTAATATCCTTAATAATCCCGTTGTTGAGGGGGGCGAACCTTGAAGACTGAGTTTCACTTATGTAACGCGTAGTGACTTCCTGTCGGTTTATGTTTGCGTACGTAATATTTTGCTTCTTTGCTTGTTATAAGTTTGTACTTTGTTTACAAGTTTTCGGTAATTATTCGCTCGTATTCGCGTGATTGTTAATTTATTTAATGTTTTGCGTGTTGGTTTGCACGCGTCCGTTCGCCTTGAACTTTGGCGACGCAACAAAAGTCGCTAGTAGTAATGCAACAGAAAACGGACACCAAAATAGCTACCACCAGCCGATGAAGACGGCGGCGGTGGATTTTGTCACCACGAGCCACACGTTTATCGCGAATGAGACGCGCGGCACGGCGACGGCAACGTCATTATCTGCGCGCGAGTGTCATTGATTGCCGCTGCTGTTGTGTCGGGCCGCAAGGCCGCCTCTCGTCGTCGCCGCTACTGATGACGGGGGCAGCCAGAGCGCCGCTCGGGGGTGGCGCGCGCGCGCGCTACACAAAACAACGATCGCGAGCGTGTGTGCGCACGGGCCGGCCGGAGCTGCGATCGCGGACCGCCGCCGCCGCTGCCGCCACATTCATTCGCGATCGATTGCCATAGGAAGCATGCGTACGGGGCCAACTCGTTGCTTCCCATAAAAGTTATTCTAAAATTCTAATCTACATCTTTAAAAAACTCATTCGGACGCATCAAAAGTTTTATCTCATAAGAATAATATTGATTTCCGGTTTGATTCCACAAACTTCTAAAATGTTTTTATTAAAATCCAGTTGGGAATTAGTTTCTGCTGAATATAATTGATTTTACTGCGGTAGTTTTAGAAATTTCTGTTTGTAGAAAGTTTTTATTCAATTTAGACAAATAAACTCCCCGAAATAACAAATTTTTGGCTGTAGATATTTTTACTCCTGCTAGGAATATTTCTATTTGATGGGGCAATTGACGTTGGCATTCTAACGTCTGCGATCGTTTCCAGTTTTGATGAATGCCAACTTTGCTCGTAAAACTTACACAGTTCGCGCAATAATTTCAACTTGAGCCAGGGTGAAAATTCCAAGGAGGCCGAACATAAACATCGTTTGCGTACTTTCGTGTTTTCGCAATAGAATTCCTAAGCACACCAAAAATAGAACCGCAGAAGCCAGTTGCACAACTCCAACTCCAACCCGAGGAATTATTTAACAATTTACCAGCGCGGTCATGTCTTACATTTTCAATGCGAGCACATACGAGTACATTATACTTTAAATGCAACTATTTTTTAAAGTTGGCATTAAACATTCACAACCCACTTGCAGAAGCAGCAGGTTTTAAAAGTAGAATTTAGTGGTATGTATTTACCTTGTAGTGCGATCCCGATGCCAGGCTTCGACGTAGAGCATCGCAGGGTCCGGATGGTGTTGCAAGGGCACGCGGAACGTGTGCCCAAAGAGCGGTGCCGTAGATTCCGGTTGTACGGCGGTCCGTTGCAACGAAACTCCGCGCTTGCTGCCGTCGGCGCCGGGCTTCTTCCTGCCGTCCGAGCACCTCTCGTCCAATGCCACCTGGAAAGCCGGAGCATCATCGATTCGTGAGCGTTTGCGTTTTGAATGAGTTATTCATCATATTCATATGCAAATGTGCGATTGCTCCGAGAGAGATCAAAGAGATAAAAGTGGTTTTGCGACCCTCTTGCTACCGCGTCTCGATTTAATTGAATTATAATGCTTCACAAACTCCGAAATTCTTGTCTTGAAATTCGAAAAATTTCGGAAAAAAGTCGAGGAACTCAAGCGCAAAGAAAGTAATCGAAATAAATCTTCTAGGGGGTGAGTTTTGGAAATGTAATGTGTTTGAATTTTTATGTGTGGTTGGTTTGCACATGTGCTAAGCGCGCGTTTCCTCAATTCCTTCTTCCATCAAGGAATTGAGTACCTGTTAACCGGATAATCATTATAATCGAATCGAAAACAGATGGTAACGAGGCGTTAAACCGCCTTCGAATTCAAAAGTCTTGGGGAATTATTAAGAAACGCGTTGGAAAACGCATTGATTATGAATTATGAACTCGGATGCAATCTGGTGCATTTGTAGGTCAAAATAGAATAACCAAATGAACATAATTAACCTACCTTTATATAAGCGTTTACAGCCTGCCCATTCTGGCGCCTTAGGTCTGCACATCTAAAAACTATTCAACAAAAAATTCAAAAATTAATATTTTTCAAAATGAATAAAAAGCATTGTGTATAGGTACCTGAAACACAGAGTTCATTCTCAGTAGGCTTGTATTGCACGTCCAAATCAATGGTGCCTCGGTATTCCTGTAATTCCTTCGTAACTGTGATAGATCTGTTGATTCCTGGACTAGTGACCACATAAGTAGCATTTTCTTCTTCGATCTCGATGCCTTCCGTACCCTCCGAGTCAAATGAATGATCATTGACTGATTCTGACTCCTTCTCATCATTGTTCAACTTTTTTGTTTTCTTCTGCCTGATACATTTCTGCCTCTTCAATTGAGGTTCTTCAATTTTTAAATCAAATTGATTACTTGGACGTTTTCTGGAGGATACATCAACGCAGCGTTCATTGAAGGTACCTTCAAGATTAATCATTGTTTTCTCTTCAAATTCTTCTGTTGTTTTTGTAGTTTTTCTTGAAGATATACTGTAGGTATCATTTGAAATTTCCGTTGTGGAACTTCTGAAGCCTGAGTCTGTTGAGGTTGTAATAACACTACTCCCTGAGATCCGCGAGGTACCTGATGTGTTACTACTACGACATTGTTGCTCATTGATGAAATTCTCTTCCTTGGTGCGATTGCACTCGTTCTCTTCTTCCTCACCATTATCAGGTAGGTCTCCCTGTGAAGATTCAGACCCTGAGGGATCTGAAGATGATGAATCTAATATGGCGTCTACTATTTTATCCAGCGAAAGATCATTGATGAAACTGGAATCATTGGCGTTGGTGTTGCGGGTTGGAAAGCGCCTGGAATCGATGAAGCGTTTGACTAGACTTGGCGTTTCCACAATATGACTTGGAACCATCGGTTTGGGCCGGTATCCTGGTAACCTCAACTTTAACTCTTCCGGAGAAGTTATCAACGATATCCTTTGCAGAAAATCATTAACATGATCAATTTTTGGCTGGCATAGGCTGGTATTGCAAACGGCTGGAGTTGGAGAGTAATCCAACGCAAATGTTGGTAAAGTAGGTGCGTAGCGTTTGCTGACGGGAGTTTTCGAATACTGGCACCCGCAGTCAGTCAATCCAACCGTAATGGGATCTTTATTTGCTGCTGGGTGATAGGAACCTTCAATATGCGAATCTACAGCCTCAAACGGTTTGAAATAATTGGTATTATCCAGGTTTAAAAGAAAGTCTTCCGAAATATGCGCCTTTTCCAGGCAGGGTTTCTTTTTCTTTGGTGAATATAGGGATTTTTTGCAGTCAGAGCGTCGGCGGGCGGAACGAGATGCGTCCTTGGGTGTGAGGTTGCTCACGTCCCGGAAGGCATCTGCCTGGAAGGCCTCGTCCTTGATCGGAGTAGATGTAAAGCGATTTTCTTTGTCAAGGTCCAGACATAGGGAATTGCGGCGGCGGTTGCCACCTGTAGAAGAACGTCGCCGGCCGGTGGACGATCGCCGGCGTTTAGATTTCTGCGCGCTGCCGACGGACGCCGCGGAGGCGGCGTTAGTACACCCGCCCATCGACGAGCGGCGCGCTGTGTCTAAATGTGGAAACGCGTCGCGTTTCGCCACGGTCCACTTCAACATTGTTATTGTAAAATATCTGCAAAACAAAAAATACAAACATATTGAATGACAATCGACAGAAAATGCCGTTAATAAACTAATTTATTTAAATTTAATACGACATGTGTTTGTGTGGTCTTTACACACATGTTACGCTTTTATTCGACTTGAAATGGAAGAAGACGAACACGGAGAAACACAATTTTCTTGCTTTCGTAATCAACTTGGGGGAGTGTGTAACGTCCCACAAACTCAAGTGATTTACGAGCAATTTAGAAGATGTAAACTTGTTATCAACCCATCGCGTCTAATTTCTGCAACTTAATAAATTGGTCAGCGTTGCAAATTTTCGTAATTAATCAAAGCATATTTAGAAAATTCTAAATTCTAAAACTTTCTTCATTTATAAATTGTGCTTTGTTTTGTGTTGGTACAAAGTAACAAAGATGCCAGACACCCACCACCTGATATTATTAGATATTAGTGCGCTATTACGAACACCTGCACCACTTCCGCTTCCGATTTTGATCTCACTCACTCTCGCAGCGCCCAAAACCCTAATATAAAATAAATAAACTAAACTGTAGCGGAGTAGTGGAGTGCTGCTAATGTTGTGTTAGGCATCACCATTAAATACGACTTAGAACGTTGGTTGTTGGCTGGAAGACGAAATCAATAAATAACTACAAATTGTGGCACGCTTGACAACTCCACGGGTCATAAATAATGTGACGCAATGAAGATTTAAGCATTAAAAAACGTAAAAAGCAAAAAAAAAAACTATGAATGCATGTTGATTTATTGTTGTAAATTTTGGAGATTGTCATGTGGGACAATGAATTGAAGAAAAATTGGAAATAAATTCGGAATTTTACAAATTTTTGGCATAGGGGTGTTTTTTTCGCCAGGCAGCTGTTTTTTAACGTGTCTCTTAAAAAAAACTAAAAATAAAGAGTTTTGCGTGTGAATTTAGCTAAAAACACTTTAATTTTTGGTACAATTCCTTGCATAATACACTCATTAGGTTAGGTAGAATCAGTGTCGATGGTACCCTTCACTTTCTGCAGTTCCCACATCCATACAGTTTTCGCTTTCTATCAGACCGCGCATTCCGTTCTGGTTTCGTGAGCATTAAGAAAACAAAAACATTTCGGTCCCGTTTCGAGACACGATCGACATGCTCGGAAGGCACCCCTCGTGCCAAGTTAATTCACTTTCCTTCCTTTTCAATCGCTGCGTTTTGTGTCCCGTTACTGGAACACGCTCGGTCTGCTTTTCTGACCTGGCGTTCCAGATCCACAGAAAAAAAAAATGCAACCCCGACAACCACGACACCCTTTTCTTACGCCCCTGTTTCAAAGAAATGCTAATGCTTTAACGGCCCGTTTGGGAATGTTGTAAGCATGTGGGACTCAAGCAGGAGTTAAACTGATGGTGAGTGAAAATCATGCGAAACAAGTTTTTCTCGGCGTGTCTTGTTGCTTGATTTTTCCTATCGGGATCTAGTTTGGCTGACTACGTGACTGTCGCTGACCCTAAATTCGAGTCGAGCATCAAGCCCAACAATAAAACTAATTTTAACGACTTTTAGCTTCGACAAACTTTCAAGTCGTTCGTATTAAATTCAAGTTTTCTGGCCATGAGTCATCCTTTAATGTTCATTAGACTTAAATTGTACTTTCTATCTATTCAAAAAAAGCTTTAAAAACGAAATGAAATTCACCAACGGTAAGACTTTTTTGGTTTATTTTTCGCCGGTTGAAAATGCAAATTTGCCTAATCTCCGCGCCGGCAAAGAAATCGATCCCACCCGTCTTGAAACCGTCCACGTGCCCATTGAAATTCAAACATTCCTCTCTTCTGCGTACATCTTCGGCGTCCACTTGGTAGTTTTTCTGTTTGCGTTTTTGATATTCGCTTATTTGGTCAGCGTGCATCTTCCATCATCTCCCTCATCATTCACGGATCGGTCACCTACCGCTACCTTCGGGCTACGGGGTGGTTTTTGTCGAAACATCTGCTTCCGTGAGGAGGAAGACGAGAGCCGCGTGTGCAAAAGAAATACGAAACGAAATCGAAAGCGAAATCCCGCGCACGCAGTATATTCAAACCGCTTCCACCTGGCGACGAGAGGAAAACATATCCCGTCTTAAAGCTTAAATTCCATCTCAACTCCTTACGATTCTGAAGAAATTCAATGCGATTCGAGCGCCAAAAATCGCGTCCCAGCTTTTTAACACCCGTATTACAATGCATGATCTAATTTTCAATAGTCTACCCTTAATCCATGCAGGTAATAGCGTATGTGTGATGTAGGTCAAGAAAAGGTAACGCGCAGACCCGAAATTTACCTCTTTTCACAACACAATATATTGTGTGATATTCTCACAACGTTGGTTATGTTAACCCAACGACTCACTGACATTGTGCTCTTGATATTACCTACCTTTCATGAACTTGCAATATTTGACTATTCATCTGCAGTGTAGCGCATGAATTGATAAAATGTAAAATGTGAAAAGGTAACGAAAACTCAACATGCTTTTCCCATCAGGGATGTGCAATAGAAACGGATGACCTAGTTATATGATTCTTTAAAAATAGAAAATGCTTTAAAGAGATGCTGATCAATTCACAAAAAAAATATTTAAAAATATCAAAGTAGTGAATCATTAATCATATCAACGATCGCAACCAATTGAAACGCAATGCAAACTTTATTAAACCCTCTTGAACACCTTGCAATTCAAATTTCAAGCACGAGTATTAAATGTCGTGACTATTGACTCGTGTGCAAACACGATTTTCATCGAAATAACCATGACGCTGCGAAATTCACCCCTTCATTCTTTACGCACCCAGCTTCCAAAGTTCTAATCTCAGATTCGCATTTTACACTCGACGCTGAATGGATACGGGCGTTTTAATGATGTTTTAAAAAAGTGCGGATAGAAAAGTTAATTCAGCGATGATTAATTGATTAATATGTGAAGCAGGTTTTTTTTAACAAGTCATAAAGTTGCAATTTGTTATCATCATTTTATGTAATGATTAGAGCTATTTTTTGCTTTTGTTAAAAAAGTTTATTGTTTGTGAAATGATTGATTCTTTTGCTTTGTAATACGAACATTGTTGTAGGTGAAAATGGTGGATTGAAAAGATTTAGGTATAGCTCGATTAGTGAGTAAGTAAGTAATAAATTGAGAAGTTGTGCGTGTTAGCAAAAAATTATTAAACAGCATAATAATCGGTTTTTTATATTTATTACCAAAGTAAATTTAATTTGATTCAACATAAATTATTTTTCCGAATTAAAATTTTAAACCAACAGTTTACCTAGCATTTAAGAGCCAATTAATTTCATTACCATCGTAAATTAATTAATCGAATATAAAATTTTTAGATGTTTAATTACTGGATCTTAATTTGCATTAACAGTCTACGTTTTTTTTCCTTGGCTCCGGTGCACTATGCATAATTCCCTACTAATGAATCGGCGGTGTTTGCATTGTGGACGCGAGAAAGTCATTGCCGAAGCATTGCGTAGCTGTAAAGCCCTCCACGACACAATCGTGCATCGTCACCGCGCAATTAAGCGCAGTCTTGCGTGTTTTATGGCTGTTTTAATGCCGAATTTACATATTTTCATGCATACAAATGCCTGAAAACGCTAAAAGCAGAAAAAAACGCAAGAAATGCAAAGAATGTCAATCTAATTGTATACATTACTATTGTGGATAAATTGGAATTTTTTTATAGAGCATTTACCCTGGAGCAAAACCAGTATTTATGCATTTTATGCTCATAATTTCATTAGTCTGATAATTGTGAGTTATTATCGTATTGCAGGTTGGCGTTGTGATATTAAATGCGATTAAAAAGTACAAAATACCCTACAGTTCTAATTATAAAGCAAAATAATCAGATTAATGCACATACAAGCGAGGGCAAAAAATATCTAAAATCAAATCATTTCGAAAAACGTTATTTTAACCACCACGAGGGTGAAAACCTCGTAAAAGACTATAAAAATCAAATAGCACGTACTATACCCAGTATTTTACAGTTATGACCAGTTATCTGTTTATCAGGTGACGTTGATGAATACGTGCGAGCGTAATAACCCCGTCAAATTTCGATTGTATCATTATACGATTTGTACCGTTACCGCCGCAAATAGAATGCAAAGGGGGTGTTAATGTAAAGCGACCATTTGATTTTTCGAAATGTACACGTGTGCGTTGTTAATTGGAAACAAAAAAATTTACACTGATACAAAATGGTACAAAATAAATCAATTTTTTTGAAAGTTTTTTTTTTGTGAATATAAAAACGAATGTTTGGTTTTGATTGACCTGAAAGTGCGTTTTAAGTATGGCACTTATCGGTTCACCCCAAATGGCAAACACCAACCCCAATGACTAAATTCACGCCCGACTAAGCAGACTTTATTTCGTCGCCAGAGTGTTTACGCAACGTAACAAATTAGATCAAACGTTCAATCGTGTCATTGTAATATTCCGTCGACACCTTTTTTGCTGCGCTCTTAACGCACGCGAAACGAGCAAACAAACGCGCTTTGAATAAATTAACAGCATAATACAAAACAGTCATTTTAATCCGCTCGACTTAGCCCTCAGCGTAATGTTTCCGCACTAATAAGCCTTTTATTGATACGCAGATCATTCCACCCTCTAACTAAACGTCACAGATTAGCTCCTAAATGGTTCCTAACAACAATAAAAAAAGAAACATTGCTGTAAGCGGTGTGTGTTTCTTGGTTTAATTTCGCGTTTAGTTATATTCAGTGTATCCGTTTCATGCGAGAATGCAAATACAAAGTGGAAGTGCACCCGTCGCGCACGTCAATCATTTGCAGCGTGAGCACTCACTCGTGTCGAGGCGCAAAAGTCGAGCTTTCTTGTCCGTCGGACGTTCGCGTGACATATGGTCCGAACCCCATGACCGTTTTTTGCCCCCGCGGACGCGAGCCAACGATTTAAAATACTCTACAACGTTTTGTACCAATTCACACTAAACATCATCATATAATCAAAAAACTGCTTCAAAAAAATAAACAAACAAAAATTTATTACTTTCTTTGGTGAATACGTAATCCATGTTATTTTTTATAAATATAAAAATATTTATATTTATACATAAACTGTTTATGAAGATGCCCTCTGGGCGAAACATGTCAAACTCAACAAAAACCTGTAAATCCAAAAAATCACGTTGTAATTTTAATCAATAAATATTTTTATATTTATAAAAAAAAAAAACAAAAATTTATTTCTCATGAAATTAAATTTGTGCGAATGTTTTAATTCAATAAGAAAATTTGCATCCAAATGTTAAATATTCAAATGAGTATACGTTGGCCGGTGGCTACTTGGCTAGTTGTAAGCAAGGTGATCGTTTATCTGCAACCCCGAACGGTTGCAAGCCAACCAAACGTAACGCAACAATAATTCACTGCATAAATTAATAGTCAAATGAGTTTATCCGTATTTTCATGTAGAGTAATTCCGCGTAATGTACAGCAATGCACCGCGGACACGTCGAAACTGTTAACGAACATTTTAATCGCTCTCATATGGCGCCGCTAATTAACATCAACACTATCATGCAAAAAATAGATGAATATTAATGAAACGCCACTTGAAGCGACACTTGAGATGATTGTGATGATAGCGGCCGTGGACAATATGCTGGTGTTGTATGCAAATGTAGCGATTCATCAAAGCGTTCAAACTTCCTTGATGAAATGATAAATGATGCAGACTTATTTACATATTTCATAACGCACGAAATTAATAACCAAGCGATTAAAGTAACGTCAAAACCAAATGTTTCTTTTCTGTGCTGTTGGAGTTGTTAATGGTAATTTTGGCGCGCAAAACAATAAACTTTGTTTTCTTATTGGAATTCTACAAGTCTGGGTCGGGTTGGTGGATGACCGAACGTGGTTTTAGACTGACTTCAGAGAAGTAAGCGACCAGTCGTCCTTCGCATTCGCCAACGCACAAAAAAGTAAAAAATATTTTTTTGTCTTTTCAAGGTTAAAGATAAAACTGAAACATTTATTGCCATTTTAATCATTTAATTTTATCATGCAATGTTCTGTGTTTCCGTTCTCATGATTTTTTCAGGATATCTTTTGATTTTTTGTGGTTTGTGGTTTTACACTCGTTACCCAAACGCGCTCAACTTCGAGCGTGATTCTTTTATTCGGAAATCATTGAGACGTAAAAATTAATTGAGTGGAAACAAGCAGAGGACGCAATAAAATATATTAAAATTTTCCATTTACGAAATATGTACGTTTATTCCTTAGATAATAACCTGAGAAAATATAATATAAGTGCCTAATCGTTTTTTTTTCTGTGACAATAAAAATGTACTTATCAAAATGAGGAGAACTATAATTAGGTTGTGATTATCGTATTTCTCATTGTGTTTATCAACGCCATGTGCGTGTGCTCCACGCACTTCCTCATCTAGGCGTCTCGCATCCGCATCACTGCTAATGAATGGTCAATTCCTGGTCTGAATGAATGACCCATATCATTTCGGGTTATTACTCCACGCCGGGCTAATATGCGTGCATCGAGCGTGCCTCATATTCTTAGTGAATAGTTATGAGAACCAATGTGTGTGAGAACCGTGCCTTTCTGTTAATAATTTCCACCCCGAGTTCCTAAATGGGACCGTTTCAAGCTCGGCTGCGCCGCGTAAACCGACAAAACAAACACGTGAAAAAAAGCCATCGTAAAATTATTAAATATTTAATTTGCGGCGGGGAATTTTAATAAAGTCATATTAAAGATTTATGATTTTGGCAATAACGTTAAAAATTTGTATATAGATTAAAAGCGCAAATTTTTTACCTTTGTTTTTTGAAGGTAGAAAATAAATTATTTTTTTTAAGAAGGGTGCGTGTTGCTTGAGTACACCTTCAATGCCCTTAACTGATTTTATCGCAAACTACACCGTCCACCTCAAAATACTCAAAAATATATCTAGACTAGAAAGGAAGTATGTGAAACTAAACGTATGTGAGTCTAAACGTATGATTTTCGTAACTTGAAGGGTAGAAAAGTGTCACGCAAGAAAAACGTCGCGTTCGGTGTCTTTAATTAGTCACAGATCACAAATAATCTAAGAAAATTTACTTTTACACCCAAAAAAAATTCTCACAGTTATAAAATAGACTCTTTCAAATGTTTCTTCTTTTGGGTCGACCATTTGTCATTCACCTCACACTGAACGTGGAGAACCTTTTTCTTGTCAACAAAAAAAATCGCTTAGAGTCGAGATTTCGTCTTTTTTACCTATTTCAGATTGAATAACCCATTGGAAATGGCCGAATAAAGGATTCGAGGTAGAATATTTCGCAGCAAAAGAAAACTGACACAGGGGATGAGAAAATAAAAGCGTTGCTCCTTTTACAAACACCTATTGAATTATTTCTCTTTAATACGCGCCACCATCATAATCATAACATTCATAACGATAGCAGTGGATATTTTTGTTACATTCGCTATAATGTAAATTCTATTCTTTACGTACACCCTACGCTGCGTCCTGATTTACTATGGCATTACTCTAGGTACCCACATGTTTTAGTAAAATATGCATTTGAATAGGCGCGCATCTCAGGAGTACTTTCTGCGGTTCTACGCGCATTTCTATTTATTCTACGCACGCATAGAAAACTAACAAAATGTGCTAGTAGGAAAAGTAGTGCGCGTGAAAGGAAATGCAAGATTTATTGTTATCAGGAGAGGGCGCAAGGCAGCCATATGTGTATAGAATTAACATTAAAATCAAAGCGGCGATTGTCATTGTAATCGAGACGCAACAAATTGAAAAAAAAGGGTTACAGTTGATGAATGCCGTAAAACCGTAATCGCATTAACGACTGTTCGCATTATTAAATTTTTCTTAAGATTGTAGTTAAAAAAAATTTGAAAAAAAAAAACAACTTACTTTTTGCTGGTTTCAGCTGAATGCAACTCCAAAAATTGGAATTTTGAACAGGGTCAAGACGTCTGCACGTTTTCCATCACTAATAACTAGTGTCCACAAAATAGTCACAATATCCGTTCGCACTGTTCACAGTTTCAATCAACTTTGACTAGATTATACTAGAAACTCGCGTTGAAGCTCGCGAAGTTGGAGGTAGAACTGGCGCTTAAAATAGATGATAGACGAGCACGCACACACCTTGTTGCTGAGGCAACCGGCCACTACCGACTGATTCGACATAGCCAACGATTGCCACCAACCTACCTTACCACTCTTGGCGCTATTGAGGTGAGCGATAGCGATGGGTACCATCTCTGTCCCACCTTCATTCTGGGCAACCCTCTCACTCATATGCTTGGTATTCGTGTGTGTGTCAAGGTGTGCTGTGGCTGCCGGGTTTACCTGCGGCTCCGGGGGGCTCCGGGTGCGACGTACGCGCGCGGTCACGACGTCTGGAGCGAGCGCGACCCCTCCGGGTGTGTGCCCTTCGCATTTGGACAGGCAGCAAGCAAAAAATACCCACACACACACGCAGAATGTATAAAGGTGTATCCACGGACCTTTTCTTGGCGGTGATCTATCAATACACGTAAGACCCCGACTCAGGAAGGAAGCGAGACAGATCACGATGCGTAAATTTATGAAACGGCCGCGACGCGCGCTCGACATTATGCACGAAAGGGGCATAAATCTGCTGCCATTCGGCATAATAGGTGGGTTGTTTGTAGGTTGGTCTGTACTTTTATTTCGGAGATTCGCTAAGGAAGGCATACAAACAGGAATCAAGACGGAAGAGAATTTCAACTCGAATCTGGATCGCAAACAAATGATCTAATTCAGATATCATGACACCTTTTTGTGGAATTATGAGCGTTTTTTTTATTTTGAGAAAAACAAGTTTTATTTTTGCGGCGATAAATTTGCTTTGCGGATGTTATCTGAATGGGCCCAAAGATCCAAAGTCAATTTTACGGATGTTATCTGTGGAATAGATGAAAGCTTTTGGAAAACATCCATATTTCCTCTTTTTTGCCATATTTGCCATTTGTCAGATTTTATGTGACAAGTTTTTGGAATTTTGCGCGTTTGTTAAAATAATATGCATCACACAGCTTGCATTTTTGTAGAAAATGATAAAGAAATTACTCACTGATAAGTTTGTTTTGATATTTTACTTCGTATTAAATTACTCATTGTATGCTTTCTGCATATTCAGCAAAAAAATCATCAAGTTTCAACGTAATCAGTTTAATAACTCCACATAAACTTTTAAAAAAATATTTTTTTAAATTTTTGCAAAATTGCATATTATAAAACCTATTACCCAACATTGGCACTTGGGTAACGCACCCATCAATCATTGTATTCCAAAAGTTATGAAGTACCTACCGTCCCACGTTCGACACATCCAACAAAAAGGGTTAAGACGATTCTCCCCATGGGACTTTAAGTTACTTCATTCATACAATCGGCAGCTCACAGTAGCCGCTTTGCATGGATTACACATTATCATAATCATTTTGCAATTGTTAAATTTTTTCTTAATCTTAATCGTAATCTTGCAGATTAACCCGTTTAGTTAATCAAAATCTTATACTAGTACCGCACGCATGTAAGTACATACAGCTAAAGACGTTATCGATAAGCTTTTTCCATCTGGCGGACGCGTCTGTGACACGCTGCAGCGTGCGTCAAACAGGTGTACAAACTGAGAATGCAGAATGTAAATGTACAGCGTAAAACGGCTTACGTCTTACAAATATAATCTTTTCGCAGATGGTGATTGTGTAGGAGTCGAGAAATGAGATTGTACGCGACTTGTTTTTGTAGAGCCAACATTTTTACAGACTTACCGTTTTCTATCGAATTTCTTTTTGCAGTTGTTAGCTACTTTTTCGGCTAGCAAACAGATTAACTTTGTTTCCATGAACGAACAGGTGTACAAACTGCCTGGGGGCTTATCACTGCTTATCGTAATCATGTAATCACATTCCGGAGCGCAAAAATCACATTATTATGTTTAAAAACATAAAAATTGAACTTCTGAGGGTTTAAATATGAGTAAACGATGTTTTGTTTGATTAATAATAAAATAAATATAATGGGATTCTATTATCACGTGCGAAAGTCATTCGAATGTAGTTTGTATCAACGCTGCAACGTGCACGTCATAAAAGTGACTTTTATTAGCATTGATATTTACATAGCAGCGGGTTTCTATTCTTCCGGTGTGCTAAACACCGACGTGAAACCGTGAATGAGCTCGTATCAGCATTTTATGACAAGCACGACCACCGCAAACACCGCACGAAGCGAAATTCGAACTGAAACATCTCGAAAATCGTAAAAATAATGATCATTTAAACTTTACAGCCGGGCGACAATAAAAACACACAATCGTTTCGCAGACAGACGCCTAGGGATGGGGATTTGGGCAAAAACAATCGCTCATATCGTAAAGCTGAAGAATTTTACTGTTTGCAGCAGAAATAGAAAAAGATGCGAGAAAGTGTTGCTCCAGGGGACACAAAACAATACCAAAGGGGATCTTGAAGACTAAAGGCGAAAAAAATCATGGCTGTAATAAATAACTACCGATCAGTGTAAGTGAGGAGTATATTTATATATTTATAGCTTGTAGATGTTTGAGCGTCAGTGAAGTGGCACTTACTTTTATTGTCATCCGTCGCGACTAGACGTGATTCGGTCGAAATGTTCGGGTTTATTGAAATTTTACACTTTTCGCGCCGAATGATTGCTAACCAGCATTTTTTCTGACGTGGAATGTTAAATTATTCACCCAAATGTCTTCCAGTTACGGTTATTTAGCCCTCTCGTAAATTCCGGGCATTATGCAAATATTGGACACTTTTTCTTCACCTACTTAGTTGCAATTGCTCGACAGTCCAGCTTGTTAGCCAAAAGATTTACGCATTTGTGCCTAATCCCTTGTTCCTGTTGTTCCTCGTCTTGGTTTTTTCTTCATCTGTTGGGTATTGTGATGTAAAACCGGAGCAGTTTTGCGCAACTTCACCGGCATTTCGAAGGTTGCAAGAGGCGCTTTTGTAATTTTTCTCACACTTTTTCGGTGATAATACCGAAAATATCTGCTCTCGTTCTGGGCGAGAGGGTCGGTGTCGTGGAAAGGTAACAAAAAAAATGCAAACGGTAAGAAAAGGTGAAATAATAATGCGTACAAAAGTTGTTACCGTTGCCAGTCGCAGGCATTGTGTGACGCGTATCGATTGTGCGATATGTGTAACATCGGTGTATTGTATGCATTTGACGTTTTTGTGAAATGCGGAGCGCGACGGCCAAAAACCAAGCTGCAAGCACACACAAGGCGAGAGAAGGAAATACGTACGCGGTGCGGAACTGGATGTTGGAACCTGGAAGTCGTCTCCGGACGGGAAGGAGACAGTATTGTTAAGATTTAGTGTGACATACACTCGAATAAGCTTCCTTCATTGAAGCAAATATTCACTGAATAAAACTATGTATATATTTTTTGGTTTAAATATATTTTTTTTAACATGTTTTGCCCTGCGGGCATCATCTGAAACTGACTATTAAATAAATATAAACAAATATAAATATATTTTATAATATTTTTTATTTAATTTTTGTTAATTCATAGCCGATACAGTTGAAAACTTTTTATATTACAAATTGAAAATAATTCCGGAAATTCATTAAATTCGATTTGATTGACGTTTCGCGTGCATGGATGGATGCAATATCTTTTCTGTCGATGTGCACGCTTTCTTAACAATCAATGCAATCATGTTTTTGCTCTAAATCTGTCTCCGTCTGCTCGACTAAGCGCATTTTTCACCTTTGTGCTCGCCTTTTCATCAGCCGGATAGTTTCCTACTCGAATTATTTGTTTACTTCTTCATTGGACTCACCAAAATATTGGGTGCACTCGAATTCAATTCTACAGAGTGTTTTTAAAAACATTTTCTTTTACAAAGTTTACCAGTTAATAGATATTTCTAGTAAAATTTGTTATATACTCTCTGAGTAGTTATGAGATTTGTCGTTCGGTTGCGCCGACCTGGCAATTTTCTTCGGCTTTCAACACAAAAACCACATCGGTGCTTTGTCCAACCGCCTGGCGCGCGCAAAATTTAAAAGTCTTGCCTGCACGAATCAATATTCCACCCGAAATAAACGCACCTGGAAGTCGAAGACTTCGTGTTTCGCGTTGTTCCTCATTCATTCATTCATCGAGGGCATACAGCATCCCGACGCGGATATTAAAACTTGGGCACATGCTCAACGCCACGTATTATTACGCAACGACACATGCGAACCACGAAGAATACCTCCGACCCGAAACGATTCAATGCACTGCGCTTAAACCCTGGGTGTCATAATAATATAATGCTTATTTTCGTCGTCTTTTCATTTTTTCGTCTGTTGGCCAATAACTGACTGTTGGCATTGCAAGCATCTGTGTGGAAGACATTTAGCACGCTTCCAGCGTCAAATCTTCGCCGAAACAGAATAATCTTTGAGATTTAAGAGATTGGACTGGAAAGAATGCGGCCGGTGTTAGTATTTTCTTTGTCTTTTTAGGAATTTTGCTTCAAGACAAGCCAAGCAAGTCTGAAAGAAGCAGACGCCGGTAAAATATGCGTGGAACTTGATTCAGACGCCGCATTTAAGAAGGGCTTACAAATCGTAACACGTAACAACAACAGAAGCCCCAGAAACCCGGAAGCACTTAAGGAATTTCTTATATCCTGCGAGTGTACTTACGAAATTGTGTGTCAGGTTCTAAACACAGGTCCTCAAGTGAAATACTCTGTCATTACCGGAATAAACGGTGCATAAAATTATAGATTATTAGAGAGCCCTGATTCAAGCCTGGAAAACAAAATGGATAACTGTCATAATATAACTGTCAATGTGAGATTTTAACAAATACAACTATTATGTCTAACCGCGAGAAATTTGGTATTTTATTGTGGAAGAACTGGCGTCTGAAGATCCATCGTCCGGTCCGAACGATGTGCGAAATTCTGCTTCCGGTGCTAGCAGTATTCTTACTGGTCATTGCTCGACAATTCCTTCCGAGTAAAACCGTGTTCTCTGTGGCATATAATGAATTTCAGCCAGATCTTGAACTTATTTCAACGTAACTACTTACAAAATGTTAAATTCATAATCTTTAGATGAACTTTCAGTTACCATATTGCCTATGCTCCGGAAACGTCACCTATTGTTAAGGAAATCATGGAATCTGTTAAAAATAAGTTAAACACACACATCCAGGGTTATCACAGTGAAGAAGAGACTATAACGATGTTACAACTTGCCAATAACCCACATGTGGCCGTAATTTTTCCAGAATCGTACAAAAACATGACGAAACTTCCGAAAAAAGTTCAATTTACTCTAAGGTTCAAGTCTTAACATAATTATCAATACATTAAATATTGCTTATTTTTGATTTTTTACTAGATTCGCTGCAAGTGCGACTCCTATAACTTCATGGAAGACTGATCGTTTGTATCCGGTTATTTGGAAATTCTGTCCTCGGGATAGAGAAATAGAAACAACTCCTATGCCTGGTATACAAAAAGTTATTATTTTCTAGAAATTAATACAAAAGAATTCTTCTGTTTTTAGGTTATGATCAAAGTGGTTTCCTTGCTTTGCAAAACGCCATCTCTGAAGAAATAATTGAAATACACAGCAACGCAAAACTTGTCCCACAAATTTACCTTCGAAGATTTCCATATCCAGATTACCGAAGCGACATTTTACTCGTATTTTTGGACAAACTGATAGCCGTATGCATTATTTTGGGCTTTAGCCTGCCAGTCCTGTGGTTAATCAGAGATATTGCAATTGAAAAAGAAATTGGCCTCAGAGAACGAATGAAACTGTTGGGAGCCACCACAATTATTCAATGGACTGCCTGGTTTAGCATGTCTTTCATCTGCGTATCAATCACAGTGTTTCTCATTGATATGGTTTTGAAAATCAGTTTTTGGTATAAAGGTGAAAGCGTCGCATTGCTGCATCACACTGACGCATTGATGATTCTCTTTTTATTACATCTATACGGAGTGGCATTGGTAACATTCTGTCTAGCAATGGGTGTGCTTTTTAAGCGAGCCAATTCGGCAGCCATTTATGGATGCTGTATATTTGTGCTCATGTATTTGCCTTTGGTGTTGATTTTCTTCAACTCAGGCGTACCTTTTTATTGTTTTGTGATTTTATGTTTGTTCTTCAATACTGCCATGGGATTAGCATTTTATATAATCGTCCATTATGAAATGTCCGGCGAAGGAGCTAATCTTTATAATATGTTTCACACTGTAACTCCGGACCATGGTATTACTCTGTGTGTGGTAATGCTAATGTTGATTGTGGATTCTATTATGCATTTCTGTATTGCCCTGTATGTGGATGAAGTATTTCCGGGACATTATGGAAACCCCAAAAAATGGCATTATATTTTTGATTGTTTTAAGAAGAAAAAACATAAAGGTGTGTTTTTATTTATAAAACCGTGATTTTAGAACAATTTAACCAGTTTAGTAGAAGTTTTTTTAGAATATTCTGACGACGTAGCTTCACCATCGTCGGAATACTTTGAAGCTACTCTGGTAACTTTACCAGTTGGCGTGGAGACCAGAAGGCTTTCAAAATCATATCCCACTCAGCCGGACGCCGTGAACAACCTGAATATGAAACTTTACAGTAACGAAATCACAGTTTTATTGGGTCATGATGGTTCCGGGAAAAGTACCATTATGTTAATGCTAAGTGGAATCCTACAACCAACTTGGGGTTCAATAACATATAATGAATTACAACAAGATCCAAATTTAAAAGACTTCCAACAAATGATTGGCTTTTGCCCACAGCAAAATATCCTCTTCGATCATTTAACTGTTGATGATCACATTTACCTCTTCACAAGACTAAAAGGTGTTGAGTTTCCAATGGAAAATCAGGAGGTGGATTATTACACGAAATTAATGAAAATGGAACATTTGAGAAATACAAGAACAAAACGAATATCCGACGGAATGAAACGCAGGCTTTCGGTGGCGATTGCATTTTGTGGCTTCTCTAAAGTGGTTCTTCTTGATGAACCCACAGCTAAAACAGATCCTGCAACGAGGCGAGCTATTTGGGATGTGATTATCTCTCAAAAAGAAGAGAGAACTATTCTCTCAACTACTCGGTTTGCTGAGGAGGCGGAAATTTTAGGTGATCGCATCGCCATAATCAATAAGGGTCAACTGCAGTGCAATGGTTCCGCAAATTATTGGGAAACGAAATTTGTGAATAAATATCATCTAAGCATTATGAAAACATTTGAGTGTAATATGGATAATATTAACAGCATATTAACTGAAAATTTATCACAAGATTCAGTTAGTATAGTATCAGACACAACCGAAGAAGTAATTTTTGCAATTGCAAAAAGTGATTGTCATCTATTCCCTGGATTATTTGCAATTTTTGAGAGTGACATGGAAACGCTTGGTATTAAAAGTTTTGCAGTTCATTTCACAACAATCGAAGAAATATTACTCAAGTAAAAAGTAATTTATAATAATTAATATGTTTGGTCATTTTTCTATTTCATTTTAGACTTGGCACTATTCCAACAACCTCATCAACAAATATTGTGTCGATTGATCATCACAAGAAAGCATCCGGTCTAAAATTATCCTGTAACAGATTATTCGCTTTGGTTTTGAAGCGTGTTTATTACTTTCGACACAATCGAAGTCATTTTCTAATGATGTTTCTTCTGCCAGTTATTTTTTTCCTGATTGCTTATGCTTTAACACCTGTTAGAAGCCATGACAACTTCATGCCACCAAAATCCATAACAATGGAAGATTACACGCAAGTGGAAGTGTTAATGCAGGACCTTGCAAATGATTCGGTGTATAAGAAATATGCGCAGCGTTTTTTCGGAGATAAGTCGATTGTGTCGAGGAGTGTTGACGATTTGCTCCTGGAATTATTACAGATGATCAAACCAGCTAGACGCGAAGCGCTGCTGTCTTATATTTTGGCTTTGGAGTTATTTGAAGAAACAATTATTGTGTGGTTTAATGCTGAACCTTATCACACACCGCCTTTGGCGTTAAATGTTGCATACAACACAATTTTGAAAAGATTGGATCCTGAATTTGAAATAATAGTGATTAATCATCCGTTGCCCACTGGAGTTTTATCACAGGTAATTTATATAAGTTTGTATTTTGATTAAAATTTGATTTGATTATTATTTTGTAGTTGGATTCACCTTTGAGTAATGGATCGTTAATTGCGTACGTTGTGGTGATTGGTCTTTGTTTATTCGGTGCTGTGAATGCAAAGTTTTACGCTGATGAACGCAAGTCTAAAGTGAGGCACTTGCAGATCGTATCCGGTGTTGGAGGCTGCAAATTTTGGTGGATGGCTTTGATAATCGACTGTTGTTTGTATAGTTTCCTAGTTGGTTTACTGGTGGGAATACTGTTACTCTTGCAGTTTTTAACTTTCGCTGCGTTTGACGATATAGGTAAAATTTCGTAAATTATTTTAGTCAAAAATTATGTTTTATTTATTTTAGTTGTATTTGTGATAGTGTTGATGTACTTTGGTGGCTTCATGCTGCCTGCAATTTATTTATTTACAAGCTGGTGTAGTGCAAAAGTCACTTTAGCCATTATATCCATAGGTAATAAAATTATACTTAATTTTAAATTTATAAATTTAACTAAAAATTACTTTCCAGGAGTGGTGTTTCATATAGCTTTAAATTTCGTTATGAATTCCATATCGGAATCAATTATTACTTGGATTGATAAAGTTTTAAGTTATACTGGAAGTTACGCAGCGGTCGCTGGTCTAATAAAACTCTATGCAGAATCAGCGCGTGTTAAACAATGCAAAGAAATCCTAGATTTATGCCTAAAAACTCTCCCAGTATCCGAGGATGAATGTTGGATTGTGATCGTTCGGTTGGAAGAACGTTGCAAAGAACAAGAAAAACAATTATTCGGTTGGGGCCAATTTGAAATCACAAGATACCTATTTGGTTCTTTACTCATTGGTGGTATTTTATTCCTGATATTATTGCTATATCAATCACATGGGTCTGAAATAGCGTATTGCTGTAACTCAAATTGTTGCCCTAAATTTAACAAACTGCCAATGCATACGTCAAGATCAAACTCGTTCAAAATGATGAAAGTTCCAGATAATGACGTTTTACTCGAAACTGATTATGTGAAAAAATTGACCAAAGCAGAAAGACGGCAAAAAAGTTTGATACTAAGGAATGTGATGCATAATTACTGCAGTAGTATAGCAATTAAAGGAATTAACGTCGCTATCAAACCGTTTGAATCTTTTGTATTCATTGGAGCAAATGGTTCTGGGAAAAGCAGTCTTTGTGGAATGATCACTGGAGACCTGCTTATATCATCCGGAGATATTTTTATTAATGGATTAAGCATTAAAAAAAATCAAAATGCAATTAGTAAATACATTGGATATTGTCCATATTCTCACGCGTTGTTCAACACATTTACCGTTCGTGAAACTTTATACTTTTTCGGATTGTTAAAAGGATACAACTGGAATGAGAGATATTCATTCGCAAACACATTCGCTTCCGAGTTCGAAATAACATCAGAACTGGACGTGATGATCAATCAATTAAGTGTGACCAATAAAAGAAAATTAAATATAGCTTTAGCAATAATGGGAGATCCACACATACTGTGTCTGGATGAGCCTACAATCGGTATGGATCCAACATCAAAACAATATATATGGGAAATAATAAAACGATTCCACAAACGCGGAAAATGTATAATACTCGCAACGCACAATATGGAAGAATGCAAAGCGTTAGCCACTCGTATTGCAGTCGTCTTTGAAGGACAACTCAGTTGTATAGGTACAATACAACATCTTCGAAATAAATTCTCAACAGGGATTATTTTATCTATTCGTCTGCCTATGCCTGCCAACGCTAAAATGGGCACGAAAAAGACAGAAGAAGTGCATACTAATGTAACGCAGCGTTTTCCTAATGCAGTGCTACGTGAACGTCACATGCAATTTTTAAAGTACGAAGTAGTCTACGATGAAGCCTTGAGTTGGTCGCAGGTGTTCGCGAACATGTTGTATATTGATAGCAGCGTATCCGTGCTGGACTTTTCTATCGCGCAGATGAGCTTCGAGAAAGTTTACATGCGCATCGCACGAGAAGAAGACGCGAAACAAAGCACGGAATAATTTCATTGCCGGTTTGTGGTTGTCGGGTTGAAATGGGACCTTGACTCGGCACGCGAGTGAGACTTAGATATATTGCGCTGTAGAGTACAACAACATTGAATATTGTTATATGTGCGTGCGGGTGTTAAACCGCAGAGGGTGAGGCACGAGGAGGATAATAATGTATCATCTGTAGTGTACGGTGCAATATGCTTCAATTGCACGCACCAGCTCATTTCTAGCTAATTAGACATTGATAGACAATAATTAGTATACAGAGTGTTTGGAAAACTCATTTTAATGGTAATTAAATTATAATTTTAATTTAAATGTATATCAATTTGTGAAAATAAAAATATTATACTATAATTAATATCTACCATGTGTGAAAACATTGTTTTTTGGACAGATGACGCGGAAAACATTATATTCCGTACAGCTGGCGCTGAAATCAATGTTTTCCACATTTCTATTGTAAAAATAGTGGCATAACCTCAAAATTTTCTTTATTCATGTTTTATGTCTCGTTTGTAATTTAATTTATTGTTTCCACTCTTGGTATGTAATGTACAACGTATTAAATATTTGTACGTTAGTATATTACTCACAATGTAAATAAATGACTAGTTAATTTGAATTTACAATTTGGGGAACTCAGGTCTCACCCCGTCGACAATTCTATTGATTATCGGGTATAACACAATTTTGATAATAATACACTGGGCTGCAACCCCGTTGAAATCGAACCATATGGGAATTTTATCCGCGCTCAGCCTACTTTCAATTAATTTACCCTATTTTACGCGACCCTCGCATTTCTTTTTTTGTTGACATAGAATATATAGATGTTTCAATATACCCAAACTTGAAAATTCCAATAATGACGACGTTAACGATATTTTTCCGTGGATGAAACCGCAAAACGTGCGACCCAATTTAAAAATTTCACCCCAACTACCCTCAAAAGTTAAAATTTTCATAGATACATACATTTAAAATACATTTAAAATATTTCAATATGCAATTAAGTTGTTTGGAATATTCTAATGTTGTATAACTTGTTGACGTCGTGGTCTGCGCGTCTTGAGGGTGTAGCCGTGTCGGGTGATCGATGAGTACGTCGACGGGAATGTGGGCGTCTTGCATTTTATCACCCAATTAACGCACGTGTGCGCATCTTTAGTCCTTGCTCTCTTCCTGTTTACTCGGTACGCTTGAAAGATAAGTTATTGCCTTAGCCCTGGACGCGGCTATCCCTGCGGGCGAAAGTTTCGCCTCGTCGAGAAAGTTACACGTAATTTGAATAAGTACCGTGTACTCAAATTGGTGTCTACAATTTTGGGGTTGTATCCTTACAAATACTTTTAAAATATCAACTTTCCACGTGTTTTTGGCTTCTGCGGAATGAAGGTAATTTAATTTATTAAAGTGCTGATCATGAAAAATGTAGCAGACCTAAAATTTTTATCTGTGTTTATGTTTATGGATCCGTAAGTGTTATTTCTTATTTCCGGCTTTTTCTTGGTGGACACTGGTGCCATTCGGGGTTGTACCTGGCTTTTGTCACATTTCCGACACTTCTAGTGTTATGATAATGATGTTTTCTATTATGACACCTTGTAATGATGAAAGCCATCGTATAATCCACAAAAGAAAATATTCCTGATAAAATCTCCATTAAAATAGATGATAATCAATATCATTTCCGACCTAGACCCATTTTTCCTGTGTGAAAGTGTTTCGCACAAGTGCAAGCGTTGCAGATTGTGTTTTCTGAGCTTGTAAGCGATGTCTTACACGCTTGCGTCAATAAATTACTATCATTCGATACTTTTCATGGTCCGCATCATTTGGAGGTTCATCCCTTTAATTTGAAGTCGTTACCACGGATCGACCTATAGGACTGTAATTTATGTGGCGAACGAACGCCGAATTAATAACCGTTACCCAATAAAAAGCGCCCGGCACCGTTAGACGCTCGCACGTACTCACTGCTCGGCAATAAAATGTTTTAATGGATTCACCCTCTCACAGGTTCACGACGGTCGTCTTCGTATGTTGTCTTCGTGTGTTGAAATAGTTTCCCTTGAGGTAACATATTTCTACCTTTGGAGGTAAAGGTTTTTGCCTGTTGCTCAGCATGTGTGGAAAATAAAGGTGAAGGGTTGATCTTGTGCCGTTTCTAAGAAATTTACAGATTCAGCTAGTTTATGAACAAGTTGCGATTGGGAAACGATTTAAAAAGGGTTCGACTCTGATTTTTAGCATCTTTCACCCATTAAAAAAATAAAACAGTTATACCTGAGATTTAAAACTTTAACATTTAAAAAACCCTTTAAAACCTTTAAAATTCCAGGTATAATTTAAAATGATGCGTTGGCGGACGAAAATTCAGTTAAACCGGATTCGTATCAATTTATTTCGGTAACGCGTAAATAAATTATTATCGTGTGTACGCAATATCAACAAATTTGTGTCGCCACACTCAACGCTCACAAGTCCCATGCGCACGCCACATGCGATTGTCATTAATAAATATGTATTAAAAATGCAACCCTTTCGGGCAGCGATGCAGAACCGCATTACAGTATTGTGTGCGCTGAAGTGAAGTGGAAACCGATATATATATATATATATATATATATATATATATATATATATATATATATGCGCTGGGTATTATTGCGCGTTGCGTGATCGTTCGATTAGAAGAATAAATTTACCCCATGCATTAAGTATCATATTGCACACAATATGTAAAATAGTATCGCTAATATTCTAATTGAAAACATATTGAATGCAATCGAGCAGAAAATATGAAACATGTTATTATTGATTTGTTCAAGTGTATTCAATATGCGATATAATCTAATTTATTGCAATCAGTGTGTTGTTCGTATTCATATTTGCATCCGGCGATGAATTAAAATGCTAATTTGTGTTTATGAACGCAATGTGGCTGGAATAAATCATCTGTGGCTTTATGATGTCATTTAGATTCTCGACCCAAATGGGGATCAATAAATTATTGGAAATTTACACATGTTTAATTCGGTGATAAAAAAATTTAACGAGCATTTACCTAAATCATTGATCATAAATTAACACCTGAAATAAATTTTTAATGTTTTTCAATGAAAAAGTGTAAAATCAGTTGTTTATAGATGATTTGTAGGAAATCGATATCACAACGCGAAGATTAATGACACAGCATGCGATTTTGCAGTTTAATCAATTCAATTAGTGTTTGGTGAAGCTGTAGTTGCATGTGGGTTTTGAAAATTGAGTCTCGAACAATGCCATTAGGGAGGAGTGTCGAATGTAGCAACAGCTGAGTCTAGAATGGCTAGATTTACGAATAACATAATCATTTTGCATGTTGTGTTGATCCAGACGGGTAGGAGACGTGCGTTTAACGAAGCTGCGACCCTTGTGGATGGCGCAGATTATTTGCAAACGTCATCGGTGGTGTGCGAGAGTGCGGAATGTTATGAAGTGGTGCTTATTACATGTCGCCTTCGATACGCTCAAGCATTTCGCTTCATTTCGATTGATTGTCGAGATATGCTGGGCCCACATTGTGGGCACGTGGGGGCACGTGCTTTTGTCAACTTTCTACTGGCAGTTGTCCGATTTTTCCACTCGCAAAATAAGCAAATAAGTGTACATATTTATTGTATGTATTTATATATCACTAGAGGATTAAATTTAGGTACTCGTAACACTCATTATTTTACAATTCACATTCGGCAAATGGTTAATACGAGTACGAATTGTGCTGAGTATGAATAGTCAATTGAAGCCATCGAGAATAATGGTGTGTACTTATGTGCTAGTGGTGTTTACAGCTAAGGGCACTTCATTAGTTACGACTTCGTATAAGTGCACCTATTGCTCAGATGTTTTTGAGAGGCAGCGCTTTGATCACACGACGGAAAATATTTTGTATTACTGTACGAGTATGAAACAATGCTGTGCACGTGCGGAATGCGAAATTTTATTTTATAAACGACGTTAAAACATTTGTCAAGATCAAAAGAACGCAGGTATTTATATTTTTTAATTTCTTTTATATTATAAAGCTAGAGGAGAAAATATTGTATTATGTAAACAAGCAAATTATTAGTATCTAAGATATAAAAACACGTTTAACACAAAAAAATAAAAATTTTGAATAATTTTTGATAAAAATTAAATTTTAGTTTTATGTTGTTATATTTTATAAATACGGTTAGTCCGAATAATATTTTTGACACCTGTCTCTCCGCATACCTTTTCATTTGTGCGGGTAGTCGTGACAGGGCGGCTGCTAAATGTTTTCATACTCGTATTGCAAAAACAAAATTGGCAGCTTGATACCAGCATTACTCCACTTGAATTGGCAAAATTAAACCGTACATATTCACAAATTATTTTATTTCTTTTCGATTTGTGTATTTTCTAAACCATTTGTTTTTTATGAATGCGTTTTACGTGTTTGTGATTGTCAATTGTCAATTCAAACGTTTTCTAACAAAACGTGCTCGATGTAAATATGCTGGCTACTAAATATCCATAAATGTTGCTTTTGGAACGTGGAATACATTAGCGTCTATACATTGCGCTATAAACGTTGTCACAAAACCCGAAGCAGAATTTAAAAGCAAATTGATGTTTATTTCTGGCATTTTAACACAATTATTGCCGATTTTCATCAATGATATACGATTGAGTTAGGGCTGGAAAAAGTTTCGAAGCTTAACCAACTTTTTACCGTTCAGAGGATAAAAAAGAGTTTTAATTGACTTTGGAATTTAGTCAAAAGTGAAAAACGGGCTTTAAACTTTGCAAATTGGCTACAAAACAAAACAAACTGAATGAAAAAAAAAAACAAAAAAAACTTTACTCTAGATCTTTATTTAATTTAATTTCCGTACTACAATTAATTTGCGCCCAGCACATCCACAAATTCATCAGTTTTAAATTAAAATCTTGCATGCGTAATTAAAAACCTCGATTTGCACCCTTTCACTAAACTTTTAATTAATTATTCTTGTGTTGTAATTTTCTTTCGGGAGGTTTTTAATTTCGTGCCCCAAAATAAAACGCGTTTGTTAATTTCGCCTTGTTGTGTGGTTAATTGTGACACCGAAAATTGCTGCGTATTGCAACGCAGCCATGCTGTTCCGGTTGTTCATGCTCGCTTTAGCATGGTATGCGCCGGAATGCAACTGGGAAGAGAGAAGACAAATATACGGCCGCACGCGGTCCGAACTACTTAAACGCCACATCTGTAACTGTCAGCGATCGGTGTTTCTCTCCCTGTCATCCTGTCTTCGCTCGTGCACGTCAGACGCGCAGAAACCCAACCCGAGGCACTTTCTTCAGAAAGGATTTTTTATTCGTTCATTATGAGCCTTATTACTATATACACGTACAAACAAACGAACGAAAACGCTGTGACATTGTGACGTTTACAGTTGGCGCAAAACTTCAGTAGCCATCTGAGCATCACTGACGTTCTTCAGAAGTACTACGATTATTTACTACACTATGCGGGGAATCAATGCAAACACAAGCTTTGGTGCTTTTACCAAACCGAAAAGCTCGCTGTGAGACAGCGTGACATGTCAAGCGTCAAGCTACTAGTCTCTGACATTCAACGTCCGCAATTTTTTAACTCTCTTTACAGTTTTCAAACCGATAGTGCGGGCGGAGTGAGCTTTGAGCACGTCAAGCTCTCGTCTCGAGTGCATACCATGAATGAGATCAAAAGTACTCCGCTCTACACTCTCTGAAAAATGTCTATGAAGCAAAATTTACATAAAAATTATTTTTTAATAGAAATCGTTAAATTTTTAGTTTTCATCGTTTCGAAGAGCGTTGTTTCGTTGTAACTTTTATCTGGAGCTCATTTAATTTGAATACATGTCGCACGTAAAACGGTGATTTACGAGTGTGGCGCACGCACGATTTACGTTCGCTTTTCATCCGTTTCCTCTGCCATTCCACTTTGGCGTTCAGCTTTTTTCCGCAGCGCAAACGTCGGTTTTAAGCACGACTAAATTTGATAAATACCTTTCGCTCCTCGAAGAGCCTAGCGTGGTAAAAAGTAAATTAAAAGTTACCACTGCTAGGCGCCACACTTATTTATGTTTCGTGTTGTAGAAACACTAAAAACACAAAATTCAACCAAACACAGCAAACACAGTAAAAATAAAATTTAGTTGAATGAGTCAATTGAATAATGTGCGACTGATGGAGTTGATCACAAGTGATTAATTAAAAGTGTGAAATCAAAGAAGCGTGTCGCCTCTATTTCGGTGCATTCATGAGTGACGATTTGTTCCAGCCCGTTCGGTGACCACAACACGCTTAATCATAATTAAATTTACTTCTTTTCTTTTTGATCGTATACGCAAGTTAAGTTTACAAACACAGAAAGTCTGCAAACAAACTCATTCCACCAGAAGTAACATTAAAGGCGTGTTTTCGCCAAGTGAAATCAACGAACTGTTTGCAAATATTCATTTAAGACCGTAAGTAAACCTCTAACGGAAAACACATGTTTTCATTACATGTTTTTCAGCTGATGTGAATATTTTATTAAAATTCACAATTTTACTGAATGCTGTTTCTTGTCAAAAGATTAAATTCGTTAAACACTTTATTTATTACCTGCGACTGCAAGCTGCAACCAGGAAGACGCCAAATTTCCAAACATGATCCAGAGATCTACAAAGCGGCCGAAACAAAAGAATAGATCAAGTCTGTGCTCTTCAGGAAGACAGTTCCCATCCCTCATTGCATTGTGTTTCCGACATTTAGGGTACGTACCTTTACGCACCTCCGTGCACCTCTATTATCATCATTCACTTTTGGGCCTAACTTACATAACTTATCTCATGGGACGGTAAGTTATCTCTTTGAGCGCTTACTGGAGAAGCATCTTCCCCTTTTCATTCACATTCATATATTCGGCAGAATGCAGTTTTTGCAAAGGTACAACACCCAAGGATATCTTGATTTATTCTGTTTGTCTATAGGAGTTTGAACTTAAAAAAAAAATGGAATAAAAATGTTCTTACGTGCGAAGAGAGAACTAGAGATTTTTTTCGGTGCTATTAATGTTTGGTAAGGAGGCGAAAAGAAAATTTAAGTTTAGGATGCATAAAAAGCAATGTACAATAGGAAAAATGATTTGCTTGAGGGTTAGAGGTATGCAAATGTGGGTTTAGAGCTATTCTCTGAGGGCACGCAGCGTTTAATATTTGGTTTTGCGATGAATAATGAGAAATTCAATAAAAAATCTCAATGACAAATCATCTCATGTCTATTCGTACTTTATCCGAGAAAAAAATAAAATAAATAACAAAAAAATATTCGAAAGAATAAAATTATATAGATAGGCTAATAACTAAAATAAAAATAAATTGATAAATTTATTGAATAGGTACAACAAAAAATTTGTACTTTGAATAAAACTGTTGAAATTCTCTAAAAATTCCGATAATAGTTATCATGATATTACCAGGCACGTGCTGCATGTCTATTTCATTCCTTTCTTCTTTGAGTTTACAAAGAAGCAGGTGTGTGGCGAGGGGCTCCGGACACTTGAGAATATTCCGCCCTCATGACACTAGCGCACACGCGTAAAAAATACCTGCGTATCGTTTTAATTGATGTATGCATTGCTGACCGTATAATTTCCGTAGCCGGGCGGCGGGCAAGGTTCTCCAGCAATTTAGATTTTTATTGTGTTCTTTTTATTACTCGAGATTCTCTCACCTGCTCCCGCATAACGCGTGCACGTCACCTTAGTGATGAGAGTTTTAACGACTTGAACGTTAAAATGAAATTATTAAAATAATTTGCAACTTTTTAGACAAAAGAATAATAGTTTCCGTCTTTGTGGAGGTTTTAAAGTTTATTAGGGCCAATTAGTAGAGTAATAACTCACCATATTATAACTCATACATCTCTTGGGTTGTCTTCAGCGCCAGTGCGTCTCCACACACGACACATGATTTGTCTGCATCTCAAAGTGCGCTTCCACTGCGTCGCGCCGCCACATCTAAAGACATCAGACGTCGTCTGTCGTCATCGTTGTCTCTGCAACCCGCGTACCGCCTCCGAAAACGCCCCCTTTTCCGTATTTCCTCTCTGCGCGCACAACGCTCGTCTAAATTTATGAGCCAAGTATTTACGAATATTTTGGCATCAAAGGCCTCGGGCCCAGTTTGAAACATTGCCGCAAAGGAATTGAGTCGTTTTGGCGCGGACAGCATCCTGTGCACAAGTTTGTCTCAGTCACATGCACTCAACGCGCTTAAATTATCCCAGAGTAGAGTAGGGATAATTTAACTCGCATCCCGACCAATGAATTTTCCTCATCTGAAAATTAAATCACTAACGTTACACCTCCTTTGTGAGATGTGTAAAATTTTCGTTTGGTAATAAAAATAAACTTAAGTCAATGAGAAGCAAGCCACTTAGCGGTTTTGTGAGGCTCAGTAAAGCTCGAAAGTGCCAAAAGTTGCGGGGGTATCTTTCGACGTGCGAGATTATTAGATTAAGCCCGATTAGTTGAAGAGTGCTTGTGGTGTAAACATCGCATTAATATTCATTTACGGCGCGCACGGTACCAAAATAAAAACATCTAATAAGCTAATTGGTAGTTAATCGAGTTTCTAATCGCATCTGACTTGCGCATACTGGACTCTAATTCACATCAACGAAATTGAATTATTTTTTACGTGCGCCATTCACGAGTAGTAAAATTTAATTTCAATTTGGTGACACCAACAAAGTTAGCAACAAGTGCATTAATTATGCTCGGATTTAACAGCGGCGCGCTGCAATTGACGGGATTTGATGAAAGTCTTGCGCTGACGGGAAACTTGGAAAGTCTTAATAACCCTTCGACGACGAACCTGAACGCGTTGCATAACGTTGTTAACTTAACAAGCAATAATCGAGACTTTACAGTGTGCAGCTTATTGAAAGCGGATAGTAATTCAACGGAAGATGTTACGCTTGGAAAACATAATAATAAATATCTGCAAGAGGATGAAATTACTGAGTGTGTCAAAGATTATGATCAACAAGGTGAGTGGATATATTTGTTTTGACGTCGCGTTGACAAAATCAAGCAACTGCAGTTTTCTTTGTCGCCTTCACTTTACTTTAACGTTCAATTAGTTTTATGAGCAAATTTCGTCGCTGGGCGCCGAAATTCGAGGAAAAGCAATTTGTACGTTTACGATTTAAGTTGTGTTGAAATAGATTTCAGTGTATTTTTACTTTTATTGTCTTCTACACTAAAATAAAATTTACAAGAAAAAAAACTTGAAATTTTCAGATTATAAAAAAACATTTCACGATCACAAGAAACCCCGACGCAATCGAACAACGTTTACGACCGCACAACTAAACGCATTGGAAAAAATCTTCGAAAAAACTCATTATCCCGATGCGTTTGTGCGCGAAGACCTCGCGACGAAAGTAAACCTCTCCGAAGCGCGTGTCCAAGTCTGGTTTCAGAACCGACGAGCGAAATTCCGCCGGAATGAACGCTCGTCCTCCACATCAGCTTCAACATCATCCTCGGTTATAACGACGATAAGCAATATTCCGACAAAGGGAAAAGATTACCAGTTATCAGTAGGAACGCCTGTTGCTCCCGTTCTGCCTGTCAACCCGAATGTGAATGCGGAACTGCAGCATTACATGATGACACCGTGGAAGTTTGCGTATCAACATCGTGCTGCACCGGACGACGCGACACAGTTGTATAACGGTGGGTTGCAGGGACATTTCCTCAACTGTTGCAATATGCCAAACATGAATCTAGCAGGAAATGCGGGTGGTGCCACAACAAGTGGTTTTGCGTACATGAACATGAATGTGAATCCTCGCTATCGATCCGAGTTTCATCATCATGCACATGGGCACCATTCTCATTCACATGGACAATTTAATCAACAGTTGAATTTATAGATTATGTATATTATTAGTCAATTTAGCATGTGCAACATGTGTTTTAAATGTTTAGAAATAAAAATAAAAAGATTTTTAAAGTTTTTTTTATTTTTTCTATGTTGCAATGCAAAAAACACAACTAAATCAAGAAATACGACTATTTTTATTTAAATAATAATAAAAAATATAAATTTGCGTTTTTCGTTGAATATTAAATTAAAAATGAATTTCAGAGGTCAAATTTAATGTCTTTGTAAATATTTGCGTAATAACTATCTTCTAATATTGCATGAAATACAATACCTACGAAAATATCTCCTAGTTTATGAAAATACTCCTGTAATTCTCCTCTGCTCGTTAAATCTAATTAATAACAACGTAAAGTAATTACTAAGTTAATTAGTTTCAATTTAAACTTTATTCAACTGCTCACGACTGAAATTACTACAATATATCTAATATTTATGAGATGAAATGCATTATTAAATAAAATATTTTTAAAAATTCTTAAAAATTAAATATTAACTTCATTTACAAATCATTGTTTGAAATGAATCGATTTCCTTCCGAATGTTTACCGGAATATTTATATTTACACTTGCTATAAGCGCCTGAAATTATATTGAAAATAATTACATGCTTAATGTGTATTCAAATGAATTTCACGCACCTTTGTGATCATCAGGACGACGCATCGTGCGTGGTAATGGACTATAATATGAACTAGGCGGGCTGTCGTCCTGCGTGCTGCCGCGACTATTGCCGTCCCCGGTGTCCTCATCCTTGGGTCGCACCACCCGCATGAATTGTCCTTTTGAGGACGCCAGCTGCCGCTCCTTGAAGGATACACGCGTGGAATCCAAAAAGTCCAAATTGGGAAGACGACTTATCACATAATATCTATAAATATAATCGGAGGTAATAAATATATCTTAATATAAAAATATATTTTTTAGAAAATAACAAAGACCTGTAGCGTGCATAATCGTCCTCGTCCTTGGACATATCCGAAAGTTGATTTGGACACGCCTTATTCCCCAAAAGGCTGAGAAAATTCAACGCTGGGAGTGACCGCGTTAATTTATCCATTAATGATTCAATGTCGTTAATCTACGAATAATTTTAAATACATTTAAACACAAAACAAACAAAAACATTAATTTATATATAAATCTAATTTGTCTAAGTGAAAAATATAAAAATATATTGCATAAACCTATCAATCATTCTCTGTATATAAATAAAATATTGCACAAGGCGTATTTTTATCGCACGAGATTTTCTTCATGTTTCTCATTGATTGACCTTGTTTATTTTGAACAACACTTCAGATCCTATAAGTTTTGAAGCTTCGCTGTCGTTATTTTTCTGCACCATTTATTTTCATTCAATTTACACGTGTTTGACACTTGCACAATTTCACCCGTAATCTGCAATGTTTTATTGTGAAGTGAAGCTTACAAGATTTTTGTTGAGTGAGAGCGTGTGCAAGTGGGGTAGATAGGGCACGCAAACGCCATCGTTGAGCTGATTGTTGTCCAGGACCAGCTCACGCAAGTGGACGAAACGCTCCAATCCTCGCGTAGTCACCAAGTCATTAAAGCTGAGGTCTAAGCTGTGCGATTTTTCACAGTATAACTTCACAATCACGTCCGGTATTCTATTGCAGTGCTGATTACTGTAACATAACTAAAAAAATATTTATTTTAATTCCTGGTAAATGAAAAAGAGTTAAGAAAAGAGGTTAGGATTCAAACTTTTGAAATTTATGTACTACAATAACTGCAACAATAATTTCGTTTTTGTTTTAAGTGGAAACTTTAGATTAGATTCATTGCATTTTTATTTTTTGAAAAAATTTGTTTTTAAGCAAAAAATTGAGTTCTTTGAAAATACTTTTGTAAAAACTTTTTATTTAACAAAATCATGTTGTTTCTCTCACAAGTTGTAAAAATTACGGAGAAATCTGTCAATTTGACGTAAAAAAACACTTTTTCTAAAAAATATTACTTAACCAACCTTCCATCATATTTAATATTTATTCAATATTGTTATTATGTTATGATATAACACCCTGCAACCCCGGATATTCTATTATAGTATAAACAGAGATTTAGAAAAGCCCACGTGACTTGGACCGAACACAAGTGCTTTTCTGCTTTTCTAACCCGCGCCGCATTCTCGAGTTTTGCATTTTCCTCTTCTCCTTCACGCAGCCTTTACAGTTTACACCCTTCGCCGCTTTAGATTCGAAAATCGAATCCGCTCAGCCGCCATCGTCCTGCATATATTTCCGAGCGCTTCACCCGAGGCACCGAAGCGAATTTATTTCGGAGATAAATAATAAACGAGCCACAAGTGCCAACCGTTCAACCATCGTAGATTTTCTGCTATCACGGCGAAAATCTTAATTAAATCAGCGGTAACTGCAGGCTGCGGTAAGTAAGAAGATTAAAAGGTGTTTTCAATGAAATCTATTGATGGTAATTTCATCATCAGTTGAATACAACTTTAGAACAAAAAAGGACTAGAGGTAAACATCTGTAAAGGCAAGTTCTTTAAATTATTGCGCAATTATTCGAATACAAAACGTAGTAAATTAATAATCCGATAGGTAAATATTTCTGAATTAAATTCTGCGTAGACATAAAGCCAATTAAAATTAGTTTTACTCTTTTGGGTATAACTGCATAAAGAAATGTGTTAATTAAAATATTTGCACATAAATTAATGCGAAATTTCATTATAAATTAAAATTAATGTGAATTTAATAATTTTGCGAATGCGTTTTTGTGTAAATTATAAATAACTGAAAAAAAAAAAAACAAAATAGACCGGTATTCTACACTTACGTAAACTAAAATAAAGTTTTTGAGAATAAGCTAGGCAACCAAGTTCACAGTAAAAAGTTTCTTCAAAAACTTTTATAGTTATTTTATACTATAATGCTTATACTATATTCTTGTGTGTGGCAAAAGTTTCAAATAACAAAGTCTAACTAATAACAACAATATCAATAACAACCAGTCTCCAACTTTGTGTTTTATTTTTGTTTTAACGCACACAAGTTCTAATAACTTTTAATCATGCACGTTAAGTTTTTTTTTTATCATAAAACTCACCCTTTTATTGGCGAAATGCACAGACGCGCATAAAAAGTTGTCATTGACGCCTGTGCCATTCTCGGCCCGCAACGAATTCCTAGGTGTTCCAGATCTCATCATCACATCTTCATTAAGCGTGCCATTACTACGATTGCAATCGTTACCCTCACCCTTCGAATTTGCAAAATCGTCGAGGCGCTCCTTCAAGTGCTCCTCGTTGCGGTGCGACGCAAATCGAAATTGATTCGCATTCAAGTTTTTCACATCCGCGTGAATGCCATTGCGTTTCGCCTCAAAGAAACTCCCGGTCGATGATTGCCTTTCCACACGATAGTCACACATTAATGCGCTCACCTTCGACGAGTTCTGCACGTTTGTACACATATTTCAATAAAAGACGAAACTGTCAATCGATCGACTTCTGTGTGACAACACTGCTCGACTGCTGGCTATTCACTTACTGAACAACTTGCAACTCAACTCCAGAAGACCCACAAGTGATAAATCGCCAAGTTAGACGACCTCGGAATGCAGAAATTATTTCAATCGATAATTACATTCACTACACTCGTTGATTAAACCGCATAATGTATTAAATCATTATTGTATGAATTAAAAACATTCAGTAGCTCGCTGTTACGTATGATAAGCCGATGTCAACATATTTTTGTGTTTCACTGATGTCGCGTTACAAGTCAAGCTGTTATCTCAAAGTTCTTGTCAACTCTACACATAATGCACTTTATTTCATCACAGAGATTAATTTTTCACTAAAATATTAATATGTTTTACTTTTAATCCGAATATTAAAGCCGTATTAGAGTTACGCTAGTTTAAACTGAAACTTTGTGTTTATGGGGACATTTTGAGAATAAATTGTCGCAAATGTCGTGAGTTATACTCACGTCACTGCTGTTTGTTTATGATATTACTGCGTGTTAACATTGCGATGATATCTGGCGTCGTTAACTACTTGAAACACATTGATTCGGTTGGAATTTTCATGAGTTTATCGCTGATATGCTGCGTTTATCAAAAACCCACGAATTATTTTAGTATTTTATTAATTAAATATTTTTACATCATATAAACGATTGTATGCTATGATATTTGACATTTCACAAAATATTATGAATTTTTATTCAAGAAAAATTATATTTTTTGTAGCGCCACCTATAATCAGATAGTTGTAGCAGTTATGTCAAAGTATGCGTTGTATTGCGGAACTAATTTTACAATCTTGGCTATTTCAACTAAAATCTTCAAATATGAACATTTTTCGATGGAATAAATACTGTCAACGACAATAATATCTAGTTAATGATATGGTAGTTGTAGTTTTGGCAAAAGTATAGAAAATGTTTAAATTTTAAGTATGAATATGTATATTGGTAAACATTTAGCATACAATAAATGTACGTGCAACTAATTCTACGTACTTCTGTAAATACGGGTTGATTGTTTGCTCAAAAAATGAATCTAATGATATTTTTATATCCATATTGTTTTTTGTGATAATACTAGGATGATCTAATACAATGTGTTTTTGTTTCGCGTTAGTTTTTGTCCTGCTTATCACGCAATATCACACTTATCCCTACGCAGAATATATACCCTTTCGTCCTTTTCAATCTCCTAAATTTGTGCGCACCTGATGAGCTTATTAACATACATTGAGGCGAACGAAAACATGCGTAATGGACTAGAAGACTAGATGATACTAGATGGAAATTCTTACTTAAGTTTATAGCTTGGTATACATGCGAAACGGCCAGTTGGGGGGATGATAAAGGGTCGTTATCGTCGTGGCGTTTGTTTGCGCACGTACGTGTTGGCAACGCTTCGGTCGTGTTCAAAGTTTCCCTGTCTACCGCATTCAAACTCAAACTATCCACCTAGGATAATCTACGAGTACGAATACGCTAATCTTGTGATAAAGAAATTGTCGTCTAGTTTAAGAGATTCACTTTTTGGCAATTATGAAACTCCGTCTCGCTAAGATCGTTAAAGTTGTAACTGTTTTTGGCCTTTTTATCATTTTTCTCCTTCTTATGCGATGATTTTCGCGTAATCAAATGTTGAGACTCATTTTCGGAATTGTTCGCTGACTGTCTGCTCATTACAGAAAGTGACCTGACTGGTGGCATGCCAGTTGAATAATTATTAGATTGCGATGTTTCTTCACCACCGACAGCCGCCGGTGTGTGTCCGTTGGGATTATTCACGTTGACAGTTTCGCTAAACTGAATCCTCGTCGGGCGGTGGTGCAGTCGAAGATTTGGCGTGCCGTTGGTGCCGGCGCCGCCAACGAGGCTATTGCCAGTCCTCCGCCTCGTGCTTATGTATGTTGTACAGGTGTTGTTTCGATGAAGAATTGTGCTGTCCGTCCCTCCTATGCCTATCACAAAACATTTACAATCGAAAAATAATAACTATTGAAAAGTATTTAAAAACACGTTTTAAAATAAATTTTAAAATTTTTAATTTTTTAAATTTTAAAATGTGTTTTAAATAGAAATTAATATCACAACAACTATTTTAGGTTGATAATCAGGGGATCACTTACATCGACTTACTTGTGAGTGGAATGCTCATGCGTGAGCGGCCATTGTTATTCATCATGGCGGCTCTGGAGCATGCCGACCGGCAACATGGCAGTACAATGCCAAAAATCTGCATGAAACCTTGTCGAAACCGATTATTCATATAGCAATAAATGACAGGGTTGTAGCATGGATGCGACATTGCCAATAAATGACTTGCCAACCAAACGATTTCCTCATGGACTATATCTACGCCCATTTCGCGCATAACCTAAACAAACATAATGAAACCCATATATTTTCTTGCTAAATATGTTAAACGTGTAATTACGCACATAATTATAAATTTAAATCAAGCCAATAATCAATTGTTTGATGTGGCAGGCGAAATGCCCGAAATGAAAATGAAAAGGAAACTCAAAGGACCAATAGTGTAGTTTAGTCGGTGCGTTGCGGACAAGAAATGTAACGACTCTTTGGGCCGTTTTGGGTCGGCAAGGACAGGAAACAGGGAAAACCGACGCATAATGAATGAGCGCATAGCCAAAAAGCCAATTTCATTTCGGGGATAACGAGCCAGCAGGACGCACATTAAGCGTTCAAAGATTTTCTGTACAACTCACCAAATAAATGTTCAAAGGGAGCCAGCATATTGTGTAGACCAACACGACAGCAACCATCATTTTTATCATCTGGAGGGAAACAGAAAGACAACAATATAAAAACTAATTAATGTAAACACGATTAAAAGTTTGTCTTGCCTTTTCACAGGACGAACTACTGTGTAAATTTCAGCTTAAAATATTCAGATTTTAATTAAAATTTTCTTTCACTTTCTTTATGCAGAAAGTTTTCAATCCTACAGCAAACAAGAAGAGAATTTCATTTATGTTTTTATATTAATTAATTTATAAATAGATATATTGGCAATGTGGATCAAAGCAAACTTGCAAGATTGAAAGATTCTAAGAGATTCGCGCTGGATTGATTTATCGGCAAAGACATAAGGTTAAGGCTTGGGAAACTTGCCAAGCGTGAAAGCTTGATGGATTATCTTGTAACCGAACCCCAGATTGATTTCACGCAGAAACCTGGAGTATCATTTAATCAGAAATCACTAAAGTACAAGCGATATTAATCAACATTTTATTGAAAACAAAAATAAAACCAATTCACTATTTAAAATGACAGCTGTAATCCGAATAGGCAACACATTATTTGCTTAATACAAAAAATATATATGATCCCGGATAAAACAAATACCGATTAGGGGAAGGTAGCATAATTTGGACCAGCGCCTAAGTTGGACCACCACGATATCCGCGGACTGTTGAAGTTTATGCAAAAATTGACTGGCCCCTTGTTTTACTCGTATTTATAAACAATTAATGCAACTATTTGGGTTAAAACTTGCCGCGTGCTTTCGTCGTGACAACAACTTCGTGTATCATTGATTATCAAATCTATTATAACGACCTAAGTGCAAGAGCTGTCAAGCCGTTTAAACGTTAGTTTTACCGATTATTATTTTATCATCAGAAAGCTTCTTTATTTATCTATAATTTATAGTATTAATTTTGAGAGGTTATATTATATTAAGATTGTTGTTGATCATTATATATAAATTCTTCAAGTTGCCCAAGTTGGACCGAAGACAGACACCGGAGTTTTACAGGGAAAACGTATATCATTTTTTCGACCTCCTAGAAAAGCTTGTGGACGAGCACAAATCTTCGAAATGATCCACTGTATGAAATGCCGCACTTTGGTTTATACAAAATGTGCTTGTGTTACTGCTAAAACTAAAATTTACTTTTGTGTCAATTGCCGTTAAAAAAGCATGGTCCAATTTAGGAAACCGCGCGGTCCAATTTAGGAAACCGGTTTCTTAATTTGGACCAAAAACACAATTTTTTTAAATTGAAATTTGAGGGGTATAAATATACTTTTTACTTAAACCAAAAATATCATTTTGTTGGTAAGCCTTGTGAGTTACTTTTCCACTACTTAATTTTTATTGACAGTTTATATGTGGCTCTATAAATCAAAAAATATAAAAATGGTCCAAATATGGCTACTCTCCCCTATTTGTATAACGACACAATCATATAACAGAGCTTGTAATTAAACATTTCATTGCATGCAATCACATTTAATTGATGTTTGATAAATAACACGTTATTGCAAAAGTTTAATTTAAAATTTACACGTTAAACTGTCAACGAACAAAGTATATATTTATATTTATTGACAAATTCCCCTTGAGCTTTTGAATATAATATTGCACGAGTTTATATTTTCTACATTTTTCGCCCGTTTAGTTTGAGATAAATATAAATACATATAAACGAGTTTAAAACTTCCACCTGAGACCTTTTCTCACTTTTCTGTCGTGAAGGTAAGCGGCTCCAGGGATTTTCCAGCATTAAAGTTCAAGTATGCATCTGATAAATCAGCTTCTCTTCGACATCTTTTCACGTTCAAAGGTTATTATACCTCTTCTTCTTCTTCAGCACAAGTTTCTAGACAAGTTATTATTTAGTTTAAAAAATTTTGCGTCGTGTTTTTGCAAGTCTGTTTTTTTTACGCTGATATTTGATGGATTCACAATGGAAAATTACGCGAAAAGTTTGTGTGGAGTTAATATCGCGTTTATTACATCCTCGAGGTACACTGGCAAACTTTTTTCCGCCGGATTGTGGAGTTTTTATTATAATAGCAGGCAAATTTGATGATTATAGCGCGTTTCCTGTCTCCGGACGTAATATGTAATATGCTCATGGCTTTGGGAATTGCTTATTTCAGCGGCGTGTATTTCGAAAAACTCAAATTTATGAGAAATCAAAATAATAGCAAATTCTCATTGTAATAAAAAAAGTAGGTAATATATTTGAATCTTTTGAAGCCTGCAGACGTAATAATAAAATATGGCGCGACAAACCGTATGCAAACAATTCAAAAAATATTTGCATGTGCTTTATTTCAACTGATACAAAACTGTGGTTTTGTCCATTGTAATTTGTCACTTTGTTTTTATTACTTTTCTGTTTTACAAGAGCAAATGATAACATTTTACACCTACATCCGCTTGGCTGGGTTGGTATACATTTGAATAATTTAGCTTCGGGTTATTTCGCATGAAACAAATGAACAAACATTTTTTTGCTTTAATATTATGAAAGGAAGCTCAAGTAAAACGTACAACGTTTTGAGTGAACAGAAATTTTCATTTTCATTGAAATCGTGGGGCTTTAATCAGAAAATTGAAAAGTGCAGCTTTTAAAAAGTTGAAAGCTGATGAATACTGCATTATTAATGTATTTCGAAAAAAAGATCAAATGCTTTTACATTTTTTCAATTATTTAATTGAAAGACACACATTTTCACTTAAATATTTTCATTTCTAAAAAAATAATGCATATTGATTTCCTATGAATGCATGAGTTTATTTTCAAATAAACCAATTTTTATAAACCTTTTCTATTTCATAACTTTCCATGATAATATTGCTATGATTGCATCTGCCTCTTCGTGAGTGACATATTCAATTTGGCGGATAATTCAATGCAAGTTTTGCATTAACTTATGCTGAAAACGCATTTTGATCGCACTAGAATATGTATTTATGAGCGCTCCAATAAATATTTCTATCATTCTCGAGTGCTAGTGATGGTTGTGACGGCAGATCTGTTTATGCACGAAGCGGAAATTTCTTATTACTCGGAAATGCATAGCACGATAATAGTATTATTGCAGGTTGAATAATTTTATCCATTGTTTGTCTATCTTTATATGCAATTAGTGCATGACGTGAAATTAATTTTTTTTTTCTGTCAGAGTTTAAAAATTACAATTAATACAATTTTTCTACTTCCACCTTTGAAAAGTCAGTATTTCCACGCTTTTGAGACACATAAAGTGGTACTTTATGCACGGACTAAATTACTTTAGTCACGGTTTTTAGTCACGGGGTAAAATTTTCAAAGATTTAAAATACAAAAATTCTAATATTATAAAAACTCAACGTAGAAATAAAGTGAAAATTGATTGATTCTTAATATACTTTAATATTTTGTTATATGAATTATTAAAATATTGACATTTGCTCCTGACACTATAATTTAATATATATTTCAATTTCTATGTTTAATTAAATATAGTTTTTAAACATTTCAATGCTTCCATGTCTAACATCCTAATCTGACAACCCGTCGTCTTATAGAATTTCACCGCGCGTTCACAAGAATATTAATTCAGTAAATTTTATAGAATACTCTGCTAAGCCTTCCATCTATGTTGTGTACCCCCACAATGTACATACAAACATATTCGTTGACTGTACAACATAAACAATGTATCTAATTAAAACACTGCGTTCGTAGCTGTAGTAATTAAAATCCATGGCATCTGGCGCCTCGTAATCGAATCATTTTTTCCTCTCGCAGCTCCTCTGTATTCCAGCGTGGCTTATAATTAATTTCACGCAACGCTTCTGCTGCTCTGATTTTACGTGGGTACAATCCTCTCTTTTAATTTGACGCGTGATAAAAAAGCGTACGCATTGTTTCAAAGGATAGATAATATCGATTCATATTCTAGATATTAGCGATATCTAATCATTTGTGATGATAATAATTGGTTTATGTTACGTTTGGATGACAAACAAAGTAAATCATTGAATCGGATTGAAGCTTATCGCAAAAGCACTGTTTCCATCATTTTCATATTGATTAATCCTGTCAACACTATGAAAATATGTTTGCTGTGATCAAATATTATTAATTTTATCCTCCCTGCACCTTGAACTACAATTTTACATCATTCATACTTTTATTTTTATAAAATACTAGCTTTAAACCGCGGCTTCCCTCGCGTTGAATCCATCAAATAAATATTAGAAATCATTATACATAGTTGAAACGGATTGATAGAAAGAATGTATATTTCACTGCTTGGCTAGGATTATCTATGTGAAAAAATTACTACATGCAATAAAGTTTTAAATTTTAGATGGAATGCTAGATGGCGTTAAAGTAGTCAATTAGCCAGATGCAGAGGTATTATTGGCTAAACAATTTCTTTATTTTATTTAAAAAATATTTTTTTTTTATTAAATAAAAAAGTAGCCTATAACCATTCGGGGATCATCGGGGACCACTAAGAATATGTGTACGGATTTGATGTTGACGTAGCTGTCGGTAATACAGTGTGATGGTACTATAGTACTTAGGTGTGAGCTTCATTGCTGGAATGCTAGATGGCGTTAAAGTAGTCAAATAACCAGATGCAGTGGTATTAGTGAATAAACAATTTCTTTATTTTATTTTAAAAAATAATTATTTTTATTAAATAAAAAGTAGCCTATAACCTATCGGGGACCACTAAGAATATGTGTACAAATTTTCATGATGATCTGTTAAGTAGTTTTTGCGTGAAAGCACGATAAACTTCAGGACATACGCATTTATAATATTAGTAAGGATAAGGATTAGGTAATAAAATACATTTTAAGAAATTTGATAATTTTACATCCTTCTGATGCCAGAACCCACGAATAGGAATGAAAAGTTACATAGTGGCTTATGAAATAATCGAAAAGGTCACAGCCTAGGGCGAAATAATATTTCTAGCGTTTCTCATCATGTCCTGTGTTTTCTTACGATAAAAAATTAGATTACCTACCATTCCTCGC